AGGATTAAACATTAATGTTACCTAATTAATGTTAAATCCTCCTAGATTCAAACCTGAAACACCCAGATCGAAACTCGCCTGTCGTTATTTTACCATCGCCTTTTTTTAAAATATATTTTTCAAAAAAGAAAGATTATATTGATTTACTATGGATTTTAAAAATGTTAACGTTTTATTTTGTTAAAGATTTATGGTGATACGTAAATATTGTGGTGTAGTAAAGTATATTATATTGTAGTTAAGTGTTAAATTTTGAAATTTTAGGGTGAATCGAGATAAATCTTTTTTTATAACATGGGTCTCTCCTACCTTAACATACATACCAAGTTTCATAAACATCGGTTGGAAAAGTGCAAAGATAAATATTTGTATGTAAAAAATACAAAATGGTGGATATCTGGTTAACGAAACGATTTCGGAAAAAATGTTATCCTCGATTTTCTGTTTATTTTGACCCAAGGAATTACTAGGTAAAGTATCTCCCCGCTTATTTTTTACACCCTGTTTATGATGTATTCTTATAAGTGAAAAATGTAAGCTGGTAATACAGAAAGATTTTTTATAAATAATATGAATGTACTGGTGATCTGTATATTCATCTTTTTCTTGTCCTTAGAACTGTAAATTAAAAGTCCACTCAGCAGTCGCATCGTACGATGTAGTTCTTTCCATGCGTTGCGAAATGCTAAATTTGCCGTCCTCTTCAACCCAAGTTATCTATTGAACCACTAATTGTAAAAAAATTCAAAAAAGTATATTTTACGCATCACACTTTTGGCTACAACTTTGCCACAGACAAAACCTCTCTAACCCAAAAAAAAAAAAAATCTCGCATGCTAACTTTTTCATGTTAGAAATCACGATTTAAAACTATTTCACCATACATATAAATTTTTATTAATTAGATCGGTAAATAGTTTAAAGTTCCAACAAAATAGTCATCGAGTAGGACTAACCAAGAAGCTCTGTGCCAATTTTCAAAATGTTAGCACAACTTTAAGTACACCAAAACACGAAATTGTTGAAGTCATGCGTCGAGAGGACTATCGTTGTTTTTAACGGATTATACTTTTGACCTTCCGGCACTGTTGACTCAGCGAAACTGAACTTATATTTTATCTTATTTCGTTATATTAAAACTGCTGTTGCATTAGGTCAAATTCCCAATAAGTCAATTGCTTTAACATGAACCACGTTTTTAGCTCGGACTGTACTATTTGACTTACTGGGATTTTTGATCTACAGACACTGCAAACATTGTAGTTTTTGACCTAGCGGCACAGGTATAAATTATTTGACCTTCCGGGACTGTTGACTTTCTGCAACGCGTCCATAATCCCGATACCGCTGCTCGGAACAAAGCAGACATGAGATTAGCAGACTTAGCTTGGACTAGAGTAACGGCGAATGACGCAAATCTTGCTGAAAGAGCTGCTGCTTATGCCGTGACAAATTTGATGAAGGCAAAAGCAAAAATGGGAATGGGATTAAAATTTAATAAAAAAGATGGACAACTACCAGCTGTTAGAGGCCGCAAAAGACGTGCCTCACTTCCGGGGGGTGTACCTAAAAAACGAGCTAAAAAATCTAACACCAAGGGTAAAAGAGTGCGGAATAGTTAATTTAGACAGTTCATCTGGCACACATTGGACAGCATATCGTAAAAATAAAGATATATTGTAATTTATTTTGACCCATTTGGAATCCAACCTCCAAAAGAAGTAATTAAATATTTTGAGGGATATAAAATATTCTATTATAAAATATTCTACAAGATTTAAATAGTTCTATTTGTGGAATATTATGTTTATCATTCATAAAAAATATTTCTTTATAAAAATGGATTCATTTACTATAACATTTTCGGGTACAGAGCCAGAGCTAAAGTCAGTGTTCTTTCCTCCCATAGAATTAAATGATGATTATGTAATTGGATTAGTAGATTTTCAAAGTTATAATTCTATATTTAATGTTAAAAAACCTCTAAATACTTTAACATATTACAAAGTAGAGAAAAAAACATTACCAAAATGAGATATCTCAGTTGATGATTTAAACCAGTTATTAGATGGTAAACTTAAAGTCATAATAGATAAAAATGGAGTCGCATTAATTAATACTAAATCCAAACTTTTATTCAAAGGGCTTATTCCAAAATTAAATCAACTTAAAGGCAACAAATTAACCATTATGGAAGATTATCAAAATTGTTTCCTTTAATTAACAAAAAATATGTATGTCTATTAAGAATGGAACCCTTCTATACAAAACACTTCTACATCCACTATTATTGTTGTACGCCTGCCCAGTATGGGGAACTGCGTCATCAAGCTCGATTCGTAAACTGCAAACGTTTCTAAATAAAGTTTTTAAGGATAATTCCCTGGTATGTTCGAACCCATCAAATACATTTAGAACTGGGAATAAAACCTATAGAAGATTTCATCAAAGAAAATTACATATCAAAATTATTTACAAAACTTCCATTAACCAGCAGCATTGGATTTTATAACACAGACCAACCTTCTGAAACCCAGAGACTCCGACTAAAACCCAGATTGCCTCAAGATGTTTTATTATAAACATTTTTTCATTTGTGTTTCATTGGTGGACAGCGCCTTTACAGTCCGACCCGCTAAAACAATGACAATAAGTGCCTGAGGGGCTAGCCATAGCTGACCTCTACAATGTTAGTAATAATTAACAATGTTATTGTTTTTCTTTCTTATATTATACCAAACCTGTATAGCAATGTAATGCTGATCGGTTAATAAAATTGTTATAAAAAGTTGTCTATAATCAGCTGATTGGTGTCCGGTAAAACTCATTATACAGTAGTTGGTTACAGTACAGTAGCACGCAATGAAACCCCATTTGAATAAGCTGGACTAAATCCTTGTGTGGGAAGTTCGTCAAAATAATCTAGTGTGGCGTAATAGTATATTACGTTACTAGTCCTGAAAATAAGTGGGACGAGTGTGGTCGTTCCCGTGCGAGACGAAGTCGAGTACGGGATTACCATACGAGTCCGGTACACACATTTTGGACGAGTTACGTACGATAGTTTACGCCATACTACTTAATTCGTAAAAATCCTTATATATTTCCACCAACTAAAGGACTAAACATCACCAGTCATAACCTCTAAAAGAGGTTATGTTTTTCTTTATAACCAATCATTGCCATCTAAATACAGTATAATCAGCTGATTGGTGTCCGGTAAAACTCATTGCAGAACAGTATTACGCAATGAAACCCCATTTGAATAAGCTGGCGGCAAACAGCTGTTTTCTGGACCAAATGCTTGCGTGGGAAGTACGTCAAAATAATGTAGTGTGGCGTAAACAAAATTGTATGCTTATTAAGGTAATCACCGATCAGAATGTGATAAAGGTTGAAAGGTTGGATAATGGTATTTGGTAGGGTTACCTTTTACCCTATACATATGGAGAAAGTATTGTTTTCATCAAAATTTAAAGAGTTTGGATTTTGGGTGCGTCTGAACCACTGAACAAAAAAAAGTGGGTTTCGAATCGAAGTAGAGAGTATGTGTGTCTGTATATGTGTGGATGTATATTTCAGAGAAACAGTCCACACCTGTAATCAGATTTTGATAAAATGTTTTTAATTTAATCCATGGTATCTATATACACTACAGAATATGAATAGGGTTAGTCGAAAGCTACATGAACATGGTTTGAGTTAGCGTATGAATGCAGAACGGGGGCTCTCCTTTTTGTTTGCTTCTTTAACATACATGACAAGTGCCACGGTGGGGCACACGGGAGGGACTAAGGCTAACACATCTTGTAGTGTCAGCGTTCTCCGCTAGAACTGCTAAGTTGAAAAAATTTAAATTATTTTTTATTTATTTTTAGTTATAAAATTAACTATTTAATTATAAAATATTGTTTTAAAATTATAAAATAAATTTTTAATTTTTAAATTTAAACTGTCATAACATAATAGTCCAAGAATTTTAGGAATAATAAAGCCATTCGACCTAACAAATTCGGACTAAGTGGAAACTTTGCACAGTTGTCCCACTTAGTCCGAATTTGTTAGGTCGATTTTCCTAATATTCTTCCACTATAACCTAACCAACCAGACTTGCTGATAAAAAACTATATAAGATAAAAATCTAATTAATGATTACTTATAATTTTTAATCAATTATAAAATTAATTTTAAAATTTAGTATTATAAAATTGAACTGTCATAACCTAACCCAACCAACCAAATTTGCTAATATGAAAAATTTGTTGACAAAAGGTTAGAACTGCCAGCGGGATTCGAACCCAGGACATCCTGAACGCCAATCCGAATCGATACCAACTATACCACGAACGCTGCTGAAGTCACAGCGTTTCGTTACGGTAATCGTGTCGCCTCAAGAGAAGACATTAGCCACTAGAGATATGACGTCACTACACCTTTAGCCTTAGTCCCTCCCGTGTGCCGATTCCATGCACCGCCTACTAAATGCCATGCCATTCATACTGTACTTGATTTGACATGTTTTTGTTTTTGTGCCGGTTCGGCTCGGTTAAATTAAAATTTAGTTACAGTATACCATTCATTATCATTTTGCATTTTTGTACTTAGACTAGTGAACTCATTTTAAGTGTTAAGATAACTCAAGGCTAGTTGACAAATTTAATTTTGGTATCTTTAAAGTCATTAAACTAACTTAACTTACCGCAGGCCTAGGCCTAGGACTAGTCCTAGTTTCGCAAGTTACGCTCCAACCTAAGTGAATTTAAAATAGTTATGATTTCATTGTATTGTAAGATGTTATATTTATGATCAAAGTCAACCCAAAAACGGTCGGACATTTTCAATTGTAATCTGTTACTACAATTGATTTTGTATATTGTATTCAGTCCTAGGCCTAGGTAACTTACTATGTTTTTCAGCGAATTTCCCTAAAGGGAAGTAGCTATTACCGTAGGTGGTACGGTAAAACCTAGGACCGATTTAATTTTTTCATTTTGGTGTCCCCAGAGGCCAAAAACACAATACGTTCAAATTTGTATTTAATTTATATATAGGCCTATAGCCTATACGTCCATGAACGTGATAACTGGAGTAGCCTTTTTGTCCGATTTTGGTGAGATTTGGTTTATTGTGTAAGGCGGGATAAACTTGAATGAGTTCATGAACCAGCATGATCGAACCGAGGTGAACGCGGTATTACGGGGTAAAAATTGGTTTTTCTCATTTTAGACCATTAGACCATAGCACAAAATTTCCCTCTTAACCTTTTTAAAGAGCTTAAAAAACAAGTAGTATAGTATGTCAAAGTGTTTTTGTACGGTTATTGGTAACGGAGAAAATTCAATTAATTGGGCTGCACTTTACGTCCTACACTCATTCAAATGAAAATATCGATTATTCGATTGTTTCATTTGATATATCGTTTGGTTAGTTAGGATAGGTTAACCTTACATAACCTAATGATAAAACCTACCAAATGATCGATCGATAATTTTATTTGAATGAGTGTAGGACGTAAAGTAAAGTGCGGCCAATAATTGTAAAATAATAATTCCATGTTAGGTATTCTAATGGATAATACAGTATTGTAAAATGTTGTAAGCTTAGTTTGCACAAATGGATATATTTTGATCAAACTTGGCAAATTGATTTATTTTATACTAAGCTATTATTTTGCTAAAAAAACACATTCTAACTTATTAGTTTCCTTGTAGCAGCAAACCTAGTTACTTGTAAAGCCTAATGTTATTTAAATAGATTCAACTAAAATCAATTCAGACAAATAGAAATTCGGCTTGGACGGCAGGTTTACTGCGGCCGGGGTATTTTTTTATTCCGTATAACTTGGGTGTTACAAGTGAATTAATATCGTAACTATTCTCATCAGTGATTTCAGTTAAGCCTAACCTAAGTTATTTGAATGAAATCATGCTGAACAATAGATTAAAACCTTAAACTTAAAATTTTCCAGGTAGGGTAGGCTTATTTCTTTATGCTTGATAAAAAGTTCTTAAATCAAAGTTTACTGTAAAGCAGGTTTACCTCTATAAACATGGCGCAGAGGACCTCGGACACATTAGCTGATGATATTAGTGATGCAAGCACTATTGTGAATGTTTCACTTTTAAAAAGAGGAAAGACAATAGTTAGGCCTACTGACAAAGAGAAGACAGTAAAAGAAGATGCCTCGAGTTCAAATAGTAACCAAGCAGGCTCAGCATGTAAATCTGAACTCAGCATAAGGATTAATGATTGTAATAACAAAGTGGTAAGTGTTGTAGGCCTACTCCTATCCTTGATTGAACAACAATTTCCATAGCTTAAACTTATTTGGCGCTTAAAATCAGCCTATACTGGTGCCTATTACAGTAGAACCTCAATTACTCGAACCTTAATATCTCAAATTCCTCAATATCTCAATTTTTTTTAAATCCCCTTGAAATCCACATTAATCATAATGTTAAAAGTAGGTACCTTTATAAGTCAAAGTTTCTAAATATTTAGCCTAACCTCAATAATTTGAATTTTAACAACTTTTGATCAGTGAAATTCTACCTCTGTAACTCGGATTTTCTGTCATCGAGCCTCAGTAACTCGAAGTTTACCTTTTATAAGTCAAAGTTCGATCGTATGTGCCTCAATAATTTGAAGTTTTGCCTTAACAGTGCAAGTCAGTTGTGTTTTGATTCCTGTCGAGACGTGAAAATCCAACTTCCTGTGTTTGCTTCCTGTGTCTGGCTAAGTAGACTACTGTAGTCAGTAGTCTGGCAGTTGTTGAGATAGTGTTTACGTTGCATTTCGTTTAGTGTTTTAATCACACTAAGTTAGTACAGTAATGTATTTTCCCTTTAAATATTACTCTCTACATACTTTTTGTATGTACAGTATTGTACCTATTCAGTATTTTTGTTGTTACTGTAGCTTGTTTTTACAGTAAAGAGTTTGACTAACGTTTGCTTTAAACAAACATTAGCCTATACACAGTAAATATAGTTCCGTGTATAGATGATACAACTGTATACTGTATTATTGTTTTGCATTTTGTACAATAACTAATTTTTTGTCTGTTGTTATTTAACATGTTTTTTTATGTACTTTATCAAACTTATTGCCAAATAATAAATACAGTACCTACTTTATGTGCATTAAAATTGTTTTATTTTACTTCCAAAGTTACTCTTCTGTATGTATAAATACAGTTTGAGTTCGATTAAATGACTGCCATTTTGGAGACTTAGTTTACACAAATTTTTCGGGGGGTGCTCCCGAACCCCCCCCCCCCCCCCCACCAAAACCCCCTGGTCCGGCCCCTTGTGAATTGTCACAAAAATTCAAAATGAATTGATCTAGAATTGTCTAGATCTGTCACTGCCACTCCCAGACTGCCTTTTACAAAAATCGCCCGGTAAAATACCCACAATACCTTAAATACCACCAGCACAATAGGTTAAAGATTACTTTGTCATAACAAAGTAATCTTATAGGCCTAATTCATTTTGATAGCCCCCAGGATTGACTTTATGACTAATAATGGTAGAAACGCAATCCTTAATATGTACAGAGGTGTCAAATTTTATTAGAGCTGTATATGTTTTGGTGGTTCTTTAACTCTAGTATCGTCAGGCTCACAAAATCATCCACTTCTGGAAGTGTGGTCAGAATATGTTACCTACAAAAATTTAACACGAAAAACAAAAAGATTACGGATAGGCCTATCAATTCACGTTTATACATTGCCGCGGGCAGGACTGGAGGTAAAAGTAAACTGAATCAGGTTATAACAGACCGTGGTCTCTGAATTGTCGTCTGTGTTATCAAAAGCTGGTATTGGAGTCAAATTGTAGTGACGGAGGAGAGTGTTGAAAATATATGGGTTTCATAATAGAGTTTTCCATTCAAAATTATTGACGATAATAACTGGATATAAAGATATGGTCTCTACATTCTACATTACTGCGGGAAAGGAAATTTATTAAATGTGATGTGGAAAGCTAAAAGGGACCTCTTTTTGGCAATGCAAAATTTTCTGTATGGCCGATATAAGTAATTAAGGTAAAAAATATTGAAATGTGGTTTTTTTATCAATTGTTATACCTCATTTAACATAGAACAGGACAGTATCGGTTAAAATATCAAATTGAAGATATAAAAGGTCGAAATAAATCATTTTGTTAGCCTCTGCACGGTCTGAGAAAAGGTACCTCTTGTCGCTCAATGTTATTTTGCCATAACGACAAGAGGTACCATTTTTTATATTCATTTTATAAACAGACTTTAATAAAAAAATTATTGTCTTTTATTCTAGTGGGAATTTAGAGAACTACAACAAGTTCAGTTTACGGAGAACAAAATATCTCACAAATTTTGCGGTCCTTTTTATATATTGTTTGCATGTTTTGAATTTGGGTTGAATACATAATATATGATTTCCTTATTTATTTTAAATGTCTTTGATAGCTTGAAAATTTTTTTTTTTAATCAGAATTTATTTTACAATCTGTTCAAACTTCAAATATGAGAACAATAAGTAAAACATATATCAAACAATGTCAGGAAGCAAGCACCTGTTCATCAACAAGTCTTGCCAAAAATTTGATCAGTCATTTAAACATTTACAGAAATCTGTAGCTTAGGTCCAGCACATGCACAACACTTTTTAATCTGGTAATGCGCTGACTATTGTCCAGCAGATTAACAGCAAGACTGTTCGGATGATATTCTAATTTTTCTTGATAATTTTTGCTAAGGTCTGTAATTTCTTATTATAAGTTATTTAGTCAGCTGTGGAGTAAAGAATATAGAAGTGACAATAGTAACCATAATGACCAAAATCACCAAAAAATCAATGTTAAAAAAAATTTCATTAAAAATATACTTTTTTAACCCTTCTTGTAATGGCTGATTTGAATTGGCAACTAGTTAAGTAATGTTGATAAAGTGTTTTACAAATCCTGAAAATGTGTTTTAAAACGTTTTTTAAAAAGCCCCCCAACAAATTATTTTGTACATTTTATTTTGCTTATTTTATATAATGACAAAAATTTTTTTTTTTATATATTGTGATATTATGTTTTACTTGTGTATATTTTATGCTGAATAAGAATCAAGCCCTCAAGTACAACAAATAATTTATTTTAGTCTGTATATGTACACAAAACCCAAAACATGTTTTTTGCATTACAAAAAGCAAGCGTATGGGACAACGAGGTGTCAACTAATCCGAGTGGAAAGAGTTAATAAGGAATTAAAATATATATACTGTATAACTCAAAATCAAAAATTCCCGACAAGAGGTCTATTTGCTTTCCACATCACAAATACTTTGGAAGAGTTTGAAATATATAAAGACATAAAAACTAGGGACAGCACACAAATTTTGAATGAAAACACTCAATTAATTATGAATCCCATTATATTTTCAAGTTTCTTCTCAGTCAATAGTTAACCCTCCGAGCATTATGTGTTGTAAAAGCGACTCATAACACATCCGCTGTAGTGTTATGTGTCGCTTTTGCGACTCACAAACACTGTTTACGGCGACGGCTCTGGGACTGACTGAATCGGATTGAACAGGATCGAGTTAGGTATCGTTTTTTTCAGCAGATTCAGAGCTTTCTCCTGATGTCTGTTTCTATACGCTTTTCAATTTAGTTCCGATAATATTGTAGCAGACAGCTGATGTGCGTATTTGTAAACAGCTTGGTTAACCTCACACTGATGACTGATGTTTTTTATTACGTTTATCATTGTTTTAGTGTTAAAAATCAAAAGTAGTGATATACGTAGTGCATTATAAGAAGATTTAAGTGATTTTGAAGGGCTGGTTGATGATCCTGAAGAAGTAGGTAGTGATATTGATGTAAATTATCATCCAGATTCCTAGCTATGGTTAGGCTATGCATTCTTAGCTAAACGCTATGTACCAAAATCTGTTTTTTGCCCATAACTTAGCCTATTTATTTGCAAACCTACTTCCTTATATTATTATATTTTTGGAATCCTCATAAAATTCTGAACAAAGTGGCTATTTTAAAATATTTGTAGACCTATAAATTATAACAATTTATTGAGCACAAACATAATTTTTTTTTATTTATTTTATAATTTTTGAAAAATGTTAACCCACAAAAATTGTTGAACATTTTTTTTGTAATGTTTTATATGTTACATTGAAGCCCATAATTTTCCAAACAAAATGATATATAAAACAGTATACTTTGCATTTCTTTTTAAGTTTCTAAGATACATTTTAATAAAACCCTGCGATTGCGCAATAAATAGGCGAACATTAAAACCAAAACTAGAGACACTTGGAGGGTTAATAGTCCAATATCAGCTGTTGAAAATGCAGACGACAATCCAGAGACAAAGCCGGTCCGTCATAATCTGATTCAGTTTACTTCCAGTCCTGCCCAACAATCAAATATGTTAACCCACAAAAATTGTTGAACATTTTTTTTTTTGCGGTCCTTTTTATATATTGTTTGCATGTTTTGAATTTGGGTTGAATACATAATATATGATTTCCTTATTTATTTTAAATGTCTTTGATAGCTTGAAAATTTTTTTTTTTAATCAGAATTTATTTTACAATCTGTTCAAACTTCAAATATGAGAACAATAAGTAAAACATATATCAAACAATGTCAGGAAGCAAGCACCTGTTCATCAACAAGTCTTGCCAAAAATTTGGTAGAGTTCAGGAACAGCCAAAACATATGTAGCAAGTAAAATTTGACACTTGCGTACATGTTAAGGATTGTCTGACAAGGTGTGTTTTTACCATTTTTAGAAATAATCTTAATTATTAATACCAAAATGTTGTTGGTGTTGATAGTGAGCTACTTAGAATTACGTTTTTTCGGGCTGCTTATATACAAAATTATATATTTATTATGACAGGTAGCAGAAAAAACCCCCCAAAAAATTCCCCCCCAAAAATCCAGTGGCGCAATCGTCCCACTCTACCCCGCTCTGTGCTCCCCTGTACCTATGTTTAATTCATAAACATAAATAGCTAACCTATACTAATTTTATAAAAGCTAATTTTATATGGAACTAATACAGTACATGTTTTTTGAACAGGTTAGTTGGCTTGACCAACACTCTATGGTGAACCCTCAAGAGGATCTTGACACGGAAGAGGAAGGTAGTTAAAAGTTATTTAGCTAGCATTTATCTTGTTAGGACTCATAGCACTGTAAAATGTTTGTATCAGTAAGAAAAAGAATTAAAACCACTGGACAGCTATTATAAAAACAATCAAATATTCTGCAGTCTATTATCGTAGACTATAACCATCACAAGTAGACTTCTTATCACAATATAAATTTTGAAGCTCATTCTTCGTGACTAGTTCATGTCCGGTGACACATAATCAAGAATGTCGACAGAATGTTTCTATTATTTCAGGATCAATTTCATGATGTGTCTCTTACTACATACACCAACGTTGTATTGTGGTTATACAGGGTGGAACGAAGTTAGTGTTAACAATTTTTATGTCTTAAACTACATACTATTGGTGATAGAATGACAGTAATTTAGATTTCCATACCCTTACAGGTAGGGAATAACAGAATAACAGACAAATTAAGCTTTTTCAAAATATTTGTATTTACTTTCATAAAATGGCCATAAGTACATAAAACTAGTTTTTATTAAGAATGTAATATGTCATTTTCAGAACTACCATTAAATTTCCAACAGTAATAGTACAGACTAGTGCACCTGTTGCTCGAATTCAAGCAATTGCAAAATATTGCAGGCCTAATTTCAAAACGAATAACAGTCATAATTTTCGATGATCTTAAAGAGTCAACTCAAAGATAAATAAACAAATACTCCACACCAGTTCGATATAATATCGATGTTAATCCTAATAGATCTTTAATATTCTTATAATAAATCTCACAAGGATTTTAAAAATTACAATAAACCCTATTCAGACATAATTTGTAATGCAGTTATTGCCATATTATTTAAGCAAATACATGTTATTTTAAAGTAATGCAATTTTTGCCATTCCATGTTTTCAAGAGAGACTCTTAAATTTAAGAATGAAAAAGCAAAGAAACAGTGGGTTTTTATACATCATTGTAAAGGTTATTAACTGAAGAAGTTTTAGTATTATTTGACACTCATTATAGTCCAGTTTAACATGGAAAAACCTCTGTAAAATATTTTTCATTTTTCTTAAAAATCACAAATTCAAACTTCCATTGCAGAATAAAGGCTTATAAAGATGTTTCATCTCAATGAATGTATAATATTACTATCAGAAATTTAATAAATATTTTGAAAATGACAATTAAGTCTAAATAAAAACAATTTTAAATGCACTTATGGCTATTTTTATAGCAGTGCGGGGGGGGGGGGGAGTCAAGTGCCGCTGAGGTCCGACTGCCACCACTCACTGCAACGGGGAAAAAACGTTACGTAGTTTCCGTGATTGTGGTGAGACATATATGATGTCTTTAATATCGAATAAGATAATTATAATTTTGCCGAAATTACGGGAAAAGGATGACATTGTTTCCTTGACCTCCTCGCGGAAACAAAGATGATGTCTACAGCACCGTAGAAGATATTCTTGATTTTGCCCCTATCGTAGTAAAAGGTTGCATTGTTTCCGTGACCGCAGGAGAAGATTATGATGTGTTCAAAGCCGCGGATTATGTACATGATGATGCCACGATCTCGGAAAACGATGACGATTGACGAGTTTCAATGACCGTGGGAAACAATAATCATGTCTACATCAATGCAGGAGATATTCAAGATTTTGCACCGATCATGGAAAACAAAGATGATGTTACATTGGCAGAGGGAGGTGATGAAAAAATGTCCTTGAGAGTTTTTGGATTTTGCCACACTTTTCCTGAGATAAACGAGTAAAACATAGTAGTGATGATTTGTTTAGGGGGGGGGGGGGGCTGCACAACGTACGTTCTTCACTGCCACATAGTAGACTCTCTCTTATCCGAACACCTTTTAACCGGACATCGGTTTAACCGGACTACACTCAGTAGAAGTGACATCTCTTTATCCGTATAATTTGTATCAGCACATCAGTTTAACCGGACTAGATCGGCAGGAAGTGGGCGGTACTGAAACGACTGTTCTTGTGGGAAAGATTTGAGACCAGTGATTAGGTGTCTAAATGCAATTCTCTCCTAATTTTAAGTCAAATAGGTACTGTATAGAGTATGCATTTAAATGGTCCGTTTTAACGAGATTTTGGGGACGTCGGTTTAACCAGAAAAACCGTTATCCGTACTGGCCTCAGTCCCGAGGAGTCCGGATAAGAGGGAGTATACTTAATATGACTTCCATAGTTTTAACCTTGATTTAAAATGCCCAGATTACTTGTGCCTTCCCCTCTCTAATCTGGTTTGTACTTCATTGACATCATTGTACAAACCAGTTTCTAGGTTTTTTTGATGCATGAAATATAAAATAAATCAGTGAACAAGCTTAAGGAATTTCTTAAATACCAAGGAGCACGATATGTTTACAGGCTTTGATATCCTGTAAATTATCTCACAATGCTCTATAAGCAATACAGTAGTCAATTCTAAACTATTTATAACATTTTATAATGCACGCCCTATGAATTTATTACTGTATTTTTATTTCTTTTGCAGCTATTCACGAATTTGTTTCTCTTCCCAGGACTAATGAGACCAATCTTGCATATTCAATGAAGTACAGGATCCATGCTTTCTTGCTCGAAGTTAAACCTAACTTACCAAGTAAGTAGCTCTTGTCAAAATAAAAACTATGATTAATGATGAAATATGATTTTAGTTGCACATAGCCTAGCTTTATGGCATAGATATACCTAATTCGTATGTGAATTAAAAGTTGCACAATGTTTTTGCAACTTAAGTACGGTACGTATCCACCTGATTAAAGCCATGCCACATTGCCGTGTGTTCTGTAACGCTACGTTAAGCTTCAGATTTTTTGAGCTGATCACTTACCATTGTATCAAATGAAGTCACACCTTGAGAGACTCAGAGACCCCAGCAGACCTTATTCAACCACAGTTGTTGGTATGATGACTAGTTTCCTTCCTGAGAATAATAATTAGATCAGGTCATTGTGTATGCAACCACATCATCAATGTATTAATGGTATGTCATTAGATGCTTTAAAAAAATGTCACAATCACAATAATTAAAACTTGTTATGTTGATAAAAATAATTAAAATGGAATAATACCCCCGCCGCAGCAAACCTGCCGACTAAGCGAATTTCCATTTGTCTGAATTGATTTTCAGTTACCGGTAAATATATTTGAATAACATTCGGTTTAACCTAGGTTTGCTGCTACAAGGAAACTAATAAAGTGTCTTTTTGAGTAAAATATTGATAGCTTAGTGAAAAATAAATAAATTTGCCAAGTTTGATCAAAATATATCCATAAACAAGCAAACTACAACATTTGACAATATTCTCCATAAGAATAACATGGGAATTTTAAATTTACAATTTTTACTTTCTCCCCCTATACCATAGTATATGGAGAAAGTATTGTTTTCGTCAAAATTTTCGAGTTTGAGTTTTGAGTGGATATATTCGTTTTGGGTCCCCCTGGACCCAAAAAAGTGGTTTTCGAAGTGATGTCTGTGTGTGTGTGTGTGTGTGTCTGTGTGTCTGGATGTGTACAGAGCTAGAGACTACACCTGTGGTCCGATTTCGATGAAATTTGGTATGTAATTTCTAATCCATGGTATCTCCAGGCGTTTTTTTCATTTTTTTTGAAATTTTGATTTTTAATGGGGATTTTCCCATAAAAACCCATAAAAAACCGGAAAAATCAAATTTTCTCAAAAATGGCCCGAACGATTTTGATAAAAATTTAGTATGTTGTAGCCCTTTAAATTCTAAACAAACTGGTGAAAATCCCATTTCTCTAAAAATTACGGTTCAAAAGTTATGGTAAATTATGTTATTTTCCCATAAAAACCCCATAAAATAATCCTGTTTTTATTCAACATAGTATGTTATGGTCATTACAATTTTGATAGTTTTTTCAATTTTTTAGAAATTTGGATTTTAATGGGGATTTTCCCATAAATCCCCATAAAATAACGGAAAAATAGAATTTTCCCAAAAACGGCCCAAAACGATTTTGATAAAAATTTAGTATGTTATGGTCCTTTATATTCTGAAAAAAATTGTGCAAATCCCATTTCTGTAAAAATTACGGTTAAAAGTTATTTTAAATTATGTTATTTTCCTATAAAAACCCCATAAATTAACGGAAAAATCGGATTTTTCCAAAAATGGCCCGAACAATTTTGATAAAAATTTAAAAGTTTAACGAGTTTGATAAAAATTTAGTATGTTATAGTCCTTTAAATTCTGAACAAAATTGTACAAATTCCATTTCCGTATATTTACTCTCCCCGCTTACACATAATAAAGGTTGTTGACAAACTTATGGGAGAAAGTATGTGTCAGAATGCTGATACCGTTTATTTTAATTTTCTTCGTTACTAATAATCGAACAAAAATACTTTTATATACTAAATTATTTGTTTTTTTAAGCTCTTTAAAAAGGTCTAGAGAGAAATCGGGAAATTTTGTATTTTGAGGGTCAAAAGTGAGAAAAACCAATTTTTACCCCATAAAACCCCCCGTAAAGCCCCGTTCCCATGGTCCGATCGTGCTGGTTCGTGAACTCATTCATTCAAGTTTATCCCGCTTTACACCTTTAAACCAAATTTCATCAAAATCGGACAAAAATTACTCAAGTTATCGCGTTCACGGACGTATATATATATATATATATATATATATATATATATATATATAAGTCTATATATATATACATATATAAAAATTTGAACGAATGGCGTTTTTGGCCTCTGGGGACATCAAAATGAAAAAGTAAATCGGTCCCGGGTCTAGGTCTTACCATGCCACCTACGGTAATAGCTACTTCCCTATAGGGAAATTCGCTAAAAACTGCACATACATGGCCAGCACTGTCTTTTCACTGCCAATGACTTAGTAAAAATGACTGAATGAATGAATCATGATGTTTCTTCTTCACACCAGTGCCACCTGTATTTCAGTTTCTTTAGTTCTTCTTATATTATACTTCTTTAATTTAACCTTGTCAATATATGTATCAAATAATATAATGTTTGACTGAAAAGAAGTCTGATAATTTAAAATGTTACATAGGTTGAGTTTTTTAACTTGAATTCCTCTTTAATATCAAGCTTAAACCTTTTTGGTAATACTTTTTAAACTATTTCCATGTTCTTATCAATATGTGTGTAGTTGTGTGGTTCCGATATTAAATGTTTTGGCATAACTGGATTGCTGATGTTGTGATCTTTTAGGTATATGTTCTTTAAATCTTTGTTCGAAAGATCTTCCCTTTGGCCCATGTATTACTTTGGGCAGCGTCATTTAATTCTATGGATACCTGATTGTTCATTGTAGTTTGTGGCAACAGGTTTGGCGTGGAAAAAACTTTTGTAGTGTGTTGTTTACATAATGTTTGACCCTCGTATTGCTTTTATTTCTTATCCTTGGTTTTTTTATTCGTACGTTTAACCCCTTAACCGCCGTCTAAGTAGCCTAGTCAAAATCCGCCATTGCCACTTATTTTTGCCGTTTTTTGACGATTTTTACTTGTGATTTAAAAAATTGTACCAGTTGTTTTTTTTTAAGAAAATAGTTATCAATATTGTTTGTAGACATCTTCAAAAACATTAAGCTTTAACAATACTAAAATTTGAGATTGGGGGGGGGGTTCGGGGGTTTCTTGAGTTAGGCCTATAATAAAAATTAGGCCTACAATAAAGTCTACAACTCTAATAAATCATCATCCTCAAGCATGTCACCAGCCATTACGACTAATATTTACTACTCATTCAACACTATCAAGTAAATAACCACCAAAAATCACAATTATAATGACATGCATAATGTACGTAAGCATTACGTAAGCTTCCGCAAGTACGAGTTTTACTGAAACTACGAACGGAACTGATCGGGACCATTACTGACCTATAATACCACTAAAATCCACCAGATTGCAGCACTAGTCAAGCAGCACTGTCAACAACTTGTTTACGTACGTATATCAGAGATAAGGCGGGAAGTGAGCTGTTAAAAATAAAACACAACAGCTGATTACGTCAACACGAGATAACTCGTGCGTGGCGGTTGCTCTGAAAACTAGTATCGCCCGGCATATCTCGTGCGTGGCGGTTAAGGGGTTAAAATGGAAAAATAAAAACCCGTAAACAGACTATGAAATAATTCATTCCAAAGTTTACATTGGGAAAAAATTATTGAAGCTAATTGAACTGAGTTATAACTGACATATATGGATGAGGTGTTTAGTTAGGGTTAGGGTCACCTAGCCTAAACTTACCTCCGTTCGCTCGGACAGCTCGAGAAGTCCTGGGTTCTCACGCTTAACTGTCGCTTGCTACTACTTTTCGGCCTTTGGAAGACTATTGCGTCGATCTACCAGTACACGAGTACACCACTGTGTACGTCGGCACACCGACGCACCGAACACTGATCATCACCACTATGTCGCACAACAACACGGTGTCAGCACAGCGACGTATACGCTAGCTATAACGGTGTACTTACGTATCATAGAAGTTACGCGTGCCTTTGTCCAGATACGTTTAGTGGATTTGATGCACAGCCCAGGGGTGACTGGTGTGCGCAAACCTCTCGCTCGACGTCAATTATCTTAAGACTTGTTCAATGTCCGGCCGGTCTCTTCTCTACCCCACCACCGCTAAGTCAGCGCTCTGAGGTGGGGGCGGCCGAGTCCCGAACTAAGACGCTGGACATGTGTTTTACGACGTTTATTGTTGTAGTCGTGACATAACCGAAGCGCTCGGACCGTCCGTGAATGGGAATAATGAAAACGTACCCCTTACAAAAATGTGACCATTACAACCGATAATATATTGGATGCTCTCTGCGAAAATGTACTCCTGAATAACAATAAAATAAACAAAATATCCCAGCTGCAGCAAACCTGCAGACTAAGCGAATTTCCATTCACCTGATTAGATTTTTAATCAAATCTTGAAATATATTTAATTAACATTATGTTTAACAAGTACCTAATCTTGCTGCTACAGGGAAATTTGTCAAGTTTGATCAAAATATATCCATAAACGATCAAACTACATCTTCTTCTCCATAAGAACAACATGGAAAATTGAATTACAATTTTTTTTTTCTCCTTAACCAATAACGGTTGAAGGACACTTCAATATACTAAATTATTTGTTTTTTATAAGCTCTTTAAAATGGTTTAGAGAGAAATTGGCAAATTTTAGGTTTTGAGGGGTCAAAAATAAGAAAACCCAATTTTTACCCCACAAGACCCCGTTCCCATGGTCCGATCATGCTGGTTCGCGAACTCATTCAAGTTTAACCCGCCCTACACCTTCAAGCCAAATTTCATAAAAATCGGACAAATATTACTCAAGTTATCGCATTCACGGATGTATATTAATTTGGCAGTAATCAAATTGGTTTTGTAAGGGGTAAATCAACTGACGATGCTTTATTAAATGTCACAGAACAAATATTAAATAGTCTAACTCAAATTGTAAAATATCAGGACTTTTTATTGATTTCAAAAAAGCATTTGATTTAGTAGACCATGAAAAAACCGAAAACCGATATGTCCGGTTTACCGTTTGTATGTCTTGAAGCGTTGGGTATTAGGGGAACTGCGATGTGTTGGTTCAGAAGTTCTTAATAGGAAGGAAACAAAAAGTAAAATGTTTAAATCATTACAGCTCTTCGAAAACAGTTGAGTCAGGTGTTCCCGCAAGGATCAGTGACCTCTGGTATTTTATTTCTAGTATTTATAAATGATTTATTGGAACTTAATTTTAAGGGGGATGTCAGTGCTTTTGCGGACAACATAGCAATATTTTACTGCAACAAAGATTCTGTAATACTTGGTGAGTCAATCAATCACGATCTCTTGTTGTTAAGACAATGATGCCTCAAAAACAGAATAAAGTATGTCAATTTTGATCTTTCAGGTTTTGAAATACCTTTTCCTCTCACTTATCATTCTGCTTCATGTAATTTGATAGTCTGCGATTGCTAACCGTTAGAAAGTTTTTTTTTTCACTGTATTTTTCATTAATAAACTCTAGATTACAATATGGATTAATATGTTGAGGCGGAACTTATAAATATTTGATAGATAAACTGAGAACCACGAAAAACTACTTTTTACGTATAATGTTAAACAAATTCAAAACATAATCTTCTTTCCCTCTTTATAAGCAATTAAATATTAAACCTATTCAAAATCGATAAAATAGAAGAATTACCTTATCCAACCACAGTTGCTAGTATGACAACTAGTTCCGTTCCTTAGAACATCGTCAGGTCATTGTATGCAACCACATCATCAATGCATGCTATTCAAATATCAATGTATACTATCACAATAGTAAAAACTAGTCATAACTAGTCAAATATCAATGTATACTATCACAATAGTAAAAACTAGTCATGTTGATCAAATTATTAAAATTGAATAATAAGTGATAAAACTTATTGAAACTGTAAAGGCTGGCCAGCACTCTCTTATCACTGTCACTGACTAAATAAAACTGACTGAATCATGAGGTGTCATGATATGAAGGTGGTATGAAGGGGATGAAGTATCTTCATCTCTCCAGTGCCACCTGTATTTAAGTTTGTTTTGTTCTTCTTAATTGATACTACTTTGATTTGTAGCTTGTCAATATATGTATCAAATATAATATTTGACTGGAAGGAAGTCTTTGTCTTTTTTCGTTCTCTATTTATAGTTGTCCAGATCTCTTTACTTTTATTAGGTGCCTGTTGAATTTTATCCATGGTGTGTTCAGATTTTTTCTTTTTTACATTTAGGTCATATAATCGTTTGAGGGTGGTGTAAGTTTGCTTGTCAGCATCGAGGCCAGTAGAAGTGTATTTGTTCTGTGCATGTGTCAGGCTGTTTTGAAGCTTTTGTAGGTTGTCGTCCCAGAAAATAGCATTTGATTTGTCTGTAGGCCTAAAGGTTTTGGAGGTCTTAAGCATAGTTTCATCCATTTCCATTTGAATTATCCTTACAAGATTATTGTAATTTCCTTATACGGGATGGCAGTGTAGTACTTCTTCCCAGGTTCTTTTTTTTAAGTTTTCTCTTAGTTTTTCTAGGTTTTGATTTGTAATAGATCTGGTCATTCTTTTTATGGGTGGGTCAAGGTGAGGTAGGAAATTAGATAGCTTGCAGATGATGGATTCATGGTCGAAGAGGTTATTGTGACATGTGGAGGCTGATATTTGGCGGGGGTTGATATTAGTAGCACATCCATCGATGCAGTTTTTTTAGAGTGGGGTAATTCTGGTGTAAGAGGTTTCTATTAGTTGTAGGTTGTGCGACTTAAGAACATTTTGCAAGCTTGTTTTTAAGGTCCAGAGATTATTTTTTATAAGGAGTGAAAATGTGGTTAGTGACAATGTGTATTACAATACTAGGTATGTACGTCAAAATAATTTTAGACTACCCAAAGTCAATAAATCAATTTTTCGCCATTCCTTTGAGTATTTAGGACCAAAGTGTTCTAATCAAGTTCCTTCAAACATTAAAAATCTTGCAAATTTAAACTCATTCTCTAAACAATTGAATCTCTGGCTTACTGCACAGCAAAACATAGATAATTTAAGCAATGTTATCTCATAGATATGGTACCAAAGGCAAATGTAGGTCAATAGTTGCATGTAAGAATGAAATGACTTTCTACCTTTTGTTAAGTTTCCACAATTATTGTTGTTGTATTATTTATTGCCTATAATTATTGTTGTTTTGTTATTAATTACCTAAAATTATTTTTATTTATTGTTTACAATTAAAGTTATTTAATTGTGCTTGTATAATTCACAACATTTACATTGTTATTTATTTATATTTTAATATATGTATTTAGCAGATACCAAAATGGCGGCATGAGAGTTTTTAATGCATGATGCTAGACTCAAAATATGTTATAATTTGTTGTATATATTTGTTCTAACTGGCTGCACTACTTCAAAAGTGGCCAGTCAATTTCCAAATTCAAATTCAATGGAAATAAATTCATTTTATCATATATATATACAGTATATATATATATTTGAACAAATTGTGTTTTTGGCTTCTAGGGACATAAAAATTAAAAATTATATCGGTCCCGGGCCTCGGTCTTACCTACGCTAACAGCTACTTCCCTATAGGGAAATTCGCTAAAAAAGGAAATTTACAATTCTTAGCCTAACTTCATCATCAGGTTATTAGTACATTATTAGTTACAGTAGTAGTTACAGGTTATTAGTACAATACATCTTTTTCAGTCAGGGTGTTTTATATATATATAAGACTTCTTTGATACAAACTTTCCTTCAAATTATGAATAACAATGTACGTCTTTTATTAATGTGTTGGTTAAACTTATTAGGAACATTCTATTTAGGCAAATTCAAGCGCTAAAAATGGGAGCAGTTTACAGCAATGAATGGAAATGGGTTTTGATTTTCATCGCTGTTTCCATAAAACCTTTGATATTTGTTCATAAGTAACACATGTGTATAGCGTGGTATAGCTCTTAAGCATAGACCAATATAAATTTAACACCACTGTTACTTAACTACTGTATTTTTTGTTGCAGAATATTCTATAGATCTGATCAGTGGTCATTGCAACGACGGTTGTAAGAGATTTACGGTGTATTCTTCAATACATTGGAGCAAGGAAGGCAGCTTCAATGTTCCTACTTGTCCTGATTGCTTCAGTACAGGTCGGTCATCACTCAGGCACTCAGGCATATAAAAATTTTATTGTAAACCTAAGTCTTCAAGGACAAGATATTGTGTGAGTTTTCTGTATGACAAATAAAATTGCATTGTGTATCTGTCAATCAGTTTTGCGACTGCTCTCGCATTTAATGTTGCGAGCAAGATCACAGAAAACATATTACTATAACCCAGAATGCCAACCGCGTGGTAAAAAGCATTAAGTGTTTTGAGAGAACTTTGCCTGTCAATCGTAGGCAGCGCCACCAGCGTTGCCATGCACTCAGCATAGCAACGCTGGTGGCGCTGCCTACGATTGACAGGCAAAGCTCTCTCAAAACACTTAAGAGGCATCCACACCCCTTCTCGTTTTAGAATCGAACAGACAGACAGACAGACATTGGTCGCGCAACAGAGATATAGAAAATAGTGCGGCAGAGCACAACGCAAGAGTGACGTGTCGGCCAACCCTCCTCCCCCCCAACCCACCACCGTCGTGGCTCTAGCTCTCTCTCTCTTTCTCACTCCCTCCCTCTCACACACAACACAACACACTCGTCTACTGACTACTGAGCTCTGCTAGCTAGTGCCACTGTCCTCCACCTCCATGCGGCATGCCCTGCGTCCACACACTAGGCCTACATTACATCTTTTTCTGTCTTCATTTAATCCTGCAACCACGCACGTGTTTTTCCTTGAAGTAACATTCTAAAATAGTTAAAGGTTACTGGAAAAAATCAATTTTTTTACCTTGCGATGCTAATTCCCACCACAGTAGTATCCAAATAAAAACGAACTAACATGCGAGGTAAAACACAATGTTTGTTTAAAAAGTGTAAAAATCGGGATTAATTAAAAATTTCAGCATTACAGTTCTGTAAAAAACAACTTTAATTATGTATAAACTTAATTATATGATATAGGCCTAATACTTTAAGGCAAAACATGTTTTAGAATAGTGCATAGGTTACATCAGAAATGTTTTCCCACAAAATGTATCCAGGATGAAAATGCAATAAAACATTATTATAAACACAAACTAACAAATATATTACATTATGACATGTTGTTTGGACAATAAAGCGTTTAGGTTGCATAATTTTTATTTACATAATAAGAAAATGCAATAAAATTACATTGTAAACACAAACAAAATACTATATAACAGCACAGTATATAAAAAATGTGTCGTATACACACAAAAGAACCTTATACTTGAGAAATATATTACATAATTTTTTTCATAATATTAATAGAATAAGAAAATGAAAGAACAGAATATTGTAAACACAAACAAACTTATATATTAAAGTGTACAAAAAAATTGTTTGTATACAGAAACAAGCCTTTACATATACTTCAGAAATATATCATAAAATGAACCACAATAGCAAGAAAAAAATTAGTAGGCTTAACTAACATTCGTAAATAAAAAAACCAAAATATAACACATTTGTATAACAAATATTAATATTGCAATTAACCTTTAGCGGGAAAATCCAATACTATTTTCGTTCTGTATGTTCTTAGTGTCATGTAACGTCCGAGTGATGATCCGTCCGCCTTACTTTACGTACATATATCCCACAGTGGAGGTACATATTCAAAAATGACAAACTTTACTTTTTTGCTCGTTTATTTTCCTTGTTTTTCAATTTTTCTTCCCGTTTCTCGATAGCGGCCAAAATGTAGTACGGATTTCTGATAGGCATACTTCTTGTCTTCCTGGGGTCAATAAGTTCAGGTAAAATGCAGTTCATGTAAAACCGTGTCAATTTATCAACCATTTTCAATGACCAGAAACTATCGTCTCTTTCTATTTTTTCGATTTTCATCCCCTTAGGCGTCCAAACAATAAAATTACAATAGCTTCGTCTTGTGACGTGTAGTTGTCCTTGCATTTGGAAGTAGTAATCATGGTTTACATTTATTTCTTTTTTGCCAGAAGTTTGGTCTTCTTTCCAAAAGTTTGCAAACACCCCTTTTTTTTGCTTGATAGCTTCATCTGGAGTCATATCTGCTGCTGCTGATGGACATTTTATTTCAATTATTCCATCATCACCCAAAAGCCCATCAGGTGAAGCTGCCAGAAAGGGAAGTTCTCGGTCGATGAAGAGGCCACATTCTTGGATCTGAAGACCAGAAGACTGCAGTTCTTCTCGGGCCGCTGCTTCATTTTCCCTTCCATACTGTAAGCTAGCGGAATCCACCTCGTCACTATATAATAGTTTGGTCACAAGTTTGTCACATTTAGTGTGTGGCAGTCTCTTACAAACCGCTGCAAAGTTGGAGGCAGTGAGCAGTTTTCGCCTCTCCTCTCTCCACAAGGTGGATTCGTGCTGCAACCTAGTCGCCGTTTCGATTTGAACGATTTCCTCATCAGTTTTATTTAAACTACTTAGGAACTCGATTTTCCTGGATTGAAATTCCTGTTCGTCAATATCGGGTCTTTGGGCGTGTCGCCCGTAGTGTGGATCGTTTGTTGGTTTTGTTGTTATCAAAAGCCGCCTTTTACTCTTTGTAGCTGATCGTCGTTTTATTGCAGCTTTGACAATTTTAGCTTTTCTCCTCTGTTCAAATGTCTTGGCGAATTTGCCCAGGCTGTTCTTATACAAACATTTGTGCAGTTTGTAGTGTGGCGTGTTAGTGTTGTGACTAACAACTGCTGCAGCGCAACGAGCCTGGTAAGAACCCTTCTTAGTGTAGTTCACTCGTTTTCCACCAATGAATTTTGCTACTAACGAGTTGAAGTGTTCGGCATAGTTACTGTTTACATTTACCAGCAAACTTTTGGCATTGTCTACCAGGGAGCCGACAGCTGTCATGATTTTGCTGTAAAGACCCATTTTCTTCAATGTTGGAATGAGATTCTCTTCTTCAGGTTTTTTGCCATGACAAAAGTAATTTCTGTCGGAGCAATGGAGGTGTTCTCCAAAAATGTGACTTGGGCCATTCAGAAGATCTTTCTTTAGTTCTAAAGATTGGATGTTGATGGGTTTGTTTTCGTTTTTCCTATACTCCACAGCCTTCGTAACCGCCGACCTAAACTTTTTCCCAGCCCCTGCAATCTTTTTTCTCATGTCTAGTGTGGATAACATCTCTCCCTTCTCGTTTGTGTATTTTGAGGTGTCTTTAGAAATGTCTTTGATTTTGTTACAGTAATTTCTTAGTAAATGATTGGTACATTCTATTTTTTCTATAGTCAGGTTTTCGTAGGGTCTCTCTTCCAGTAACTGTAAACACTACTGTCTCCATCAGCAATTAGTCTAGCATACTTGATGCCGTACATAGATTCGCTCTGCCTGAATCCTTCAACGATAATAGCGGCCTCCATGCTGCTCGATGAGTCACTCCAATTTCTGTAACAGGCATGGCTTGATATCTCTTCTCCTTTACTTTCGAATCTCGCACACGCTGTGCAATATTTATTTTTCACTCCTATGTAGAGGACTTTTCGAGTTCTGTATCCCAGGATAGCAGCCTACAACAAGGGCAAATCATTGAAATAAATACAGTTGTGATAATATATTTCAGCCGTGAATAACATTAAAAATATCTGCCAAAGTTGTTATTAATTTTTTTTTATTCAGTTTATCATTGAATTTTGTATAGTTTTTCCAATATGGCCGACAACTTTATTTTTGTAACAATTAACAATTGTCAAGAACAATGTTATTTAGTATTTAAAATTCAGAATCTACTGAAATTTCCAATTTACCAAATAAATTTGTTCCCCAAATATAAAAATCTTTTACTGTACGGTAATAAAATACGAGGTTTCATAAAGACCGGTTGAAAAAAATTGAAAGATAGAAATGTTTATGTAAAAAATACTAAATGGCGGATATCTGGCTAACGAAGTGATTTTAGAAAATGTTTCAATATTGTTGGGCTCTTTATAATGATGGAAACATTTCCCGGAGTGTGTCCTAGTAGAAGCTGGACACCCTGAATTTAAAACAGTTGCCAATACCACATATTTGCCATACAATTTCCTCAACCTGCTATTTCCCGACTGAACTACAAACAGCAAACACTTACAACTCCTGAAGCTGAGTTGTAGTTTGAGGATTTGTAGGACCGTTTTGCCCAGCTGGCATCTGCGACGACGGTGATGAGCGGCACGCCGTCTCGATCCACCTCGCCACTCTCCAGCGCCAATCGTGCTTCCTCCACCGCCGCCTCGCGCATCTCCTCTAGTGCTGTCTTCTGCCACCCTTCTGCAACCTGTGAACCACCATTACCCGAAACTTTACAATTGTGGTCAATATTGCCGTTTGGAAGGTCACATTGAAGTTGTTATCAACGTCTACAATAATATCTATAGGATAAGATTTGATCCTGTAAGTTGGTATTATATAATACACTATACTAGCAGAGAACCCATCCTTCGTACGGGATTGGCATATAACTATAAAATGCTTATTGCAGTTATGGGAGAGGACACGGTTTAAGAACATATGTTTCTTTTAATCTATACTGTAACTATAGTAGGCCTATAGCACATCTACCATAGCCATATTGTTCTACCACTGCACCTAAACCGTAGAAAAAAAGTACCACAGCTTTTGTTGCTAGTTGGTTCAAATTATCTGTTCTCATAAATGCCAAAAAATAATAGTGCTGCACCCTGTTGGTAAACCTTATACGTTTTTAATGCTAAATATCATAGAACCAACTTGTGTAGTTGAAACATCTAAAAGAATTTGTCAACTCATACTAATTGTCAATACGTACTAATTGACTTACCATAGAATGATAGCGGTCATAAGTAGTGTTGCTCATGCAGTGGATGTCCATGGATCCTAGCAGCTCCTGGAGACCGGAGTATCCACTACCGATGGACATGATGCCGGCCACCGCTGCAGTGTTGACGTCCATCTGCTGGTTGTTGTTTTCTTCAGACCAAATCACGTCACTCAAATTGCACATTTCACACTTAAACTTGTACCCAGATTTCAATCCGTTTGTTATTTCACCTTGGAAAACCATGTTTCCAAAATGGCAATCAAAAGGCCCGTCATGGTGGCTAAGCCGCCGGATTTCGTCGAAGAAATGTTCTATTTGCACAATGCGCCGGCCGGTCAATTCAGGGAGGTCTTCTCCAGCGGAAGAGGAAGTTTCCATGGGCAAGGGACTTGAGGACATTACGGGTGTTTGGTATGAAGGTGTGGTTAGGGGTGACTGAGGAAGGGTCTGTGTCTTGGGGGGAGTTACTGGCAGTGGTGCCGGTTCAGATGGAGTTGGTGATGTTGACGTTGACGCCTGGTTTCTATAAGCCGCCGTATGTCGCAGCATCCGCCACTCCGCCAACCTTTCACCTCCACGGTTTTTTTTCCGTTTTACCCTTTGGGGCCTCACTTTACGCACCATGTTTTCAAAGAAAGATAAGAATGGCTAGTCTACTGTAGTTGTATAAGATTATGTGCAGTGGCCTATACTAAATAATATTAAAAACACAACACAAAACAAAAACACGACACAGAAATGTATAAATAGATAGCCCACTATTTATACATTACAAACACGATCTATTTATTTATACAAACACGATGTATTCACATAGACAGGTACAGAAAAATAATATGAGAATCTATAGTGTGTACTATGCGAGCGTCCGAGTGCTACTACAGGACAGTATGCCAGGTAGGAACTGCAAAAAACAATATTTCTTGTGAATTTCTTAGAACTGAGTGACTCATCCCTCACCCCCCCCCCCCCCCCCACACTCTCGCCCCAAACACAACTCTAATCAAGTTGAGACTGTCAAGTTTGGCCGTTCACTTTCCAAAATGTCTAAGAATATTCGCAACTGCATTTTAGCTACTTGTTTATAATTTGGTTGGAAATAGGTGTGCAAGATTTTGTAGGCCTCCTGCGAAACCAACAATGAATAAACAGTTTTACGTAAAGTGATTAATCTCACCATTGCCAATTTCAAGTGTTAATATATCTGTAAAGCTTTATTTTGTAGTAAGGCGTAGTTAGAAACATATATTGTTGCACCAATATACCAAAGCTATAAAACTTATTATAATAGTAAACGTTATTAAAATATCTAGGGAATTGTGCTTAAACTATATTTTTAATACAGTAGTACTCGCAACTTAGGTCTACCAATTAGTGTAGTGCTTCTATCACACCCACGATACGATGAATATCGTAGTTACTGTAGGGATAAGGTTGTATACGTCATTTAATAGTAACGTCACGGAATAAACTACGTCATTCTTAGTATGAACAAAAATTACTGCGCGACTAAATGGAAGCGCCTCACTTTGCCGCTAGGATCGCTCGAATCAGTGCGCATTCCGTGATGTAAGGGTTTGCGCGGTCCCATTTTGTGCCCGTATTTTTCAACATATCAATGTAATACAATATTATTTGAATAAATAATACTCTAAACTACTCGAAATGCTTTTTTAAATTTTGAAAAAAAGACATAAAATAAGCGATATTAATATCCAAAGTTGATGATTTTCAGTTGACAATATAAAAAAACTATTTAAGTTATCGAAATTTCCAAAAAGCAATTCTAGTAGTTTGGACTTTTCTCGTTATGAATATATTTAGTTTATAATTTTCGCTCAATTACTGGGGCGTCTATATGGGACCGCGTGAAAGCTGTTTTTGGAAATTTGCGACTGGGTGTGGAGGACTCTTAATGCTTTTTACCATGCGGTTGGCATTCTGGGTTATAGTAGTATGTTTTCTGTGGCAAGATGGGGAATCTTTTGACAATCCAACTCATATGTTTAAGGTAGGAATAAGTTTTGCACTTGCACTGGAACCAAATTAATCCAAATGGGATATAACATGTCAGATCAGTGCAAGGTGAAGTAATAAGTGGTTCAGTTATTTATTTTATTTTGCTCCTGTTTTAAAATAAATAAATAATAATTTATAAATAAAAGAACTTTTTTAAAACAAAACGTTTAAACACACTAAAATCAATTGCATGCACCCCACGTTTTTCGTTTTAAATCTCACAAGTATTTATACTCTCCATATATTTATAAATTATTTTCTACTTTTTAGTTTTAAATGTGTGTGGATGTTAAATCTATTTCAAGCATCTATATCAGATTAAGACAGAGGCATGTGGGAAATGTGGCAATCTTCAATTGCCAGAGATTTATTTGAGTTTCTTTTCATATAATTATGTATTAAAGTGCGTTCAAACAGCCGTGGCACCTGAGGGATTAGGAGGCCCCAAGGGTTTCCATGGGGTGTCCTAATCCGTCAGGTGCCACGGCTGTCTGAACGGAGTATAGATTGAATGTATGGCCTACCTTAATAACTATAAATATATCAATCTATTTAATTTATTGTTTACTTTATAGAATACTAAATAAATAACAATGACATTATTAACAAACACCTTTATATCTGCAATCAGATTGCTTGTATTTATTTTAAAATGTTTGTTTGTATAAAGAATCTCTTGGGAGCATAACCTGTACCTCTTAACCTCTGCTCTTCGAAATGTCAAATTTAAGTATTTAAAAATCTTATTGAGCTCATGATTCAGATCAAAGAACACGTCGCCAACATCCCAGAGGACACATTGCGTCGCACAATGCTAAGTCTTCAAAATCGATTGAACGAATAATCAATATAATAATCTATAATATTAAAACGAAACATTGTTTTTTTATTTCACAATTCTGAACCAACCACTCGACGGATTTTCATGATTTTTGTGTTGAAGGAAAGCTAATTTTGAGAACTAGGGAATGTCGAAGCCATAATTTTAGTTTAGGGTCCCAGTTTTTTAGAAAGTATGTTTTAATTTTTTTAAAGTCTAGCAGCCGACGCTAAGATTCGAAACTAGCTTTTGGCATAAAATAATTTGCTTAACAAACACCTGTAAACATTCAGCATTCATTTTTTGTATCACAAATTCAGCATTTGGATAAAAATGTAAAGACATACTTAGGGTTGACTTATTAATAACTTACTATGTGTAATAATAATCATTGATACGTTCAATTCTTCTGTAAGAGGATGGCAGAATAATTAAATGTACATAGTAAAATACTAGGATGTTCAAATTATTTTTTAAAGCAATCTTTGTAATCTTTGATTTGTTTTAAAGCAATATAATTTAACAGCTGGTTAAATATAAACTATGGACCTATGAGGTTATTTTATTTTTGTCATTGATTATATAGGAAATAAGTAAGATTAGTAGAGATAATTAGACCACAGTTTTAACCAAAATTAATTAAACCATAGTACAAATCGAGGCTCTGTACACGAGTCTTAATAAAAAAGGATAAATGCAAATTATTTTACTGCTCCACTTTTCAAGGAAAGATTAGAAAAATAACAATGTTTACATGTTTTAATTATTCATGGTAGCTTTTTGTTTACAATTAATGTTTGTCTGATTTAACTTTGTTTGGATTAGGCCCGGAAATATTGATGTCATAAAAAGAAGATCAAGAATAATCAGGAATCACGATTTTAAAAATTACCACCACAACCTCAGCCGGGTTTTATACAAAGATAAACAGATTGATGACATAGATTGAACACAACGTCAACATTGACCTAGGATACTGCAATTAGACAAACCATCCTTTTATGAAATCGTGTTCAGTTGTGGTTATGTTTGGGGGCGCCCCCAAACATGAAAATATCACTTTTCTTTCAACTATGAATATATCGTAGTTTAAATGAACTAATATGGGAAATTACGATGTACATTTATTCAATGAGGGTGGGTAATTATCAAGGATAGAACTGATAACGGTATGGATAATAAACATTGACAATTCCGTCATTAGCTTTACTAGCGTGTTTACTTTTTATATTCCTGCTACATGTGACCAGTTCTTTTTTAAATGAATGTTATTTGAACCAAACAGCTGTTTCAAAACAAACTGTTATTGTTTTTACTTTTCTTTGTTTACGCTTATTTATTTAGCAATTAATGCAGTGAAATTGATATAAAGGATAGGTGTGACTATTAGTTTTAATGTTAGGACACCAAAGTTAAATTATGTGTACGGTGAATTTTATTGGATACTATCGTTTTATTTTAGGTCGTTTCTATTCAGACCTACTGGGAATTGTGTATAGTAGTTGTATTGTGGTGATAATAATTATGGAAGAGGCAGGTATGCTATGGAAGGTGGTATCGTTGACTAGGTCTATACACTTCTCAATTGACTATTACTCTTTCTACTGTAGGCTACTTATAATCAGTGTGCGTCTGTGTGAATCGGCTGCAAATCTCACTTCAACGCTTTTCACATCGTAAAAATTGCAGAATTTCTGTTTTATTGCAAAATTATCGGATTTAAAATGCATATCGTATAGGCCTATGATGGAATAAAAACATATTTCGTCACACAACATTTGTCTGCAAGAAACTTTGTCTTTACTTGTGTAAACTAGCTGATCTGAATTGTACACGGTTTTAACTGACCACTGAATTCCCGTGCGTAGGACGGGCTAACACCTTGTAATAATAATAATAATAATACTTAGCAATTTATGTTTTAGTTGTTTTTTTGAATTTTGAAAGGCTTGGTCCCAACTCAAGGAATAATGGAAGTGAGTTGAAAAGCTTTATGCCAATGTACAAACCATAGATAATGTTTCTAAATAACATCAATAAATAACAGCAATGCTGCAACAATTGCTATAAAAAATGACAAACCGTGTAAATCCTAAAAAATGTTGTTTTCAAAGAGAAGTCCCGTTTATTTCACCTCAAATACATTTTTATCATTTACCTAATATTGGTGGTTAAGCTACTTTACTAACTGAATAAAATCATTTATTAATAAAAAGAAAGTTAATTCTGGGCAAACCGCACAGGTCCCCCTAAAACACTTGAACGTATATTGTTGTAATGCATTTATACGACGTTTATAGTGATTATTGTTTTTTCAGGTGTTAAAAAGACTCTGTTGCTTACGTTCAAGTTCAAGCTGCTGGTCTTGGATCGTGATGGACATCACATGACTATACATTTGTGCCACACAGAAGCTGAAAAATTCCTCGGTGAGGTCTACAAGTAATAGGCTATTTGCAGGTTTAAGGGACACGTTATTTTAGATTTTTATTATAACTGGTTCTTGCTTAGTTTTTATAGATACAGAAATTTTACACTATCTGTTAAATATTGACTTTTTCGGATAAACAATATATTCTAACTTTTTAGATAGAAAAACAAATCTTCATAAACCATCTTTGATTCCCCAAGACAAAATTACAGCTATATGTTTCCAACGAACTAACAGCGGTTGACAAGTTGTCTATGACTACATCAAGTATTAAACCATTCATATGCGCGTTGTCGGGCCTTTTGCTGTAAAAAATAATGAAATAAACAAACAAAATACTATCATAACAAAATATGTAGATTTTTTTTAATTGTGTGTGTTTTCAAACATTGAAAAAATTTTTATCTGTCCTCCAGGTTGTTCAGCAGTGGATTTTCTCAGAAAAGAGTCAGTACGAGATGTAGCTATTTTACCCTTGGTGGATTACTCAGCATCAAAGACATATGAGGCAGACTTCACCCCGCTGATGGAACTGTGTATAGTCCCAGCCAAAGGTGTATTCTTTGTAGTTGATTCTATTCTCAGGAACAGTTCCCTTAGGAAATAGAGTATTGACAAAATATCACAAACTAATACAAAAATAAATATTTTAGATGAAATCTACTTGTTACACATCATAATCTAACTGAGAGATGGCTCTGATGTTCATTTGTTGGTATTATTAAATACTATTAACTAGGGGCGAATCGACCGTGGTCAATAGAAATATCCCTACAATTACCTCACTATCCACACAAAAAAAATACCATGAAAGTTTTATAAATTTCTATCGACCAGGGTTGATTCGCACCCAGTTAAAGGGGGGTCTACACGCAAGAATTTCACTAACGTTTAATCTGCGCAGGTAAAACGTTGCAGTCAAGTCGTTGCAAATAAATTGCAAAGAAATTCGTCCACACGGTACAGGTTTCAGCACCAACTTTTAGTGTAGTTTTGAGATAACTTTCAGTGTATGTGCATGTAAATCATGGAAGATGTGTTTCTGTGGTCGATTTCTGCAGCCAGTGTTACAAGAAAGCAAAGAAATAAGTCTGAGCAACGACGGCGCTCACTATGGTCATTGGTTATTAAAGGACAACCAATTTCATAATATTTTCTCTGTTCACGTTTAAATCTACTGCTTTGTATTTTTCAAAAGTATCTAAGTCTTTTTCATATCACAGTCACTATGTTCCTTACTCTTGACCCTCCATAAATTAACAAAAACTTCAGCACAGTTCGATGAATTCAACAATACAATCATGGGAACATTGGTGAAGATCTGCGATCGTAATTAAAAAACACACTTATACCTCTGACAGCACGTGAAGAAAACAGTGCATACTGGGGTTTTGAGCGTGAAGACGGAGTTGAAACGGATGACAGTGTACACACGCAACAACTTGTCTGAAAACGTTGTCAAAACTATGCTCTCCGCAATAGTTTTATCGCTCCGTCTTCCGTCTCCGCGCAGTTTAAAAAAATGCATAGTTTTGCGGTACACGCGCAACGATTTATTTGCGCAGGTAAAACGTACGGCAAATCCTTGCGTGTAGACCTGCCTTAATAGTAGTTCTACTGTGCCTAAAGTAGAAAATATACTATTTTAATTTTTACTCAAATAGTGTGTTTTGGTCTTTTTAAACAATTTTGATACAAGGATGATCTGGTGACCTGGATGGGGTTCAGTTTCAGGTCATTGACGTTCCACTGTATTAACACTTTATTTCCATATAAAAATTCAATTTTCTACTTGATATTTCAGGTACTATATTTTTTTTACATAGACTTAAGAACTTTTGGTGAATTATGTGATTTAAGAATAACCTACTGCCAAATAAATGTTAAGAATTAAAAAAATTGTCATACTAACGTACAAAGAAATTTATAGCTCATAGCTCATATCTATGAAAAATAACATAATGGTGTTTCTTAACCCTTCCCGGACGGGCAAAATTGTGACATAAAACGGGAAAAAATAAAAATTAATTTTCCTTATTTGTGTTTGTTTTTCAAGTATACATAGCCTAGAATAAACACAATGGAACACTTCATACTGTCAAAATAATTTTCTGTATCAAATTGTGCAATAAAAAATATAAACAAGTATTTATGTCTTTGTTGATTTACAGAATATGGGTTTTTGTTATTTTAATGATAGGTACTGCTTATCTACTATCAGTTACTATGTATTAAAATTTTTTGAAACAGTTTGAAAAGTTATTGGATTGTTGGATCTTGTAAAAATTAAAGTGGAATAAAATGTTGGATATGTTACCTTTAACCATGACAATTGGATATTATTATTTAGTCTTAGGACAATTCTTTATTTCCATTGTTATCTTGTATAGTTGTTAAATTAAATTCATTTGTATTAAAAGTTTCCCTTAACTCCATGCCTGATTGTTACCTTTTTGTAAATAAATGTCTCTACAGAAAAGGTATATTTGAAGTAGGTATTTTCAAATACCATTTCAGTTTTAAATATTTTGTTTAGTGGTATATAACAACAATTAGATACTGTATTATTGTTGTATTAAAGTTATAGCCTGGTGTACAGTGCCGAGTACGGCAGACGATTCAGTGTGGGAGTTGCCACTCTTTCTCTAACTCGCTTGTTGTAGGCATGTAGGCGAGTCGGTACAAAGAGGTCAGTTGAGAGCTAGTAGAGTGTTTTAGTTAAAAACCGAGTTGCTCGGCCCAGTAAGTTTAACTACTCCCACCACAGATATTTACCCGCAAAACATCTGTTTACTGTAGAGTAATTGAGGTTGGTTCAGTACTCACAACTCAATGGTTCAGTTGAACATTTGGTCCTGCCCAGCATTGCATTCTTTAGCTGTACATAAAATGTAAATCCACTATTATAATATTCAGTTTCAAAAAATCTGAGTACAACTAAATCTACTGGAGCGATTTTATAAATGAATACCCATTCATTTATAAAATCGGTCCAGTTTTTTATAATTTTCAAAAGTTAGTTTTTGACTATTGGCTTACAAAAATCAATATTTTCGATACCCAACAGTAAAATAAAACCATGTTTTCCAAAGAAATACATTGAAACGGGGGCTTTCAAATTTTTATTTGGAGGCACCTTTTGGCTGCCTTCAACTTAATGAGTATTTTCAAGAAATGCTTAATAATTTGTATCAAATTTTCTTTTCTTTTATAATATCATCCTTCCATTTTGTTCGATTTCCGGTACTTTCCTATTATACGGCAAGGCCACTTATTTTACATCGCGCTGCGGTGGTTAGGTTAGGATGGGTTATCATAGATATGTTTGTAGGACTTTGACTTTCCTCGTTTTGTTATGAATCAAATTACCTCACCTCACCTTTTAAAAGTTATTTATGAAAGGCTTCGCAATGTCTGCATGAAAGTGGTGATTCAGTTCTAATTTAATTCAGCGATTTAAGTTCTACATTTAGCAACTCATGACATACTCAAATGCTTTTGGCTTTGTGTTAAACAACATTTAACACAAAGCTACGCTATATGTCTACTGTCCCCCTTCACCACAGAGAAGTAAATCAAATTACTTCTCTGTGCCTACACTCTCTCTGTCCGAAATAGGGATGTAAGTGGACAGTCTAGTCAAGTACTAGGCGAGTTGCACAAATCAACAACTGAGCCTAGTTACTGGACCGAACAACTTGTCTGCCATACTCAACCCATGTAAACCAGGCTTAAAGGCCACTTACCAGCGTCCACTTGTACCAGTGCACTTTTTCATCATATAGTCCAAGCTGTATAGCCCCGCCGCACTGCAAACCTGCAGATTAAGGGAATTTCAATTTGTCTGATTGGATATTTAATAAAATATTACCAAAAACAAAAAATATTTATTCCACATACAATCAAATCTAATTAAATCTTTTATTGGGCCAAATTAACAATAATACATTTGGCATTAACCAGGGCAATACAAGAAAAATATTAATTATAATATTTAAAATAATATTACAACATAGAGAATTCAAAATGCCTTGAGAATTAATTCTTGAACGCTGTAAAGGCTTGGTTCCAACTTTAGAGATAGTGGAAGAGAGTTGAACAGTTTTATGCAAACATCAAATGAATGAATGAATAAAATGAATGAAGTGCACAACAAATGTAAAAATAATATGTTTTGTGTTGGGAATTGGCTAGTTAAATGAAGAATAAAAGTCAAACTGAGAATAGTTTTGTTTACCATTAAGTGCATAGCAACCCATCAATATATAAAGTAATTTTTTAAGCTTTACAACATGGTTTGGAAAGAAATCGCCTGTAGACGTAGATATTTTTTTTAAAGAAAAAAACATTTTTAAGAACAATGTTCACCTAATAAAATTACTATAAAACCCTGTTTTTTAGTCCGATCCGATCATGCTGGTTCGCTAATTTGTTTGATAAATGTAAGTTTACACATTTATAAGATATTTCATCAAAATCAAATTTTTTTGCTTGAGTAGTTATCTTGGTAACGGACAATATGAATGTATGCCTAAAAATGCTAAATTCAAAATGGATGGTGTTTTTGGCCTCTGTTGACTGTATTAGCTTACTCCATATATGGGAATTTCACTTAAACTTATTTTAGAATGACATTGTTAATAAAAATAATTTGAAACTGGTATTTGGTAATTGAGGTTAAATTATTGTGGGAAAGTGGTTCAAAATCCTGAATTTCTTTTTTGATATGACAGGAATCGAACTTGTCCCTCTGCCTCAAAAAATTCAGAACGCTAACCACTAGGTGTTATAAGCAACACTACCTATTATAAAATTAATACTACAAGTAGGTAATAATAAAACTAAATTACAAGATTACAACACCTGAGAAAAATCTAAGCTTTCTTCTGCGGCATTTGACTTGTAGAAAAGACGGGATCTTCTGGAATGGCCTAAGTCTGCTCTTTGATCATTGTAGGCTGGCTGAACAAGGTGAGGATCCTACGTCTAAAGAATCAAATAACCAGTTGTGGAGTCCACAATTTTCCAGTGCAGGAACGTTCACCATTGCAAGGAAAAAATACAGATATGCCTATCAATATAATATTTATTATCTATGATAAAGGTTATTTGGAATAAGCAGACTGCAGAGTAGGAATGCTGTTGCGTCTCACTACACCACTGCTGATAATAACTAGATACATGTCTTAAGACAAGCTTATGTGTAAGCTGCCGCTCAGTTTACCAGATTTCAGTTAAACAGACTGAGGCCAAAAAATACTCTTAAGTGTTCCACAAGCCAAAAAACATTTTCCCCCTTAAAAGAATGAGTATTGTGACAAACATTCTAAAATTGTTATCTGTTACAATGTTCCTAATTCGGGTCATTCCATATGAAATCAACCAATGGTCTGGAACTTGAAATCACAGAATTCAATGATAATTTTTTTATAAGTTATACTATTAGAGAATATGAAAAATACCAAGTTTTAGATTTTTTTTACTTTTTGTTTCTGAGTTATAAATTTTTGAAAATCTAAAAATCGGCCGATTTTTGACACGTTTGGAAATCTTTAAATACCTCTACCTACAAAACCATTCAACTTAGAGAGTTCAAACTTTCACCATTCTCTTTAGAATTTCAAGAGCTACAATTTGATATGTCATTTGACTATATTAGCTTAGTAATAAAAATTTTTAAAAATCCAAAAAAAGTTTTTTTGAAAAATCTTAAAGTCGAAATGTTTAATTTTTTTGGGGAAAAAATATGTTTTTTGTATTTTTTATTAGAGTGCATGTGCCAAATTTCATTATGGTACTCCAATGGGATCATATTTAAAAAAATACTACTGTGTAGTTAAACATGTAAAATGAACAAAAAGTGTTAATTGACTATAGATGCATGACGTAACATAGTAGGCCTACCTACTGTAGCAAAGCAAAATTTATTGTGAAAATACATAATTATAAAGAAAGATCTATATTACAGTGCAGTAAAATAAACTTTAATAATGATACTAATAAAATAATAACTACATTGAATACATTTTACCAATCAGTAAAATATAAGCCTATGCCTGCCATTGTATTTTGTAGCAAATGATTCATAAACGTCATTGATATTCTTACCACCTCTTTATAATCATGAAATTAATTGTTATGTTTTTTGAATACAGTAATGTCTTTTTCATTTCAGGCTATCACTTTAAAATAACCAATTTAATGTTGTTTATTAAATATTATTTATGATAACATTATATATTTAAGATGTTCATATTTCAGTGTTCAATTTATTTAATATTTACAATAAAAAAACATTATCATCTAGTAAACTGATGTGAACACAAGCCACTGTCTTGAAACCAGTATGTAATGGTTTTATGCATATAATGCTTGCTTCTTCTTTGATAAAATTTGGGAAGCTTTGGACATCTTGTTGGCAGATAATTTGTATGTCCTACCAGTTGGCGTGGTTGGATTAACACTGCATTAATAAAATTATGTGGCACTGTTAATACATCTGGTCTTCTGGGATATGCAAAAGAAGGAGGTGGTCCAATGAGGATGGAGAAATGGTATTTTTGTCTATGGTATAACTTAGTAAGTTATTTTTCAGATTGGTTTTTAGACAAAACACAAGCTATCCAACATTTTCTGTTATATGCACAAGCAACAAATCCATTTATTTCTTCAAATGGTACATCGTTAACTTAGCATCTGGAACAACTTGTACGACGTGAAGATCCTACTTTTCAGTATCAGATATAATTTTTATGTCATATCAATGACTTTTTTATGAATGATTTGCTACAAAATACAATGGCAGGCATAGGCCAAAAGCCTACTGATTAGTAAAATGTATTCAATGTAGTTATTATTTTATTAGTATCATTATTATAGTATTTTACTGCACTATAATACAGATCTTTCTTTATAATTATGTATTTTCACAATACATTTTTCTTTGTTCAAACCTATTAAGATTACAGTACACTATAACACGTCATGCATCTATAGTCAATAAAAACTTGTGTTCATTTTACCTGTTTAACTACACAGTAGTATTTTTTTAAATATGATCCCAATGGAGTACCATAATGAAATTTGGCACATGCACTCTAATAAGACATACAAAAAACATATTTTTCCCCAAAAAAATTAAACATTTCGACTTTAAGATTTTTCAAAAAAACTTTTTTTGGATTTTTGAAAATTTTTATTACTAAGCTAATATAGTCAAGTGACATATCAAATTGTAGCTCTTGAAATTCTAAAGAGAATGGTGAAAGTTTGAACTCTCTAAGTTGAATGGTTTTGTAGGTAGAGGTATTTAAAGATTTCCAAACGCGTCAAAAATCGGCCGATTTTTAGATTTTCAAAAATTTATTACTCAGAAACAAAAAGTCAAAAAAATCTTAAATTTTGTATTTTCTATTACTTTAAGGTATTGAACAAAATTACCAAATATTACCCATTTTGAAAACCTTAAGTTCTGAAATTATTTTTTTATTGGTTGATTTGACATGGAATGACCCATTCCTCATTTGTTTTAGTACAGGGGCAATTAATATGCTACAGCCTACTTATTGTGGTCATGTCAAGTTGGTCATTTGATTCATGTCGTTTTAACTAAATACGTGATTTGTTATGGGCCTACTGAATAGTGACCTATAGAAAGCATAAACCAAAAAGTATAATATAGTTTTAAGTAGCCTACTGGTTTAAAATAATTGTCAAACAGTTTTATTTAAAGTTTGTGAAGGCTTGCCTGTATATTTTTCAACTCACCAAGTATGTACGTATGTGTTTAAGTGTACTTTTGATTGCATATCATAATATAATTTGTTAACACAAGTTGCTGATTAATATTGTACTCAATCTAAATTGCAAAAATTTGTGGCGGAGGGGTTGAAATATTTATTTTCTACAAAATGGTAAAAACAAACTTGCAACTATGAATTTTATATTACGTTATATGGTAGATTATACAGGGTGGATCAGACCACCCAAAGACAACGGTTTGGTCCAACAAGCGTTAAAAACTAACTTTTTTATTGAAAATCTGCCATTTAAAATTCTTTTCGTGGGTTAAAATTTATAAATGTCACTTTAGGCACTTTTATTTCAAAGATTAGTGTTGGGATCACTAAGTAAGCTACATTATTATATCATAGACAAAAATAATTAAAATAGACTGTCAGCCGTGCTGGGGTACCATAGGTTCTGGCGCACACCGCTGGGAGCGCCGTGTAGTTACGTAGCGCTAATGCAGAACCTATGTTAACCGCAGCACAGCTGACGGTCTATACTTAATTATTTTTGTCTATGATTATATGTCCAAAAAAGTTTGAAAATTATAAACACCTCAAAAATCTATATCTTATATAAATATAGATATAAATCTATATAAAAATCAAAAAATCTATATAACTTGAAGACGCAAATAGAGATATTTAAAATTAGTTTCTAACAAGTTTTCAAACAACTCTAAGATGTAACTAGAATTACTCAAATTTAAGCATAACGTTTTCCTCAACGTTATGTTTCATACTATGCGGCTCCGCACGCGTTCTCTAGTACTAGCTATATTACAAATTTTAAAAGTTAATTTCAGACCATGAAAATTCTTTCAAATCTTTATAGCTCTTACGGTTTTCAAGATATAGCGGTTTTTATATACTTTTATATACCAAGGCAAAAATGTGGTTTGGATCCCACTATATACTGTAGGTCCCTTAGTTGCCATTACCTGTATGAGCTATCAATTTACAGCTGTGTCCAAGGAATAAGTCAACCTTAGTCACTAACAAGACTACAAGATCGCGCCTCTCATCCTACACTCATCTCCATTCATACTTGGCTTAAAATACCTACTTTGTAAGGTCGCCATTTCATTGAAAAGTATTATAAGTAAAGTAGGGAAAAGTATTAAACAAACATGTTTTTCTAAAAAAAAAAGGGGGCAGGGTGGCTAATGAAATCACATTGAAAAATTCCCTGACAATTCCATGATTTTTTTCAAACTTTCCCTGATCAACTGTTGATCAGGGAAAGTTTGAAAAAAATCATGGAATTGTCAGGGAATTTTTCAATGTGATTTCATTAGCCACCCTGCCCCGATCAACAAATTCTAAATTACAATTTTAATACTAACTAATTCTTCAAAAGGACTAATCTTTTTCTGATGAATATCTTATGTTTGTTTATATGAAAAACATTCATAAAATCTATAGATACAGGCTAGCTTATATTCAAACTTTGCAAGTTACCTTAGTTAAACTGATTTTGATAAGATGATACACAGTTTATAAAAATTTAATTTGTACAAAAAAACAAAATGTATTTGTACAGGTATAGGCTATTTCTTAGTTTTCACCCACACGGCACACGTACTCTCACTAGATCGAACTTTCCTAACAATTATTAAAATTATTTTAGGCCTAAACCTTTTACAATTTTCCCTGACTTATGACAAAGTTCCCTGACTTTTCCAGATATTTAATATTCCCTGACATTTCCAGGTTTTCCAGGTCAAGGTCACTAGCCAACCTGAGGGGGATTTAAGAGAATTTGGGGGGGAGTTATAATTTGAAATGTAACTTTTTTGGATTTTCTGGGTAGTTTGGGGCCGAGACGGACCTCCACAAAAAATGTCAGATCCCTAGCTATTCTAGAAGTGGGTAAACTTTTGTATATCACCTGATCAGTGGGTGAGAGAGCTGTACATCCCGTTAAAAGTGTGTACCATGGGTGGTCTGATACATCCTGTATACGTACTAAGCATAGTTTGGCTGTAAGATTTAAATAAAATTTACTTTCATCATAATACAAGGCCCTTGGGCTGTGTTTATGCATGAGGAGCGGGAACGGGGCGATAGCGGTTCCCAAATTGTACAAGCGATAGCGGTAGCAGTCAACAGGGAATGGAGTGGGGGACACAGTCTTGCCAACCCTAACTCTAAACAAATAACCTTTAAGCTCACTCTCAAACAACCGAAACCGCTCCCGCTTTTCGTGCATAAACAGTGTCATTTAGCTCAGTTAAAAACCGCTACCGCTCTTTGTGCATAAACGGGGCCTTAGGTAAAAATTATTTAGTTGACTCGTACTTATAATAATTATTTACACAGTTAAAAATGCTACCCAGTTTCAAGAACTGTTTGATTAAGTTACCATTTGTTTTGTTGGTCAAGAAAATCCTACTAAAAACTTACACATTTTTATCTTCAACAAACTAATTATTATAGTTCTTTCACTCTGCTAATACATGCATGCTAGTATTTGTGACGATAAAGAAATTAAGAGTTAATTCAAAACCACACCAAAGCACACTGGATACAAAAATCACATTAAAACAGGACTAAGGCTTTATAATATGTAGCAAAGGATTTTATAATTCAGGTTTTTACACAGAATCCAATATCAATGATAGCATAGTGTACACGTATCAAACTGGGACGGGTGGCGTCGTCCTGTAATCCAGCTACTAGGTCACGAATTTTGGATATTTATAGGCATGCAATGTGGATACGATACTCCCTGGTGTGGATTAACGTCCGCACTAGTGAGTACTACGACTATTGGCACTCGGCATTACTATTCTGATAATCAGACCAATTAGTTAATACCAAGGCAAAAATGTGGTTCGGATTCCAGTATAGACTGTATCCCTTAGTTGCCATTAGCTGTGTGGGCTATTAATTAACAGCTGTGTCTAAGAAATATGTCAGCCTTAGTCACTAACAACAACAAGACTACAAGATCACTCATCCTACAATCATCTCCATTCATATTTGGCTTAAAATACCTACTTTGTATGGTCGCCATTTCATTGAAATGTATTAAAGTAAAGTTAACCCCTTTTCTCAGGAAGTAACAACTAGCCTATGCTATAACTTTGCTTCACACTTAATATACACACACACACCACACATAAGGATTATAAAATGGTGATGTGTCTTATTGCTTTCAGAAGCTGACATAACGCGGGCACAGTGGATTTTGTTCCTGTCTGTGACCATGGTAAGGACTATGTCAGTTTCCGCTATTAAAGACCTATCACTAAATTTGTACTCGTTTGATTAGTGTATGTGTCATCGAAGAAACTCCAATGGATTGCTATGTTGCTGATGAAAGGGGATTGATATGATAGGCCCTATTGGTTTACCAGCCGAAACATATGCAACACCAGATCAACTATTTAAAACTGCAAACAACTAATGGTTTACCAGCCAAAACATATGCAACACCAGATCAACTATTTAAAACTGCAAACAACTACAGTAGACTAGCCCTTATCTGGACACCTTTTAACCGGACATCGGTATAACCGGACTACACATGGCAGAAATTACATCCCTTAACCAGACAATTTTTATCAGCACATCGGTTTAACCGGACTAGATTGGCAGTAAGTGGGCGGTACTGAAACAACTGTTCTCAAGGTTAAGACCAGTGATCACGTGTCTAAATACAAAGTTCTCATAAATTGAAGTCAAATACTGTAGGCCTGTACAGAATGCATCCAAACGATCCATTTATACGTGTTTTTGGTGACGTCGGTTTAACCGGAAAAACTGTTGTCCGGACTGGCGTCGGTCCCGAGGAGTCTAGATAACAGTTTTTCCAGTGTGTAGTCCAGTTAAACCGATGTCCGGTTAAAAGCAGTCCGGATAAGAGGGAGTCTACTGTAATTACAACATGTAGTTGGCATATAAAGATTTTGATTGATGTAGTTACTATATGAGTAGGCCTGACGATTGAAATTAGGCCTACTTAGTGCATGCCCTTCTTCAGCAGATTATGGTGTTGAGGTCATGTTCGCTACAGTGTTTGATTGGTAGGAATGCTCATAAACAGTGTTATCTTTAACCTTGGTTAAAGAGCACAAAAGAAGGCCAACCCACAAAATACTTAATTCATGAGCTGTCAAGTTCACTAGTTCCGTTTTTGAAAATAGAATCTTTTTTACCTTTTAAGATACACCATACCACCTAACCACTATAATGACTGAAAATGTGTACCTTGTTTAGAAGTTATTATGAATGAGGAAACTTAAAAATTAATTTAGTATTTTACTGTTAAAAAAACAGGAATAAAAAACACATGTTATTGAAAGAGTTTTTGTATTATAAAAATAGGATGACAAAACTGTTAATTTTCAGTGGTTTTACAGAGAAGGAAACAAACAAAAATTATTTTACCATTATGTTACAAAAAAGTAAATTACTGAATAAAAGCAAAACTTATTCAAAATATATATTTAATATAAGAGGGTAAAATAAATTCTTAATATAATGAAAACTTTTTACCGTGTGTACTGAAAATATTAGTAGCCTACAAATCAAGGTGTACTGGAATGCAAATTTAGCTTGAATATGAGACACTAAACATGAGTTAACTGCAGTAAATGTAAATAAAATAGCCTAAAAGTTAGAACAAAATAAAATCTGAACCCTAATACCAATATATTTTTTTAAGTTAACAAAAAAATTTCCCTGTTCAAAAATTTATAAATCTCGAGATACGTTGTATAGGTGGATCAAAAGCCCCTGTAGACTAAAAAACCAAACAGAAATATATGAACATTGTGAATGCCTAAACATGTCAAAGTAAGTTATCAGTACAGGTTAAAACAATCATTACAAATCAAACTTCTCGATGGAAAAAATATCAAGATACTTACTCAATGCAATTAAAACTTAGATTTTACATATGGTTTTATAACAAAAAATATTTAAACTTGTTTTTAAACATATAGGCTACCGGCACGGTAAGTTAGTTGAGTTAGGTTAAGTAATGTCGAATTAAATTAAGATTGAATAATAGTTGTAAGTTGACGGTATTTAAGTTTCTATTTTCTAATTTTCCTACCATAGCCTAAGTTAACACTAACTTTTTGTACAAAATATTATGTTGGTAAAATCAAAGCATTTACCAGTATTTTTTTCTTAATTTACAATGCAATAATATCATTCATTCACCTATTATTCAGAATAAGTTAAGATCTTACTTATTCTCAACTCAAAACAAAAGTTTTGGTCCACATTTTCTCATAGAGAGAACGTGGTTCTATGCAATATAGAAGGCAGTATCTGGGCAGTGCATTACTTTTTAAAATTATCTAGGCTACATAGGTAATGGTTTTTAAATTTTGTAAAAGATCGACTGTTTTTAATAATAGGCCCTATTTTTAAATTTTACAGCTAGGGTAAAAACTTTTAAGCTGGCCTAAATGTTCACCTTGGTTTTAAATCAAATGAAGCCAAAATTGCTCGGTTCAAAATCCTCAAAATGCTACACTGTTCTCAGTGGTGGTAGGCCTAAGTTTATTAATTGGTTATTATTTTTATGATAAATTAAATTCTCAGACAATCAATTGGTGACATTCAAAAGAAATTATAAGTCCGTCGTAACATAGGCTAGTCTTTTAGTGTAATAAAAATCAACAGAATTAGGCACTACCCAAGACAATCTTACTACGGTACTAACTTACCAAACTTAATATTACCTAGTCAAAACCTTTGAAAACTTACTTAAGGGCCTAGAAATAATTTAATAACTTGCAAACAAGACCAAATCTGAAACATAAAAAATTAAGAGTAGGCCACCTAACAGCATAAATTTATGAAATTTAGTAACTTAGGTTAGCAACTTAGATTAGGTTAAAAACTTCTACAGTTTCGACAACCATAAGTTTAACTTAGCTTATGGCTTATGTAGAATTTATTTAAAATGTTTAGCCAATTTGCTTCAATTAGCTACTGATATAAGTTATGCCTAGGTAAACCCTAAAACCAGGCTATTTCATAACCTCAATAAGAAAACAAAATTAAATTCTTCGTAACAGGCAGCATCTAACTTAGCATCAATTCTTAAAACGTGAGTAAAATTTTATTTTTTGAAGAACTAGGGTAGCTAGCATATAATTTACATAGCCTAGCCATTACTTAAGATGGCAAGTTTACATAGCATTGATTAGGTAAGCAATGAAAGTGTTTGCAACTTACTTAAGTTAATAACCAAATTCTGACTTCTATATAAAGGCTATGTACATTTTAACAGCCATTAAGGGAAACATCACACTTCTAAACCTAGCCTCAATAATAATATGCACAAACTAACTTAGCAGTTTTTCAGGCGTTTAAGGTTTGCGATAAACTTAAATGTATTTAATTCCTGAATTAAGTTACTGTACCAATTTTATAAAATCCGCAGGAAAGAAAAGAGAAAAATTGGGCTAACTTAACTTACTGTAACAAACAATTGTAAAAATATTTAAAATAACATTTGTACCTTATCAACAAAATCTTGAGATAGGATTGCTGATCGAAATAACATTAAACTAGTCACATTAACTTTTTGATAGGCTAGACAACTATAATACGGAAATTAAAGCTGGCCTAACAACACTTTAGGCCTAATACCACTGAACAGTTTACATATATCATGTCAAAGTGTTCTTGTATCACTGATTTTCATCGTATCCTATCTTAGTAAGGATGGTGTCGCTGATACTGGTTTTCCCTGAACTTTCCACCACCACCATAACCTCCAACTGCTTGAGTGTTGTAGTATCCATCTCCATACCCAGAACCCCCGTATCCTCCATACCCACCGTACATACCACCGTAGCTCTCATATCCACTGTAATCTCCATAGCCGCTGGGTCCGTAGCCAGGTCCATAGCCTGGTGGTCCATAATTTGGCATCCCTCTGCCGCCGAACATACCTCCTCTTCCACCTCGTCCACCAGACCCCATTGTTTCTGGATTGTACTTAACCTTCTTTACATCTACTTCTTTACCCTTGATAGACTGTTTGGGTTGTTTTAAGACCTCTTGGACGGTTTCTGAAGACTTAAATGTGATAAAGCAGAATCCTTTTCTTTGATTCTTGATTTTATCAAATGGAGCTTGCAATTCAGCGATTTCTCCATACTGACCAAAATAGTCCCTAATGTCATCATCAGTTATATCTGCTGTCAGGCCACCAACAAAAACCTTACAGTACAAGGGGTTAACTGTTACCCTTTTAGGGTCAACCTTCTTACTGTTGATGTAGTGGTCACCTGCAGCAAGTAATTGATCAATAGCCTTGGCATCCTTAAACAATATAAATGCAAAACCTCTAGACTGACCTGTGTAAACGTCTGTCTTAATAGAAACATTCTCGATCTCTCCAAATTTACAAAAATAATCCTTCAGGTCCTTTTCGGTAATGTTCCTTCCCAGGCCACCAACAAACAATTTTCTGTCGTCAGAACGACCAGGTCCAACGCCGTTGGTTTGTTGGAAAGACATGTTAAATAACGTCCAAACTATGCACTATATAGTGAGGTGTAGAAAAAATGCACTTACTTTTAAAAATTATGCACAGTATCACTGTAATGTTTCATAAATAACGACTACACGTGAAATCTAAAATGCCGCAAACTCAGCATCAAGATGAAGGACCTCGATCTCAGCTCGACCAACCAACAGCACATCCGGTTGACTAGGCTTTGGAAAATGGAGGGAACGCTAACATTTTGATAAAAGGTAAGCTATAACTTTCAACACTATATAAAAAAAATACTTTGTAATTTTTGTGAATATTTTCAAATTACGATTCTGTATCCAAAAGGCATACTACTTTCACCTTTAGATTTTAATTAAAAACGAAATTTTAAATAGCTCAATTCCCACTGGGAATTTACCAGTCAGGGGCGTCACTAAAGGGGGTAGGGAGTGGAGTAGTGATGTTTAAAATATTTAATAAAAATTAACACACAATTTTTATTCCCACAAAATTTCCCAATTTCTCTCTAGACCTTTTTAAAGAGCTTAAAAAAACAAATAATTCAGTATATCAAAGTGTTTTTTACGGTTATTGGTTGCGAAGAAAATTCGAAAAATTGTAATGTTATTCTTATGGAGGATATTGTAAAATGTTTTATCTATGGTTGTAGTTTGCTTGTTAATGGATATATTTAAATCAAACTGGGCAAATTTGTTTATTATTTTATACTAAGACATTTATATTTTACTAAAAAATACAATTTATTAGTTACCTTGTAGCTCAAACCTTAGTACTTGTTAAACCTAATGTTATTTAAATAGGTTTAATTGAAAATCAATCCAGGCAAATGGAAAATCGCTTAGACGGCAAGTGTGCTGCGGCAGGGTTATTATTTTCCAAGCTGGTTTGCCTCTTCAACCAAACTAATCTGCATGATTTTACTAGCTTCTCAGGGGGTAGCTTCTGAGAATGAGTGGGTAGTTGTGGGAGAGCCCCTCACGTCAATTTAAAAAATTTATAATATATTAATTTTATAATTTTTAATTATAAAATAACCTTTAAAATTATGAATTTATTTTAAAAATTATAAAATTATTATAACTTTTATAACCTAACCTAACCAACCAAACTTGCTGATAATTAAAAAAAGATTCAAAATAAAAATCGAATGAAAGTATACTAGGCTAATAAAAAAATAGTTCTGTTTACAATATGAATTTTAAAATTATTCAAATTCTAACAAAAGATGTACATTAAAGAAGTAATTGCATTCTAAGCAAAATCTTTGACAAAAAGTTTAATGTCACCGACACAGGTGGGAGAGTGACGTCAACGTCACGCCCCCCACTCCTTCGCAAATAGGTTCTCATCGGTTATTATTCATTATTCATTATTCATTAGCCTTCGTCGTTGACCCTCTGATGAGGGAATAGACTGCGTCGTTGTTTAATACGAAAAAAAAAGACACAAAAACAAAGACTACACGCACATATAAAATAAAACTTATTTAACATGGCGGGCAGGCAGTAGGCGGTACAAAAAATTAATTGTCCCGCTCCAAATTGTCCTTAAAGAATTCCTCTACTTTGTAGTATGGTCTATTGATCATCAAGTCTTTCACAGCACTCTTGAACTTCCGGTCGTCCAGACATCGAATGCTGGAAGGGAGTCTGTTGAAGAACTTGATGGCTGACGTAGGGAAGGAATTGAGCGTCCTGCTCAATCACGCACGGGGAACATCAAGATCCTGCCTAGCTCTGGTATTATGGGCGTGGATGTGGCTTCTGGTGTTGAGAAGAGGAACACTGCATTTGATTTCAACCAGGCAGGCGTAGATGTAGTGGCTGCAGACGGTTAGAATTCCAAGTCTCTTGAATATCGGTTTGCAGTGTTCTCTAAAAGGGCTCCTTGAGATTATACGGACTGCCGCTTTTTGAAGCTTTAAGACTTCCTCCACTTCCGACGCATGACCCCAAAGGTGTAGTCCATACGCAATGTGCGAATGAAACAGGGCATGGTATACCATGAGCAGGTACTGCTCCGTGACACATTTCCGGAGGCGCCTGAGGAGACAGTTGACTCTCGCAAGCCGTGTGGCAACATGGGCAGCATGGTCATTCCAGTCGAGTCGGCTGTCCAGCTGGAAACCGAGAAGTTTTACTGCAGCCATGTCGTCCGAGGAGTCTCTTGAGAGGGTACAAAGGAGTCTCTGGGTTTTGTCTCCATTCAGTTGCAGCTTATTCATCTGGAACCATGCTTTTGCTTCTTGGACCTGGATTATGGCTAAATCCCTAGTGTGGTGTAGGTTTGGCCCTTTAGTGAGAAGCGTGGTATCATCCGCAAATAGTATAGAGCTGCTGGTCTCGTCGATGTCGTTGATGAGGACCAGGAATAGAAGAGGGCCCAGCACAGATCCTTGGGGAACCCCCTGGTTCACCTCCAGTTCTAGAGAGCTTGCGCCTTCGAGTATTACCCTCTGGGTTCTGTTGGCTAGGTAGTTCTTGAAGGTGGAGAGAACCACACTACCAACGCCATATCTGCTGAGTTTTTTGAGCAGGATATCATGGGATACACAGTCAAAGGCTCTGCTGAGGTCACAGAGTGTTAGCATTACCGACTCCCCAGCTTCAAAGGCCTCGCCAACCTCTCTTGCAATCCTGGCAATCGCAGACGAAGTAGATCTCCCTGCGCGGAAACCGTGCTGTGAGTCTGAAAACAGCTGGTGTGTTTCAAAGTATGTATACAACTGATTCTTCATCACCGTCTCTATCACCTTACTAATCACAGGTAGTATCGAGATAGGTCTGTAACTCGAGATACTGGCATGATCACCTTTTTTGTATATTGGAATGGTCTTGGCTCTCTTTAGCTTGTCCGGAAAAACACCTGTCAACAAGCACCTGTTGATAACTGTAGTCAGGGGGGCAGAGATGTCATCAGCTACATCCTTCAGTAATTGGGATGACCAGCCAAAACAGTCACATGCTCTGGAACTTTTGAGTCCAGAGATTAGAGTCCGTATCTGCTTTTCTGAGATGGGATTCCATCTGTCAAGGGAACAGTGGAGCTCTTCCACACGCCTTCCGACATAAGCCAACGGGTCTTGGGGGCTATCTGGGATGTTGTAGATAATTTCTTCAACAGACGAGACAAAGAAGGTGTTGAAATCATCTGGACTCGCCATGCAGGACATTTTAGGCTTTTGGGGTTTCACACTATTTACCACACTCCAGGCTGCTTTGCATCGGTTTTGCGAGCTTTCAATGAAACGGACATTGGCCAACCGTTTGGCTTCCTCAACTTTTTTATTATAAAATCTTTTCAGGGCCAGGTAATTATGAACATCCCCTCTGTCTCGAAGGGCCATCATCAGGTTTTTCAAGTCGGTTAGGTTAGGTGAGTACCAGTCTCTCACTTTGTGTCTTGTCTTAGATGAATTTGTATCCTTGAGTTTACCTGTAGGTCTACCTTTTTTGCTTGAGGCAGGGAAGCATTCGTCAAAGAGATCCTGTAAGGTATCAAAAAACACATCGAACCATGCATCAGGGTTTTGTAAGTCAAAAATGCAATTGATTATAGTCAATCATGGTTCCTGACTTAGTCTTAGTGTTGTCCAAAGAGCCGAAGCTCCCAGACGGCCACCCGGTACCTTAATTAATATACCCGGGACCCATGGTGCCAGCCGGAACTTGCGCACCTTGACGACACCATGAGTGAATGGCTTAAGGCTATCAAGCTCACCGGCTGCCAAAACAACCCTTCGGAAAGAGGGTCGCCCCTCAATCCTAACCAAGGATACCGGCTACTTGGGCTTACGTCCCTCCAACTGGGTTCCCCCAGGGCCGAAACCCCGACAGACCATGGTGCAGACCATGAACGCAACATAGTGCAAGCGACACTCGGGACCTATATAATCCCTGACAGGCTACGGCCCGTGGGTTACGACCCGCCATCTTAGCCAGGAGGAAGAGGACCATCAGTAAGCTGACGGGGGGAACCCCAACCCCCTATTTACACCACTACCCGATCGAGGCCATCCCATCTTGCTGGAAAACCAGGGATAACTGGAGCGATAGATCCCCAGATACCCCCAGCGGGCCTGATCCCAGCACCTACTACTACTTCGTTTGCCCATCTAACCCAACATCACTGCCGGGCCATCAGGGTTTCTCAAAAGGAGGCAGGTATAGAAGTGGGACCCACCCGGATGAACCTATCCACCAAAGGTGGCGACACCCTTAACTCAATTGAGGTTCCATGGAGAACCCCCCACACTCTAGATAACCATACCTTCCGGGCTCAGAGACAGGGATTGGCTGATGGAGTGCGCCCAGCCGTTGCCCTCACACTGCGGAAAGTTACGTTCCCCTAGAGTGTCCCCGTGAGCTTACGGGTACTTGCCCGATTTCACCTCCAGGAAAGGCTACTTCCAAAGTCGAGGATTTACCACACAGAATGCTGGTCGCACAGAGCAAGCAGGCCGAAGCCCAAAGAACCATAGTCACAGGTAGATGGGAGATTGATGGCGCACTTCCACCTCTCCGAGAGCTAAACACCCCACCAACCTGGATGGAGGAGTGTCACTGGAGGCTCCCCCTAAGGGGCTGGCGCTTACCAGACGTCCATGACTATGGACTACTTGAAATGCCGATTCCAACACCGGACAGTTACCTCCCCTTCGAGGGCTTACTTGCCCGCCTTTCACCTCCCAGGAAGAGGCTACTTCCAGAGCCGAGGATATGCCGCACATAATGTTAGTCATACACATCAGGCAGGACTAAGCCCAAGAACCACAGCCACAGGCAGATAAGGAGAGGCGGTAAAAAACGGCATCACTGAGAGCTGAACACCCCACCAACCTGGATGATAGAATGTCACTGGGGGCTCCCCCGAAGTGGCTGGCACTCCCAGTCGTCCATGACTGTGGTCTACCTGAGTGCTGGTTCCAACACCGGGCAGTTACCTCCCCTCTGGGGGTCAAGAGCTAGGGTCCGCGTGGTCGCCAGGCCACGTACCCACGCAAGCATGGCCCCCCTGGGGGATCGGTTCCTGACTAGCCCCCTGAGATGCTTCTCATGATTTTGGTCTTAAATTAAAGGCATTCACGCACAGCTAATTCACGCACCGCAAATCTAGATTTGCCATAAAGCAGCGGCATTAATTTATTTGACGTATATTTCAAGTCATGCACAAAAGCAGCTTCATCCTTGTAGCCTACATTTCTTATCGGTGTTAAAATTGTATTTTCTTTTCCGAGTCCGTTTTACCCTTTTACCCTACCAATTTTCATTATATTGGCATTAATAAAAGGTGTGCACGCACAGATTTGCTATTAAGCAGTGATGATTTAATTTATCTACTATTACTCGACCAAAACCACTAAAACCAGACTTGATTTTTTTTTCAATACTTAGGCCAGGCCTACTACTTTAATTAAAGTTGTGCCAGTTCTAACAACATTTAACCTATAGCCTATATACTATCCGCTTTACCCGTGCCTTGCAACGGGGTCAAGATTCGGAAGAGACAATTTTTGGTTCCTTGAATGGCAAGCAGCTTGAGAACGCTAGAGGACTTATATCTGTCTTATGTTCCCTAGATCTCCTGTATGTAGATAGACTATTAGTAAATTACTATTAAAATTAACTATTAATTTACAATTAAAATTAGTAAATTACTATTAGTAACTGGCTATATTAACATAATTGTAAAAAATCCATCTACTCCATAAGCGCGGTGTGTGCCATTCCGGTTAAGTGTAAGGAATCTTGCTGATAATATAAAAAAGATATAAGATAAAATTCGAATGAAGGTTTTACTTATAATTTTTAATTATAAAATTAAATTTACAATTTTTATTATAAAATTAAACTGTTATAACCTAACAACCGAACCAACCAAACTTGCTGATAATATAAAATATATATAAGATAAAAATCAAATGAAGGTTTAATAATAAAAAAAATTGTTCTTAAAAAATAAAGTTAAAAGTAAAAAATAAGCAAGATCTTGGACAAAACGTTAGTGTCACTGGCGAGATTCGAACCGGAGACCTTTTGATCACCAGTCCGAGAGGCTATCAACTATGCCACGAACACCGATGGAAATAGATCGTCCTTCAAAGGGTTCTCTCCAGTTTCTGGAAGAGGAAAACGAGGCGCTATTAGTGGTGTTGTTGTGTTGACTCCACTCCATACCATATTATTATAGGGGAGCGAGCTGGCGTAGTGGTCAGAGCGTGGGACTTCAGTCCCTGAGGTCCCGGGTTCGATCCCCGCCAAGTCACCAATGGATTTTATCCAAGTGATAATGCCGCAACCCCTAGGTCTAGCCTGAAGTAATGTGAAAAACAATCCCAGGTTCGTGCCTAGCGTCTTAGGAAAAAAAAAACTCCATATTATTATTAGCTCGGTGGTTTTTACACGTCACCTGTTTGTCTGCTGCAAAGAGACTAACAAAAAAGAGCTGTCAAGTATCTGTCAATTCAATTGCGAAAATGGAAATGCAAATGTCAAAATCGCAGCCTGAAGATTGAGGACTGAAGAGAGATGTCAACGAATCACGATTTGGAAATTGTTTAGGGAATTGAGGTAATTACTATAAACATTTATTTCAGTTGAAGCCGCGGTTTTCCAATAACACAAATCATTAGCAAATTTTAGATATTTCGGTATTGCAATTAAGATCTAATAAGTTATTATTTTGTTTTGAAATTGATGTGGTAATACTTATGCCACATTTCAAATTTGTATTTTCTATCTTGTTCCAGTTAGGCTACTTATAATATTTAGTATAAATCATTTAGGACGTTCATAACACCCTTTTATTTGTTAAAGTCATTTCCTGAAACGACAAAAACTCGTTTAGGTTAGCCACTTTGTTTTGTGGATTGGCCCTGGGCCTGAACAAGATCCTACAGTCGTCAACTGGACAACCTTGCAGCTAAATCTCTTTGAAAAGCTGACATTATTGTTGCTGAGTATTTTTTATTTTATTGTTCGAAGGTAGTTAATATATTTTTAAATCTGGTTTGTGACATAAAAATTGCATAATTAATTGATTTCTGTTGGGATATTCTTAAGTTAAATACAATTTAGTCTGAATGTATATTACCGACTTTATCCCTCACTGTTTTTGTACTATCTTAAGTAGGTCTAAGTTTTGTTTAGTGAGTAGAATACAATTTAATAGGGCCAAAAACATAAAATGTTATATAGTTTTAGTGTATATAACATTAAGTTACTGTTATCACTTAATGAATCACTATACAACACATTGATTGATTGTTTAATGACTCAAAAAGACAGCCATCAAAACAGAAATGAAAATGAAAATCTTTTATTTGGCATAAGTATGCAATAGGCATCGTCAATATTCAGTTTGAATCAATACTTGTCATGATTTAACCAAACAAGTTTTTCTTTGAATGCCTCTCTAAGTAAATGTTAGATAATGCAGTCCTAATATTTTAAAATTTTCTACGTATTAAATTGGCTTGAGCATTTTGGATTAAGATACTGTTTGATTTCCAAAAGATGGCAGTCTATGTAAATGGTGTTCAGGAACATCACTGTACAAGTGATCATACTCTTTAACACACTGTATCTAAGTTTAATTTTTATTGTATTAAAAAAAAAACTATGAAAATACCACCCGTATCTGTGTACGGTAGCTCAGTGGTTATAGTGCTCGCCTCGTAATCAAAAAGTCGCCGATTTGATCATTAGAAAAGTATGCAGCTTTTTGATGCTTTAAAACTGGACCCAGCTGGCCTTTGATCATTTGTATTTTAATAATTGGTCCTGGTTAATGAAACAGCTGGTCTTGTCTTAGTCAACAAACGTACACAAGGCATCTCACTTCATTCTACAGTCATCCTTCTATGTTTGGATTTAAATACCCTCATAGGTTGTGTCTTGCGTCTCTCAAATGGTAATGATAATGATGGGATATGTTTTTGTTTCAGTGTATAATAGCTGAATAATGGCTTTAGGAGAAGAAATCTATAGAAGAAATTCATCTTGGCCCGACACCTTCAATGAACTCAAATCTCTTCATGATCAAGCTTATATGAAAATTGATGAAGCTTTGAAGTATGATGAAGAAGGACAGAAAGATAAAGTACGTTTTTGTAATCATATAAACAAATTTTTGTAAATTGTGCATCTGTTATTCTTATTTAGTAAAACTTAAGTCATGTTGAATCACATGTTTGTAGCCTAATTAGAAGAAACATTTTTAGTGAAAACAAAGTCTTGCTCACTGACGTTAGTTTCAGTAAAAAATTACAATCCTGCAATAATGTGATGGATCCCAAACTACAAGCCTAAAGAATCTATATAGGCTATTAATTACGTAAGCCGATTCCTTGCGTCAAAATTGTGGGCAACTGGGAAGTCGTAAAGCGACGGGAGAGGGCTCAAATTAAAGGTCTCGATCCCATGACGGCGGGAAAAATAGTGAAACTCGCCAAATTTTAGCACAAAATTAGATATAACGTAAAATGTTCTACATAAGAATAGCATTAGAAGCATTTGCTGCTGATTTTTGTTTACTTCAATAGCTGATCATGATTTATCATTAAGCCAGTAAGCAATATTACATTTGGATTAAACTCATTTGTCAGTCAATTCTGCAATGTACTGTATACTATATAAAACCAGGGATAACGTTACATATAATTGAGACTTTTTCGTTATGTCTTAGAATGTTGAAATCAATTTTACTGTGCAATTTGCAAATTTGTGTATTTTAATATAAACTAGTGTCCCTGTTGCTCGAATTCGAGCAATTTCTAAGTATTAGAGGTGTTATTTTAAAAGGAATAACATTCATAATTTCTGATGACTTTAAAAGATTCGACACAAAGATTATGGAAATATTCCAGATGTACATAACAGAATATATAAATTTGTCCAGGCTCTCTCGCTTTTTTCCATTGTAATATTTACGCCAACCCGAATTCAAATAGTAAATATTTCATTTCAACCAAGTCAGTAAATGTTTGTAGCAAACTTATTGACTGTTTAAAATTAACATATGTTCTTCTTCTCACTTTTAATTTCTGACAACAGCTGAAGTTGCATAATAATTTTTGTTTCCCATGTTAATCTTATGGAGAAATACAAAACTTTAAAGGGTCCTAGGGCCTCACTCTCTGATTATTTCCCTAAAAAGAAAGTTTCCTGCACAACTTCACGTTACGCTCTTTCCAATGACACCAAAAACATGTAAATCGGTTCAGTTGTTTCGGAGGAGTAATTGTCACAAAAAACATGCTTGCGTATTAAATAAGTAAATAGATTAGCCAAGCGCATGATAAGTAGTAGAATAATGGGAGATAGCTAAAATCAAATGAATTGGTCTTTGAATGGTTGCAAAGAATAATGAAGTTTACAGTAACCATTTTAACTGAAAGTTTTTTAAAAAGCAAAATAATTTGTATGGGCCCCTATTTTATTCTTGATTTAAACAAAATTATTTTACTTTGTTTACATTTCTTCACATTTTGAGGTTATTGTTGAAGAAATGTTTAAACATGAAATTGCCCCATTGACTAAATAACCAACGATGCAATAGCCCAAGAGCCAAGAGCCCATGCATGCCACACCTTCGTTATCTTATAAAAACTGAAAGTTTTTCAGTACTTGCTCCCAATTCAGTTAAGAATGATCAGCGACGATGAAATTTGGATCTTGGTTACTTTGGCAACAAGAAATATAATGAAATACTTTAAGTTAATACGGTCTAAACTATGAACCCGCTGAACGTTTAAATACGTCTATTTTGATAGAGTGTGTAAAATCTAACACAGCTCTTAGGAGGAATACGACCACATAAGCTTACACAGAGAGTAGTTTCTATTTTATGTTGATCAAGGTGTCGACTAGGGTTTAGTTTGGTCAGCCTTTACACTATTTAGTTGCGCCTTTACAAAAGGAGTAGAGTTTTTCTTTCACAAAAATAAATAATAAATGACGGAAAGAAAAAAATCAGCAATAGGTGAATTAGCACACAGTGATGGACACATAGTGAAATGAAAATAACTGATTTTCTGAGGTGTTGCCTTCCGGATTACTTAACAAATACTAATCTAGAGGTTAAATACCTTGTTGCTACCAAAGATTACGTTGGCAACAAAGTATTTAACCTCTAGATTAGAAAATAACTGAAGTTATCCTAGGTTATGTTTATTAGTTTACACTCACATTTGGTCTGAATCTATAATCTGAGAGAAGAAAGTTTTGGTAGGCCTAGTTATGAAATAAAATTTTTATTGAACATTAGATTTAAAATGCATAGGCCTACTGTATATAAATGGATAAAGAAATAGGCGACCACCCGACAATTGTTTAGGCCTACAAGTTGATTGTTCACATTAAAACTAAGAATTAACACAGCTTTTTACAGCTTATGTTTTTGTCTGCAGCTCTTAAAACATCTCTTATTATTATGTCTTTATTAACAATGTTAAATGTTATTCATTGAGGAAAAGTAGTGAACGTTTGAAAACATGCTGATATCTCCACATAAATATGGGTTTGTGTAAAAACTGAAAATATTCAATATTTTTGTACCCTATATCTCAGAGTTTTCCAGGGTGATCTAGAATATTTTAGGGTGTTTTATGACTTTCAAAATAAAATGTGAAAATACATGATAGAAGGCCTATTTTGGTCTAATAAGTTAAATGTTCTACCTACCATAGAGAAGAGAAAGAATATTTCACATATTTTTAGTTTCTATTGTACCAAGATTTGTTCACATCTATGACAAAGAAAAATTAGAGGGTACCAGTAGTTTGGATTTTTCTGATTTATGGTCGGGCAGGTGCTTTGATCTATGTATAGTTGCCTCTATGGCTCTGTGTTTCCAGTTTTGTCAGTTTCAATGTCTTATATTAATTTGAAAATTGTAGACCTGGTCTAGTCTTCTTTTTTGTTTGGGAGGGTGTTCAATACATTTATATTTAGGCCTACATGTTTACTTTTTGCTTTTGGTTTAAGGTGGGTTTTGTTTTAGGTGTTTGGTTACCTTTGATAGACATGATACCACCATCAATGGTTGTGTTTGTTTCACAGGCGCTGGCCAGTTACGACCAAGGGCTAATGTTGTTGGACAAGGCTCTTGCAGTGAACATTGAGTGTCCGAGCAGTCCAGATCTTAGTTGGGAGCGAGCTTGCTGTATGATGGATAAGATGAGGAAAACTAGGTGAGGAAACACACTAAACCCTACGGTGGCTGAGTCTGTCGCACAATCGCGGGCTCGTGTCCCGCTAAAATTTCCCGAAAAATTCCGGTCAAGGCTCACGGGCCCCCCCTCAACGTGCCACTGAAATGAGTAAGAACATTCTAAAGGAAATAACTTTGAGGCACATGAAAAAATATTTTCAAATACAACACGGTGAAAATGCACAAAGATAATACTTAATCTTAAACCACTGCATTCCACTTCAAAACTTTTGATGGTCAGACTTATACCGATGGAAGTAGGAAATTATGTAATTCAGTTAGCTGAAGATGTATAATCAACTAAGAAGATAAACAACAACAAATTAGAGATGTTTTTGAATAGTCTAGATTATTGAGCTTGACCTTCAAATAAATCCTGTGAAAGTGTCTCAGAATATGGACCTAGAAATAAACTCTATTGAAGTAATATTCAAGGTGCATCTATTAAAACAGTCAAATATGGAGCTTTTGAAAAATAGAATCTTAGAAGTGTTGAGTGTGTAAAATAAATTTTTGGAAATATACACTTTCTTTACTGTTCAAATTAAAATAAAAAAAAATCATTTCTTTCCTTTATTGTTAAAAATCTATAGTTTTGAAACTATTGAAAGATATTTTCTTACAATTATATATAGGGATGTTTTAAATCCATATCTCATAATTTATTAACAAAATAAATAGGGGTAGGTTCAAAATTAGTGCTATATATATTTTCCTTTTACATTTTTTCAAATTCTATTAATATATGTAACAATCAGTGTATTAATGGAAATTGTGTCTACCTAGTTGATTAGCTATGGGTCTGATTTCATTTCAATAAAAAATTAGGTGCTTAAAAATAAAAACATTTTTAATAAGTTAGAAAACAGTTTTAAGTTATAATAAAGAATCACTTTTCGACACTGTTCAATGTACTGTAAATATGTACTAAAAGAATAAAGATTGTTTGGAAATGAAATGAAATTTATGAAATGTGTCTAACCTATGGATAATGAATTTGAAAGAGATCTACAACAGGATAATGTAGCGTAAGAAAAATTTTATTTATGGACCGTTAAATGTACCTCACCTATCCCCCCTTGTATCTTTGGTCTTAGCTTCGACCTTTGTTTATTTGCACAAATTACCATCACGGAACTGTCATTACCAAAGATCAATTTGCATCATCAAAGAGGTAAGATGTCTTGATTACTTTCGTCGAATGTAATATCCGTTCTTACTGACAAAAAAGCAGGCTGCAGTGAATCGTTCTTTGGTATGTTGGATAATTTGGACAGTATGTTGTATCAGTTTTATAACTTTATATTTTAGACAGTGTTTTAACAATTTTCTCAAGTTATTCTTAGTTTGTACAGACTACAGATTATTCAGTAGTGTGTTTTAAGTAAGTCACGTGACTGTCTTTGACTGTCTGATGCTTTTGTCCTGATAAAATAATTTTGGTAGGTATCCAAATTGTCAATTTACTTAACTTCAAAATTTGTATAGTTACCGGTATGGAAAATGTACTATTACATGTTTACAGTCTATAAAAATAACAAAATATTCCCCATTTGGGAAATTTGTTAAAGAGATAAATTAATTAAAATTTATCAATACCGTAATATTTTTATTTCCTAGGTCTATTTTATTTTTAGCGAATTTCCCTGTATAGGGAAGTAGTTATTACCGTAGGTCTCATGGTAAGACCTAGGCCCGGGACCGATTTACTTTTTCATTTTGATGTCCCCAGAGGCCGAAAACACCATTCGTATACCATCACCATTTTTATATAGGTATCTATATACATATATATATATATATATATATATATGTGTGTGTGTCCATCCGCACGATAACTTGAGTAATTTTTGTACGATTTTGATAAAATTTGGTTTGAAGGTGTAAGGCGGGATAAACTTGTATGAGTTTGCTAACCAGCATGATCGGACTATGGGAACGGGGGTTTATGGGGGGTTTTATAGGGTAAATATAGGTTTTTCCCATTTTTGACCCTAAAAACACAAAATTTCACAATTTATTTCTAAACCATTTTGTAGAGCTTAGAAAAACAAATAATTTAGTATATTGAAACGTTATTATGCGCCTAATTGTTACAGATAAAATATATGTTGTCCCCAGAGAGGGGGGGGGTCGAGAGGGGGAAGTCCCTGTTGCTGTTGGAACTGCTAAACTTGTGCTCCTCAGTTTTTGCCATAATTCCATGTTAATCCTGTGTTTTTAACCTAGTGTTTTACATGTAAATGTTCAGTTTGTTTTTCTGTGCTCATGTAAGAATCCGGTTTTTTTGTTCAAGTAACCAGTTGCAGTTATTTTACGATTTATTAAATTAAATTTCAAGGAAAATCAGGTTCGTTAAAATATTTAAGATAAGATGGGTCAAGAGATAAGAGTCCAGTGAAGCAAGGTGCAAGTAGTTGACCTTTGAGCCAGTAGACTGATAGCTCCAGCTCAGTGTTTACAAACATTGATATTTGCAATAATATCAGTACTTATTTTATTTCATTGACAGGTCAAAATATTTTACTCAATAAATTATAATAAAAATTAATTATCAGCATTTTTTAGCTAAACCAGAACCATGTATTATTTTTACTGCAAATAGTTATTGCCTTTTAGTTTGTTTGAATTTTTGATCAATCCAGTTTTCCTGGTCAATAGTGTTTTAATTTTTGACAAAAGAAATGGATAAAAATACAATAGATGGGTGGGTAAGGAAACAGACTACCCGAAAAAAAGGAACAACTAAAGGAAAAGTTGACATTTACTACTATTCTCCTAAGGGAAAAATATTCAGATCTAAATGTCAACTCAAAAAATACATAGATGAAAATAAGCTCAAATTAAATATTGATGACTTTGATTTCAAATCAGTTATAAAATCACCCACTAAATGCAACACTTTGGAAACTCCAAATAACATCACTCACAATGAAAGTGCTATCTCTGCAGACATATTAGATGTTATATCCAGTACACCTGAGACTAGCTTATGTCAAAATCAAGCTAATGATAAGTCAGTGTTAACATTACACTCGGGGCTTGAAGAGGTTTTCTCTAATGAATTCTCAATTGATTTGGAGGATAAATTACATCAGTTAAGTAATTTTTTAAATAAAGCCAATGAGGACATGCTTCAATTGAAATTTGAAAAGGAAAAAGTTGAATCATCACTTCAAGTATTAGAATTTGAGGCAGAGGAAACAGTTCAAAATCTACAACTGAAACTAAACAATTTATCAGAAGAAAATTATACTTTAAAAGGGTTACTGAGTGATAAAAACAAAGAAATTATGTATTTGAAAGAAAACACATCAGTTGCCAATGTAAATGTACTGATAGAAAAAACTCCCTCAGGAGGGACTAACAATAAAAATGATGTAGTTGAAAGTGAAGAACTACATACACTCAATAAGAGATTAAAATTGCTTCAAACTCAAGTCGACAGCTTAAAAAGACAGAACTTACATCTAATGGAAACCATTCAACCATACCCGTTACCTGACCCTGAACTAATAAGAGAGAATGCAGCATTGAAGAAGAAAATTGCATATATGGAAAGTAAATTTACAGAAGAATCTAACTCTCATAAAGAAATAATAAGACTACTTCAAAGTGATTCTGAAAATTCAAGTCTGCAAAATGAAAAACTAAAAAATGAAATACAGCTTCTGAAAGATGAAAAACTTACAGAAATTACTGATGACAGCTTTGTTGTGCCTAAACATTTTGCTAAATTTGTAGACAGATCACAAGTTGTCACTGACTCAATCAACCTATCTAACAGATATGAATTATTGTCATCTAAAGAAACACCTGTTTTAAAGGAGTTGCCAGTAGATTCAGTTACATCTGAGAGAATGCCTGTTCACACACCTCAACATTTAGTGAAATTTAATGAAATTGGACTTACTAAGACTATTAAAAACTACAAGCTTGGACTTCAAAGTTCAAAGAAAAATGATTTACTGTTGATTTCTGATAGTCATGGTAGGGATTTGTACAGAAACCTCATTGAAATATGGCCTACTACAAATGTAAATATTTCTGTCATCTACAAGCCAAACGCTCAGCTAAATGGAGTGGTAAACAGCCTTGACAAACTTACTAAAACGTTTACTAAATCCGACACAGTTATTGTCATTGGAGGTTGCAACGATATTGTAGGTGGTGACAATAAACTAACTGCTAAGTATCAGGAGATTATTGAGAAGACCGCTCACACAAATTTAATTATTGCAGGCTTGCCCTACAGGCATGATGTTCCTGGTTTAAATAACCAAGTAGCCTTAATAAACATGGAACTTGAAAAAATCATTAGCCAAAGTGATCATGCTAAATTTCTCCCCATCAACTTACTACCAAGGCAAATGTACACAAAGCATGGATTGCACTTCAACCGTTCTGGGAAAAAAGAAATTTCAAAAATGATTAAGCTCTGTATTTATGGAAACAACCTAAATCGCCTGAAAAATAGCTCAAACAATCAGGCTGATAAGGTGCCGGTATTCTGTGAGGAGTCTTTTTTTGATATCACCAAAAAGGCAAAGGGGATACAAGTGGTGGAGGCAGATATGTATAAGGTAATTGAGGGGCTAAGGAACGATAATTCTGTAGCCTTCGCCCATACCATCTCCGGCGACTTCCATCACCCAAGAAGAATGACTGCGGGTGTGGCCGTGGCTTTTAGGAAACACTTTGGGAAGCCTGATTTAAAGGATTGCATAACAAACTTTTTGACATGCCAAAGGACCAATCCTAAACAAGTAACGGTATATAGCCTTATAACCAAAGAACACTTCAACGGCAAACCCACACTGGATACTTATAACTCTGCTTTCAAAGATCTTACAGATAACATTAAGACCAAGAGCTTCAGAGTGCTAATCTGCTCCCCAATGGGGTGTGTCCGAGATCTTGTTCAGATTGAGCATTTTGCCATGAAGATAAGCGAGTTTCATGATATCACTGGTGTACCGGTCATAGTTGTCACCAACATGCAACCAGGAGCTCAGCGTGTTCTCCATCATGGACTCTCCCATCCCCAATTCACCCTCAAACTTCGACAAGAATTACAAAAAGTATCACAATCAAGAGAAGTGATTTCACAACATCAATTTCAACTTCAGCTACAATCACCACCTAGTAGCTCTCAACAGCAGTCATCACCGGATCAGCATCCCTCAACACAACAACATCCCTCAACACAACAACATCCCTCAACACAACAACATCCCTCTGCAATAGAAGTTCCTGATGTTGGCTCCACAGGCTCCCGAACGGTTCCTGGTCATCTCAACTACAATGAGGTGTTGAAGAGTAAACCATCAGTGTCAAGTGCCAAAAAGCAGAGTAAATGTGTTGTGTCAAGTGGTGAGAGCAATCAGGTGATAGATGTAGATTCCTCCTTAGATAATAGCTTACATTTGTCTTTAACCCTTTGAGTGCCAACGTCCGGGGAACCGGACGTTTTTAAAACGAGCCAAAAGTGCCGACGTCCGGCCGACCGGACGTTTTTAGAACGAGCCAAAAGTGCCAACGTCCGGCTGACCGGACGTTTCGTAATGATCGAACAGCTGTCATAACAACCGAATGGATACTCGGATTCTTTTAACCCATATATTAACATTGAGTCGAAAGTTACTAGATGCGATACATCGATTTTCGTTGGTCGAAATATCGAAAATTCGATTTTTACGAAATTTTAACCTAAAAATCGCCAGATCGCGCTCGGCATTTTTAGCGCGACCTTCGGGAAAAATCATCGGCATTTTTAGAGCGTTACTTTTATTTCTCGCCTGGCACTCTAAGGGTTAAACTAAGATATCCTGACAAAGACCAAATGCCTGCTAAACTAGTTCTAGACAAATTTTATAATCTCAACAGTGTAAAAGCTCAGAGTAATATTAGCTCAGATTCATTAAAAAACAGCGATACTTACAGTAAATTTAATTTAGTAATGCACTACAATTGTCAAGGGTTAAATTCTACTAAAATATCAGAGCTCAATTTATTTTTATCACAGTCCAAATTAAATATTAAAGTCATGTCATTAAATGAACTTTAGTTGGATAATGATTCTATTTCTTTACTCAATACAATAGATAATTTTAGAATTGCTGACTCTTATGTAAGAAATAGTAGCCTAAGGGGTGGTTCATGTATATTAGTTGATAATAATTGTAAATACTTAACTGTACAGGAGTTTTCTTATTTAAATGAAGATTTTATTTTTGAATGTTCTGCTATCGAACTTGTAGATTTCAATTCAGTATTTTTTTCCATTTATACAGTGCCAAATTATAATTCAAGTAAATTGTTTTTGGACAAACTTGAAAAGCTACTTGTTAGTTTACAAAAAAAAGCCAAAAGGAAAAATGTTTTTATAACAGGGGATTTTAATATAAACATTTTAAAGGATGATGCAATCACAAGTAGGTTTAAGGAAATTGTTGAATGTAATGGTTTCTGTTTGCAGTTTAATGAGCCAACTAGAATAACTGCCAATTCATTTACTTGTATAGATAACATGATTACAAAAAAAATGTATAAAGTAGACCATAAACTGAATACTGATTTAGGTTTATCTGACCATAACGCCATATTCCTGAGCCTCCCTGGGCAATATAAGAATATTTTGACTACTGGTAATAATAATAATACAAGTTCCTATACCAAAAGAATAATTTCAAATAGAAAAATGGATGAATTTTGTACATATCTAAACCAAAATATTAATTTTACATTTGATCCAGTCCTGAACCCAAATGAAAACTTTAGCAACTTTTTAAGTGATTTTCTTTTGACTTTTAATTCTATATTTCCTCCAAAGTTTCTTAAAAATAATAGTAATAATTCTAAAACCAAGTCTTTCTCTGTAAACTGGATTACTCAAGGTATAAAAATTTCAAGTAAAACAAAACGACAATTGCACATGCAAGCCAAGCTCAGTAATGACCAACAGTTTATTACATATGTTAAGCATTATAAAAACATATTTAACAAAGTTGTAAAAAAAGCAAAATTACTAGCGAATAGCAATTTTATAAAAACATCAGAAAACAAAACTAAGGCAGCTTGGCAAATTGTAAATCAAGAGCTTGGCAATACAAACCAAAAACCAAAAGAAAGAATAGTTTTGAAAGATACAAATGGTTATGAGCTTGGTAATCCTGGAAGTATTGCTAAAGTTTTTAACAATTTTTTTTCGAATACAGTAAGTAACTTAAATGTTCAAAAGGCTACTGTCAATGGAGTCCATGCTTCAGTGAAACATATCTGTAATGATAATGGGATATCATTGTGCAGCCTCAGGCTAACTAATGTGGAGGAAATCAAAAAGATTGTTCTGTCACTAAAAAACAAATCATCCGTTGGCTGGGATGAGATCCCAATTAAATTGATAAAAGCCACTGTTAATATCATTGCTGAACCTTTATCTCAAATTATTAACCAGTGTTTAATACATGGAATTTTTCCGGATAAACTAAAACTTTCCCAAATCTCACCAATATTTAAAAAGGGCCTAAAATCGGATATTAACAATTACCGTCCAATTTCTGTATTGAGTAATTTTTCTAAAATATTTGAGAAGGTCATAAATTTGAGATTGGTTAGTTATTTTGAAAGCAATCATCTATTTTATAACAAACAATTTGGATTCAGGAAAAATTTAAGCACAGGTTCTGCACTAACACAGTTTATAAATGAGGTTACCCAGGCTTTGGACGGGTCTCAGGCTACAGCTGGTGTTTTCTGTGACCTGTCCAAAGCTTTTGACTGTGTTGATCACTCAGTCCTTCAGCTCAAGCTGAGTGATTATGGTATTAGGGGAAGTTGTCACTCTCTATTGAGTTCTTACCTTTCTAATAGAAAACAAAGAACTGTAATAACACTGGATAAGATCAAGTACTATTCGCCATGGGAAAACCTATCGGCAGGTGTGCCCCAAGGTTCAATCTTAGGTCCTCTATTCTTTCTAATTTACATTAATGACCTCCCTAAAGCTATTGATCAGGAACTAATTCTTTTTGCAGATGATACAACAGCCTTGATAAAAAATAATAGTACTTCTGAAATGCTATCTTCTCTTGAAAATGTGGTTCATGACATGGAAGGTTGGTTCTTGAACAATGGATTAAAACTTAATCTTGAAAAAACGCAAACAATAAAATTTTCTGTCAGAAACAATGGTAATAAAATTGAATCCCTTAAATTGGCAACGTCTCATAAATTTCTAGGTGTTTACATAGACGAATCACTTAAATGGGATGTACATCTGAATCAATTAAAAAGTAAACTTAGATCCATGTCAATTGTATTTCTGCACTTAAGAGACTGTGTTCCTAAAGAAACTCTGAAAATGGTTTATCATGCTTATGTAGAATCAGTATTGAGGTATGGTATAATCTTATGGGGTCAGGCTACCGGAGTCAAATCAATATTCAGGCTACAAAAACGCATTATCCGTATTATGACCAGCTCTCATCCACGTAGTTCATGCAAAAACCTTTTTCGAAATTTAAAAATCCACACCCTAACAGGACTGTACATCTTGGAATCACTAAACTACATTCATTCAGCTAAAAACGACCTCCCAGAATCAATTCAAATCAACCATAGATATAATACTCGAAATGAAAACATTTTTAGATTTCCAAGGCACCATTTGACCCTTTATGAAAAAAGTCCACTATATGCTGGGCTGAGGCTGTACAATGTGCTGCCTGCAAACTATAAATTGCTAAATGAAAATAATTTTAAAGATAAAATAGGTGAACTCTTAATTGACAGAGCCTTTTATTTAATTGCAGATTTTCACAATGCCCCTTTAGTTTAGAATAGTTTTATCATTCAATTTTGTTAATTATATTATCATCTTGATTACTATTTTATTTTTTATATTCTGACAATTCAAACTCTGACAATGCACCTATTCTGTATGTAACACATGTAAAGAATGTTATGTGCAAATAAAATATGTCTATGTCTATGTCTATAAAAAAAATTGTGCCTGGTGTAGTTTGCTTGTTTATAAACATATTTTGATAAAATTTGGAAAATACATAAATTTCTTACTAAACTGCAGTACCTTTTAACATTTTACATTAAAAAAACTTTTTTATCCTCCCTGTTGCAGCAAACCTAAGTACTAGTTAAACTAATTCTGTTTAAATAGGGAACAAATGTGATATTTTTAAGGAGACATTTTAGTGTAAATCCAATCAGGCAAATGTAAATTCGCTAAGTCTGCAGGTTTGCTGCAGCGGGGGTATTTATTTACCAGTAAAAATTTAACAGTTTTTGATGTTTTTGTTTTTATGTCATCTGTGAATAATGCATACAATATTACTTAAAACATATACCTAATTTTTTATTTGTCAACTTTGTAACATACGTAAAATTATTTCAGGAAAGAAATCTTATCGAGAGTGGCGGACACACAGGTGCAGCCGACTCCAGAACTTCGGCCACCAGAGCGACCCGAGGATCTTGCGTTGGAGCCTCCACCATCATACGACGAGGCAATGGCGACCTCACCATCTTCCTCCTCGGCTTCCAACATACCTTCCCTTCCGACCTCCTCTCCCCTTCCTTCCCTCACCCCCAGGACGTACGGGGAGTTGGGGGAGGTCCTTCAGACCCTTAAGGTGGAAACTAACATGCAAAGTGTGAAGGTTATGTTCCACGTTGACGGTGTACGAGTGTACTTTATTTCTCCGGACGGCAGCGTGAGCGCACCCTCGCAGCCGACACAGCTTAGAGTGCTGGAGTTGGAGGGTACGTAAAAGTTAATGTTGTGCTCTTTGTTTTTTCTTCTAAAACCTTTGGGTTAAAGTTGGGAACAGTTATTTTTTATTTTTGTAAAATTCTTTTGGTAATTTAGAGCCAATTTCAAATAAATTCCTTCTGCCAAAAGAAAAAAAAAATTTTTCACCAGTAATTGCTTAACCCTAGTAGTGGCCAATGTTAGAAGTGGGGAATGGCCAACCCATTTTGGCTATTTTGCAAATCTATTTTAGAAAATTCATAAAAATTCAACCGTACAAGTAAACTTAGCCAACCTGATATTCATTTTGTTTGGAAAGAACAGGATAATCTAGAAATAGTAATATAATAATGATTTAGGCAGTTTTTTTTTGACACCGTAAAGTGAAAAAAATGATCTAAAATGCAGCCTCGGTAAAATTTTTTCTACAGATATTTTATGGGAAATTCATTATATACTAGCTTTAATAATCTTACAGATCAGCATTTTGTACATTATCTTTTCTTATGATCTTATTCCCTACATAGAAATATGTAACATGTTATAAAAATATTTTTTTTTATCATACAGGGTGGCGTAGAAAAACGGGAAATTTTAAAATAATCATAATAAACCAAGAAAATTGTACAAAAAAATCCTTGATGTTGAAAATGTGTTGATCAATTGTGGAAAATACATAAGAAATGTTAGAAATAGGAATATAGTTAAAAATCACATCAGTTAAGTGCTCTCCTTAGGGCCTATTCGTTCAATTAATATTGAAGACTTAGCATCGTGTTACGCAATGTGTCCTCTGGGATGTTGGTGACGTGTTCTTTGACCTGAGTCTTGAGCTCAATATGGTTTCTTGGCCTAGTCAGGTACACAACGCTCTTTAGATGTCCCCATAGAAAGAAATCGCACACCGAGAGGTCTGGAGACCGTGGAGGCCAAAGGACGTTAGCGTTCCTTGAAATTATGCACTCCACAAAAAGCTTCTCCATGCAGCCATTGACAGATTTACAGTGTGTGAGGTGGCTCCGTCTTGTTGAAACCAGGTTTGTTGGATTTCAATATCTGAAAAAGCAAGAAGCCGTGGAGCAAAAAAATTTCTCCAGCATATGAAAGTAACGTTGAGATATGACGGTTACAGTGGAACCATCTTCATCCTAAAAAAGTAAAGGTCCAATCACACCAAGACAAGACACTGCACACCATACAGTAACTTTGGGACTGAGTAACGAACGTTGATGAAGTTCAATAGGATTTTGTTGAACCCATTAATGCATGTTCTGCTTATTGACATGTCCATATGAAAGTGACAGACATCCAAACATTTGCAGCTGATGAACTGTCACCAATTTTGTAATACGCTCTCACGGTGACTGCACGCTCCGCACCACTCCACTTCTCCATCTCAACTAAATGTCCATTACTACTTGGCGTCATAACTTCAGTTTCTCATTCCTACAAGACATACAGGTGTACCAACAACGACTTCGAAATTTCCCGTTTCTTTGTGCCACCCTGTATATACATTTTGTAGACAATCTAATTCCCTACATAGTAATATATAACATGTTAGGAAAATATATAAGTTTTTGGGGTGAAATATAATAACAAACGGAGAACCGAAAAAATTGAAATCCGTACAGTGTTAGTTTGTGTTGTAAAAAGTTATATAATATATGTGTATACTGTAATATATCTTAAGAATATTAATATCAGTTGTAGCTAGAATTTCCTTATACATCACGCCACTGTGAATCGTATGATTTTCAATAAATCCCATTGGCTACAAACATCACCTGATCCCCTCTCCACCTACATCACACCACCGTCCGGCGTCCATGTCCGTCCGTCCCTACAACAGCCGAGTCTACCTCCAAAACTCAAACCTGAACCACCCGTTTGTAGCCGTGTTTTAAACATGTAAAACTATCGTATAATTTCAGTCCACATCCTAAGTACAATTCAACCCACGAACACAACATATACTAATAATGATATATACATGTTTGTAAAGCTAATGAAGTAAGGAATCCAAAAATGTCATAAAGTTTATGGTAAAAATATTTTTTTATTTATAAATAAAATAATGTTTTTATATTTTAGCGATTTTGTGAAAATAAATTCATAGTATTTAGTATAAAACTTTAGTACCAAATGATTTGACTTCAAACCAACATAATCATCTTGTAGTGTATTCAATTATCTACATAAAAATGTATAACACGTTGAGTAAAAATTTTTGTTTTTACGTGTTAGGGGCATAATAATATAATAAACGGAAAACCGCAAAATACAACCGCAAGAAAAATAACACCTTTTATAAACACTATTTCATACTACAGTAGACTCCCTCTTATCAGGACACCTTTTAACCGGACATCGGTTTAACCGGACTACACTCCACGGAAATGACATCTCTTTAACCGGACAACTTTTATCAGCCCATTGGTTTAACCGGACTAAATCGGCAGGAAGTGGGTGGTACTGAAACGACTGTTCTCGTGGGAAAGATTTGAGAACAGTGATCACATGTCTAAATACAATGTTCTCCTAAATTTAAGTCGAATAACACCGTAAACAGTCCGTTTTGACGAGTTTTTGGGGACGTCGGCTTAACCGGAAAAACCGTTATCCGGACTGGCCTTGGTCCCGAGGAGTCTGGAGAAGAGTGAGTCTACTGTATTCAGTAAATATTCATGCATAATAAAATGCACGCTGTTATATACACACACACATTTCTCTAATACGAAATAATAACGAATTTAGTAATAAATCGCGGATAAAACGAGAACGAAAACTCAATGGCAACAACACGCAATGGCGAATACAAGGCACTTTGTGTATGAGACCTTGACAGTAGTGACACACTTCCGTCGTCTTAGTGAGAAAAAACAGAAATAACCCTAAGCGCAGGGCTGCCACTATCACAAGCTACATTTCTTCCTCTTCAAAATGACATATTATATGACTAGTACTTATACTGTGTGTAATTTGTATTTTCCTATACGATCGTCTAGCAACTGTTGGCCATTTGTTACAAATTTCAAAAACAGCTGTTTTCATAAAATCGTACCGGTTGTCCAATCAATATTTTGTTCTAAATATCACTACCACAATGAAGATAAAATCAATGGCTATCCAGTGGTACCACCCGCAAAATCCCAAGACGAAAATTACCCGAGCAGGGTAATGCCAAACAAGTTGTGTTTTGCCAGTTCCCAAGTGTTGGCTGCAAAAGTCGTGCCGCGTCGAAAATTCATTTGATTTCTAATTGTCGTGACATTGTTATATACCTGCTACAAGGTTTTTTATGTAATAAAATTAAAGTTCAGGAATGTGATCTTTCGAATGGTATGTATATTGTTCTCATCTGAGTTGATTACAGTGATTGAGTTGATTGAGTGAGGGTGTTTACTTGGCAAAGAAAAGCCCTACGGATCATGTTTGATATACCAAATAAAGTCAACTGCAAACCTTTCTTTATAAATAATAATATAGGCCTAATGACACTTTCAAGTATTTATATTTTTAATAATTTAGTCTATGTTAAACAAAACATTACAAATTTTACTAAATGTCACTCAATACATAACCAATCAACTAGACAATCAAACAACCTGTACATCCCACCAGTTAGACTTTCAAAATTCACAAAAAGCCATAAATATTTACAATTACAACTTTTCAATAAACATCCCATTCCATTTAGAGAAATTGATAACATAAACCTTTTCAAATCAACATTACCAAGATGGCTAATTAGCAAAGCCTTTTTTTCTATAGACAATTTTTTAAACACAAATGATTACTCTGAACTCTTAACACTATTGGCCACTACGAGGCAGCCTGCATAACCAAAAATCTTTTACAAATTTCCTGAATATTTACAAATTGTTTAGTTTTGAAGTATTATTTACTTAAGTTTTTTATAAATTTGTGTAAAAGCATTCAATCTTAGAATTTTAAATTTAAATATTAGGCCTGTATGTACAGTTTATGTAACAAAATGTTCAATGCTTCATAAGATGATATAGATTTAAGCATGATGTCATATTTGTGTCCTGACTTCTGACGTTGTCTATTGTAATTTTATGTTGCTGAATGACAATAAAGATTATTATTATTATTATTATTATAAGTGTTTTTTTTTTACCGTTAAAATAATTTCGGCCCATACCATCGCCTTACGATCGTGGCCATTCTAAGCATCAACTAGGGTTAAATTTATTGTAATTTATTGTGTAGTGCAAATATTTTATGTTCATGTAAACTATAAGAAAATTTTATTCCACACATTGGTACTTTTTGCCACCAACTCTAGAGACAAGTTTCTCATACAAAGCTAGTTCTGGTATTCATTAATGTTATACCAGACAGGTTTTATAAGCATTCCTTCCTTCATCCCTTTTGTTTGCTTGCTCTTTTCAACGAACACCATCCTACAATCTGCAAACACGGTAATGAAGAATTTGCAACCAACTTGCTAGTATGCTGTGTGAAAAGTGTGGCTTACCTCGACCTTTTATTACATTACTTTTTCCAGACGGACGAGAGGAGGGTCTTCCGAAATACTTTCTACAGGTCGGGGAGTGGTTTTACCCTCTGGTCCCTGATGTTTCGCCGTGTTTCCGATCAGATTATGGAGCATTCATCTTGCCAGACGTCCAGTCTCAAGTCGAAGGTATGTCACAGTATTTTTGTTGTTGTAGGTTTAATGCCAAATGTAAACGTCAGTGGCGGTTGTAGGTCTTGAAATTTGAGAAGCAAGGTCCCATAATGACACTATAACCACGGTGTCTCGGTCCCCCAATATGAATTTGGAAGTTTAATTTTCAATTAATTTTGAATGAAGTTGTCTTCTATAGGCATAGGCACACTATAAATCTTACCTGATACAGGTCTAGTTGAGTATGATAAAATAATCGATACTGAAACTATACAAACTGTATACATTTGTTCATGGAGCCATGTTTGCAGGAGCTGCAGTAGGACTGATACTACCCCCAGAGGCGGACATCTCACTGTTTGAGCTGCTGGAGGATGTTCTCCACGGAGTCGTGTCACAGCCACCCACAGCTCCGCCACGCACACGCACACGCAGAGACAACTTCAGTACTACCATCTCTAAGGGCATTGTAACTGGTGTGTATCCAACAGTATGTGTGTGAGCGAGGGATTCATGTAGACATTTTCCATTATGGTCAGATAAAGTGTTGTTTGTGCCTCAGTCTTGTGCAGACGTGTCCATTGTGATTGTGTCCATTGTGATTGTGTTCACCTACCCTCTATTTTTACAATATGTTGTTTCCTTCACTAAAGCCTCCTTGATTATGATCAGTACTTACAGTCTACCATACTAAAATACGGTACTTTGTTGTTGTTAGATCACTGCACAGATCAGTAGCCTATTTTGACGAGCAGTTGATATCTTTTTTAAAACAATATCTGAATACTTCATTTTGTAATAATTTAAATAACTTTTTGATGATTTTCTAAGTAATGCCAAACAAATCTCTAACATGTACATTTTGTTGTTTGTATAAAATAATTAATCTTTTTGAATAAATTTTTATATTCAGTTGTTAAAAATTGGGCATTAGTAATTTTAACCCTCAAGTAAACCGGCTTGATCCCCTCCCTAAAAAATCATAGCCCAAGAGTATAAGTACAGATAAAATTTTACTTAATTTTAAGTACAGTACAATATAAACTAATTCTATTTCCTGCTAGCCGGACAACTAATCTCCAACTCCGCTATACACGATGCTTACATTCATTCACTTTGTTCACTCGTCTATGAGTCAAGAAAAGTAAAGAATTATAATAATTTTTCTTATTGTTTATAATTGCAAGAATAACATTAAAACTCGTTTTCAAGCAGCTAATTGTAAAAAAATATTCCCCGAATCCCCGGTACAGGGCCCCATAGAGGAGGTAGCAGAGAGCCTCAAATGGTCCCAGGCTGGACCTGTATTAATTATTTTACCTGCTACTATATACAATTATCGATCTTTTCTTCTACGGTGTGGCAAGTGGTTACAAACAAGGGGACGTAGCACGGTTTTCATATAAGTTCACTCACAATCCATTCACAACATTACAATATCAAGATCTTCAACTATCTCAAATTCACCAATTGTCTGGCCTTTTTCTAAATCAGGCCTCCTGGCCGCCTGTTTGAGCCGGATTATTGTTAGGCTATTGTAATTAACTAAGCAACACAAACTCAACTATGTTTTCAGGGGCCCATTACGTCTCCACAGGACTCATCAAGGGGGCAGAGGCAGCGAGTAACTATGTAAGTTCCACAACACCTAAGATCATCTCAAAACTGAGTCCTGAGGAACCCCGCCCTGTCCCACCTACGATCCGTACGGGGGCCAAGGTAGCGAGATCTGTCACTCATACTGCAGTCAACGTCACTGGCTTTGTGGGTAAGTACTACGCTGGTAAGCTATTTTATCTAATTACAGGGCAGATGGGAAAAAGTATGAATAGTAATATAAATGTATATAAAATCATCGGTTTTTGGATATTGACGCCATCTATATGGACCGTCTGTAACAGCTAGTTTATTGAAATGAACACAGTTGAATGAGTGTTCATAGATTATGCAAGTATAAATGTATATTTTCTCCCTTAACTTTTGTTACTGAGACAGTTAATGTTACAATGATATTAAAAGATATGGTACAAAGATCTTAAAATATAGTTTACAATAAGTAATCAGTTTGAATCGGTTAAAGTCATCCGGGTAGTCGAGTGGTTATTGTATTCCAAGCAAGATTGTTTCTGGATCCAAATGCCGTTTGTCATTTGGCTATCAATTAATGATGCTATCTAAAAAAAAATTATAAAGGGTTTATGGGAAATTTTGAAAATTTGGTCGATAGAACAAAAGATGATGGTATATTCTTAACACATTTTAATAAGTTAACAATGTTTTAAAAATGTTTTTGGATTGATGAATCTTTTAGAGAATTTCTTATATATAGGGAATAAGCTATTACCTTAGGTCTCATAGTAAGACCCAGCCCCCGCACCGATTCCATTTTTCTTTTTGGGGACTGTAGAGGCAAAAAAAAACCGTATCTTCAAATTCACATTTATACACACACACACACCTGAATGAGTTCGCGAACCAGCATGGTCGGACTATGGGAACGTGGTGTTTGGGGTGAAAATATGTTTTGCCCATTTTGACCCCTAAAACATAAGATTTTTTCATTTTTTAAACTCCTTTGAAGAGCTTAAAAAACAAATACTGAAGTGTTTTTTTTAGGTTTATTGGTTACAGAAAAAAATAAAAAATTGTGAACTTAAAATTTCTGTTATTCTTATGGAGAATAAATAAACTGTTGCAGTTTGCTTGTTTATGGATCAAACTTGGCGAATTTATTTGTTTTATACTAAGCTATTATTATAAAAAAAAAACAAAAAAAACACACACACTTTATTACCCTCCCTGTACCAGTAAACCTAATGTTATTTAAATAGATTTAAGCCACAGCAAGAGTATTTTTACAATCATTATGTTAAAAAAAATGTAAACCCCTCTTAAGCATGCAAATGCAATGAAATCAAATTCTTTGTTAAAACTGTCAAAACATTTAGTAAACCCAACAATTCTAGGCGATAATGCTGAAAACACACTGGACGAAAATGAAATTTCTGAAGATGAAACGTCTGAAACAAAAACTGAAACAGTCGATTCAACTGAAACAACCAGTGAAGGTGATTCAAGCAGACACAAACGGCACAGACATAAACATAGACAACACTTGTTGAGATTAAAAAGTGATAAAAACAAACCAGAAGTTGAAACGGCCGGAACTTCAAGTGAACAACACAAACGGCACAGGCATAAACACAGGAGTTACCTGTCAAAATACAGTAAAACTGATGAAAATGAAACACCCACAGATGAAACAAACATCGAAGATGATGCAAGTGTATCACACAGACGTGGACATAGAATGTCGAAGCTTAGTAGAGAATTAAATAAGTTGAAACTCGCACCGAGTTGGCAGCCTTTGCCTCGTCCAAGAGTGAAATACGGGAAACACAGAGCTTCAGCTACTCTCTTAGCCAAAGATCATGGATCTACGAGCTCAACAGACAAGAAAAGTAAGCCGGTGGTGGTTAAGAAAATCCATGCATGGTCGGTTAAGGCCATTGAAAAGTTTTGCATTTTGTACAGGAATAATTATTTTAATTTGGCTGTTGAGATTTGCTTTATAGGTTGATCAGAGGTGTATTCAGTTTTGTTGCTTAAAGCTCCAGATTGCATTTACTTTTAATCTTACCATTTGACTGTTTAGTCTATATATTAACCATAATTTATTCAGAACCTGTAATTACTATTTTGGTATAAAACACTTAACAGCCAATTGCATACAAATGGTCTATGCCTAAGCTTCACTCTACTGTAAAAACATGATTGGGCATAACTACTGTTTGTATTTTTAAATTCAGAGTTCATTGTTCACATATTTTGTTATATTAATTAAGTTCTTAATTTTATTGATAAGCAAAAAATAAACCTAAATACCCCAACATAAAAAAATATTTATATGGAATAATCAGAACTCAGAACTCTATAAAAAGTTATGATTGATTTAGTTAATATTCCTTCTATGTTCATTCTAAAACTGTTTATTAAAGTAATTTTACCAAACAGTATGATTTAAAAATATGATAATTTTCTCCACTGAATAAAACACTAATCAATTAACCTACATTTTCCCAAATTATGTTCTATGGTATGAATAATTATTTCATAGCAACTCTTTACCTTAAATCTTTTATAATAACCCTCTCCATAGTGACAAAATTCTTTATACTAAGAAATCATACCTGATGATGGAAAGTGCAAATCTAATGAACATCAAATATTTTTTATGTACCTTTCTGGGTAAAGGTCTACAGTTGGTGGTAGTTGGCTTACACACTATTAGCTTGCCTCTTAGAATCAGCATTCATTTGAACATAAATACATTTTGCTATCAATATTACAGTTGTACAAAATAACATATTGTAAGGACTTCATTTTGTTGTTTGTTGTTGTTCCGGATCGGTATGACATACAATAAAAGGTTAAATTACCTGTGTCCGCCTGTCGATCCTTATTTGCTGTGTCCTATTACAGGAGATGCATTTCGGCAGAATGTTAAAGCATGCTGTTAATAGTCCTTTTAATAGTTCCTGTTAATAGTCCTTATTAACATAGTACGACTGATGATGGCAGTTTATTCTGCCGAAATGCATCTCCTGTAATAGGACACAGCAAATAAGGATCGACAGGCGGACACAGGTAATTTAACCTTTTATTATTGTAAGGACTTTAAAATTATAAGCCTTTTATTACTAACCACTCAAGATTAGACTCTTATCTTCTAGTAATGGTAATCCTCATAGGTTCCTCATATCTAGGAATTAATACTGACCCCTAATCTACTAATTTATTATTACCTCCCTTTTTACAGTTGTTTAGCCTCCAGATTCTAAAGCTTTTCGTAAAATGGTTGAAATAAAAGCATGATATTGTAGATTGAAGTGGTTGCTTGCTATGATAATACTGTAGTTTTGGTTAAAAAAGAGCCATATTCAGGCCCACAAGGAGTAAAAAATAATTACACATGGTGAATGGGACTCATGAGATACAGAAAAAACATGTATAAAGATATCATTACATGTAAAGGGAAAAGACAAAAGTGTGAAGCCACCACAGTGAAAGTGAAAGTCTAGGAAATGATGTAGGCTACCTATGTTTCATGCGGTTGTTTTTTTATTGACATTTTTCGAATTATTAAATAAAATGTTATTTATTAATTGTTTTGACTAGTTAGGATTAAACTTATACCAGTTGTTTTTAAATCCACGGTATTTCTAGCAGAAACTTATTTATCTTTAATTAGAAAACTTTACTTTTGAAATGGAAAGATAAAATGTAAACCATTTTTCAAATTGCTGTATTTTCATCTTAGCTACGTTCACACAAGGCCAGTATAGCAGGTAGGTTACAGGACAGGATACTTGCCTTAAATGTATTTCAAGTAACCTCAGACAAGTAACCTGCCCGCCAACTAGCCTTGCGTAAAAGCGACTTTAGTGCCAAAATATTTCCAGAGAAATTCATACACTCTGAACAAACATTTAAAACCGATTTTTTTCTTAACCCTTTCTTTCCTACTTAGGCTCAGGCCTTTATGCAAGTCTAATGTAAATGAAAGCAAGTGAGAGGCAATACCTAGTGCTTGTAAAATGTGGTTAGAAAAATGATCAAACTGCATGCCAAACTATAGTTTCACCTCTGCAATTAAAAATCTATTGAAAAGAGTAACTTAAGAAAAGCTGATGTTTAAAATACACCATAATAATCCAGACTAATTGCAACCGGACCCTATTAGGAATATTAGGAAATACGGTTAAGTTAAAAAAAACCTATTTTTCTGATGGTAAATGGTCTTATATTGCTCCTGAGATCGCGATAACATTCTTATCATTTCCTAGGATCAGGAAGACACAGCGATTGGCTTCCGGAAATTGTAGAAACATCTGTGATCATCTCCCAAGTTTACTTTCTGTCTTCTAATCGAGATCCTTAAAAGAGAACCAACAGAGCGGAGGAATAAATAAGTGCTTTAACATAAGCAATTGCCAATTGATTATTCATTTTGCATTACCTTCAAAAATTTACATATGATTCACTGGGTTTTTTCCGGTCCTCAAAATTGATGTAGAATAACCGGTAAGCTGGACACCTTGGTTAGTATTTCAGAAAACAAAACTTTGTTTTAGCGAATTTCCCTATAGGGAAGTAGCTATTACCGTAGGTCTCATGGTAAGACCTAAGCCCGGGACCGATTTACTTTTTCATTTTGATGTCCCCAGAGGCCAAAAACACCATTCGTTCAAATTTTTATATATCTATATATAGAGATATATATATGTGTGTCCATCCGCACGATAACTTGAGTAATTTTTGTCCGATTTTGATAAAATTTGGTTTGAAGGTGTAAGGCAGGATAAACTTGAATGAGTTCGTGAACCAGCATGATCGGACTATGGGAACGGGGGTTTATGGGGGGTTTTATGGGGTAAAAATAGGTTTTTCCCATTTTTGACCCTAAAAACACAAAATTTCACAATTTCTTTTTAAACCATTTTGTAGAGCTTAAAAAAACAAATAATTTAGTATATTGAAGCGTTATTATGCGCCTAATTGTTACGGAGAAAATTCAAAAAAATTGTAATTTTAAAATTGCCATGTTATTCTTATGGAGAATAAGCACAGCCACCTCTAATACAAGGCCGCGGCGAGTGAAAAGCGGCAACGTCGCATCAGTGTCTTGGCGTTCGGTCGTTTTACCATTACAGTGAATGGAGGAGTCGCGTACTCTACGTACATAATCGTGTTTCTACAACCTTTAATCATTAGTAATGACATTAAACTTCTTACTACAGCATGCCAGATAGATGTGATGTGCCTGGATGCAAGAATTAATACGATAGCTCAATTAAAAAATGAATAATACATACAGTGTTCTAAGATTCTACTTGATCCACCGCGTAAGCAACAATTGCTTTATGCTATTCTTCGATCAAATTAGACATCTTAAAAAGAAAAATTTTTCACGAATATGAGCTTAGATTAAATTTGTAAAAAATGTAAGAATAAGACAATGACACGTATAAATATAGACGTGAGAAGCAAGTTTTAGGTAGTAATACCGTACTATTTCCTTATTTATTTGTCTATCTTATTGATAAATGCTGTTGTTAAGTGATTATAATAACTTAAATAAATGTCACTTCAAAGAAATAAGCCGTTTTTCTGTTAAGTAGGCCTACTAGTAAAAAAATATGTAGCCTACTGCACCATCTAACAATAAAAGCATCACAGTCTCCGAATCCAGTCTGAATGTTGATGTGATAGAAATTCTATTAATATTGTGGAAAGCCATATGGAGACCTAGCTTCTGAAATCATTTACTAAATGGCAAACGTTTTTCTTAGTAATTATTCAAAGAAAATAAATTTTGAGTCAGTATGCCTTCAAAATGAAAACTTGAAATTTTGTTGTCGCTAACTTATGGTTTCCTGAGGTACCTAGACTAAAACATAATATTCCTATTAAAAATTAAAAATTAATTTTATTTGAACAAATTGTTAGATGTTAGTCTCTACAAATCCCAAAGTCTCTACAAATATTGAAGTGGCAATAAGTTAGTCCTACTGTATAACCATTCTTGGTATAGAAGCTTTATTTTGTAAAATTTAAGCACAGTCTGTCTAGTAGTTTTTACTATGTTGAATAACACACATATATACAGACACCATGAGATTGTTATATAAAAGTGTAGATTATCAAATTAACAAAGGAAATATTTAAAGTTAATCTATTTCCACATTCATCGTACTTACAATACGATAAATGCAACCAAAAACATTATGTTTGTATATTTTTAGTTTTAGACATATTGCGGTATGTTGCAATTATTTACTAAATAAACAACCTAGATTACAATTTTGTCTATTTTACTATACCTTAAAATCTACTAAAATATGTTATTACGTATTTAAATACTTTCATTCATTGATACAGAGCAGCAATACTCTCATTGATGTTCATAGCCTAGCGCGTGTGAAGACGGACGCAGAGGGGGTGTGATTGCGGCGTTGCCAGTTCGAACGTCGCGGCCTTGTATTAGAGGTGGCTGTGGAATAAGTCAACTGTTGTAGTTTGCTTGTTTATGAACATATTTTGATCAAATTTGGAAAATACATTAATTTCTTACTAAACCATGGTAACTTTTAATATTTTACATTAAAAAAAACTTTTTTACCCTCCCTGTTGCAGCAAACCTAAGTACTCATTAAACTAATTCTGTTTAAATAGGGAATAAATGTGATATTTTTAAGGAGACAATTTAGTTTAAATCTAATCAGGCAGATGGAAATTCGCTAAGTCTGCAGGTTTGCTGCGGCGGGGGTATTTAATTTAAATATAGTTAGCCTACATTTCTTCTCAACAAATGGTTTGGATTATGGGTTCTGATTTGTGGTACTCTATATTCTATTTTACTCCATTCACTATTTAATTTTTCAGAAGAAAATGTTCACATTTTCAATCCTAAAATAAAATCAACTAATGTTACAGCGGGGAAGGTGGGTTCAGCAACAATGGCCCTGGGTCGCTACCTAGCCCCGCATGTGCAGAAGGGAGGTACCAAGCTGCTAGCCAAGGTGGGGGTGGCTGAGGACAAGGCTGCGGAGGGGGTCGGGGGAGTGCTGACTGTAGCAGCGGGGGCTGTGGAAGGGTTTGGTACTATATACACAGGGCTGGAACAGTCTGCCAACTTACTGGGCAGTAGCCTGGCCAACAATACTGTCAAGATAGTACAGCACAAGTGAGTAATCAAGACTTTGAAATAATTCGTATTGTAGCTTTTGAACTCCTTTTATGACAAAATAGGCTATCTTACCTCCATCTATTGTCAGAATTTTCCATCAACAGGATGCTAACTGGTTTCATTCTTTTTCAATGTTGTCCTTGCAAAGAAACTAGCCAACATTCTTTTGGTGGAAAATTTGGATTACAGACAGAGGCAAGATTGCTGATTTTGTCATTAAAGACTTTATCCTAGGGAGTATTTTAATTTGGCTTTGTAATAATCAGAAGGGTTCAAATGGTAAATAGGAAGTGTTATAAGATATTGTGGCGACTAGGTTGGTGCAGGGATTTTACTCCTGCAAATTGTAGCTCAGAAAAATTCCTGATCTCTTGGAGAAATCCCCAAAATATGTAACTAAGCTAACAGGAGAGCTGAAAGCTACCCCAGCCAATAGGGAGAGCTGTTACAGCCAAGGTCAGTTATGTTTTGTTGGGGGAATCTGATAATTTGACCCCTGCATAATTTGTACTACTTCTTAGAAGTGTTTTGATTTTTACCAGGGAAGTAATACATTCTCTGAACCACGACACATTTTTATGCTGATATATGTGTAACGTTTTTGTTGAGAGTTCGTAATCTGTAATTTAATTATTAATGTATTAGCCAATACACCACAGATTGATTTATGATGTGGCCAGTGATATTTAAGTTCATCCCAGAGTACTACTCATACTTTAATTCTGGCAATAACTAAAAAATATGTAAATTAATTAACTCAATATCCATTGATCCGTAAATTGATTCACACAACAGCTATTAACGTATAAATTTATTTACCTTCTATTTTGTAATGCCTTAAAGTACAAAAATACATCAAATATAACTTGTAATTATATATATTTACACTTATACTGTTTACTCACAATATACGGTAAATACATATAAAAGATAGTAAGTGGTGATTGATTTCGATTGGACACTCCAATCATCGTCAGTCGTAATAGGCGAAAGAAATCGATCACCAATTACTATATTTTATACGTATTTACCGTCTTGTGAGTAAACAATATAAGTGTAAATATATTATTACAAATGTTATTTGAAATATTTTTGTACTTTCAGATAATTAATAACACGTACAATGTTGATCAAGAAGATATTTCGTAATGCGTAACACCATCTTTCAGATACGGGGAACCGATGGCGGAGGTGACTGGCAATACTTTGTATACGGTTGGCAACGTTTACAACACCACCAACAACATCAGCAACCTCACACCAAAGGGTCTGGCCAAGAAAACAGCAAAAAATACGGGGAAGGCCCTTGTGGATCCACATAGACCAGACGTCAACGGGAAACCAGACCAGGGTGCAACGGACAAACCTTCTACCTCTACAGAGAAGTAACTGTCTTAAAACTATCCTCGTTGACCATTCAGTATTGTTTGTGTAGCGGTAAACCCGTTCTCTTTAAATGTTGTTAAAATCGCATGACATTGTTGTTTGCTAATAATTTACAACTAAGACTTCCAAAACTTTTCAGTACTATTCCACATTATGTGTATTTGGCTTGTCGTCATGATGCACAAACATACTTAAACCATTTAGTTGTAATCCATGGGTTTAATTTATTTTACGCCACACTACATTATTTTGACGAACTTCCCGCGCAAGGATTTAGTCCAGAAAACAGCTGTTTGCCGCCAGCTTATTCAAATGGGGTTTCATTGCGTACTACTGTACTGCAATGAGTTTTGCCGGACACCAATCAGCTGATTTTATACTGTATTTAGGTGGCAGTGAGTGGTTATAAACAAAAACATAACCTCTCTTAGAGGTTATGACTAGTGATTTTTAGTCCTTTAGTTGGTGGAAATATATAAGGATTTGTACGGATTTAGTAGTATGGCGTAACGTAAACTATCGTACGTAACTCGTCCAAAATGTGTGTACCGGACTCGTATGGTAATCCCGTACTCGACTTCGTCTCGCACGGGAACGACCACACTTGTCCGGTAAACACTTATTTTCAGGACTAGTAACGTAATATACTATCCTCACAAAAATTACAGCTGATGAAATCAATATTTGCCTGCAGAAAGGCTTTAACCCTAGCAGTGGCCAATGTTAGAAGTGGGGAATGGCCAACCCATTTTGGCGATTTTGCAGACCTTTTTTTGAAAATTCGTAAAAATTCAACCGTACAAGTAAACCTAGCCAACCTCATATTCATTTTGTTCGGAAAGAACAGTAGAATTTAGAAATAGTAATATCATAATGATTTAGATAGTGTATTTTATCGGTAAAGTGAAAAAAATAAAAAAAATTGAATTTTTTTTTTTGAAATTTCAAAAGCGGCCCCGGTATTTTTTTTTCTACGGATTTTTTATGGAAAATTCATTATATACATTTTGTAGACAATCTAATTCCCTACATAGAAATATATAACATGTTAGGAAAATATTTTTTTTTTATAAGTTTTTGTGGCAAAATATAATGACAAACGGAGAACCGAAAAAATTGAAAACCGTACAGTGTTACTTTATGTTGTAAAAAGTTATATAATATATGTGTATACTAATAATGATATATACATGTTTGTAAAGCTAATGAAGTAAGGAATCAAAAAAAGTCATAAAGTTTATGGTAAAAATAACTTTTTACCTATAAACATACGTATATAAAATAATGTTTTTATATTTTAGCGATTTCTTGAGAAAAAAAATTCACAGTACTTAGTATACAACTTTTGTACCAAATTTTTTTACTTCAAACCAACATAATAATCTTGTAGTGTATTCAATTACCTACATAAAAATGTATAACATGTTAGAAATATTTTTTTTGTAGGTACGTAATAGGGACATAATAATACAATAACCGCAAAACCGCAAATAAGTGTAAACTATAGCCTACAGTGTTTGCTTGTGTTGTGAAACATTATGTAGGCTGATGATATGTAGCCTACATATTTGTAAAGCTAATGAAATAAGGAATCCACAAAAGTCATAAGTATGATGGTAAAAAGTTATTTTCACCTATGATTAGGCTATGTATCAATTTGAGAACGTTTTGAATTTTTTGCGTATTTCGAGAAAATGGAGTGTACAGTATTTAGTAGCCTAGCCTATATAATTTTTTTACCAAATTTTTTATACCCAAACCAATATAAACATGTTGTAGTGTATTTATTTACCTTTATAAAAATGTATAACACCTTGGGTATATCATTATATAGGTACAACAATCTCTGAATGTCAGAAACGTCATTTTAGGACATGATGCTAACAAAATACAGTAGTAGGCCTATTTAGTATAGGCTATAACTTTTTTACAAAATTTTTTACCCCCAAACCATTATAAACATGTTGTAGTGTATTCATTTACCTTTATAAAAATGTATAACACCTTGGGTATATCATTATATAGGTACAACAATCTCTGAATGTCAGAAACGTCATTTTAGGACATGATGCTAACAAAATACAACCTTTTATGAACACTATTTCACACAATTCAGTAATATTTATGCATGAAGATTACTGTTATACACACACACAACACTTCACTAACACTAACACTACAAACTAATAACATATTTAGTAATAAATCGCGGATAAAACTATTACCGGCAACAACACAAACAAACAATGGCAATACAAGACAGCTGACAGACTGTAGCAGTAATGACTCACTTCCATCGTCTACATGCGAGCATACAGAAATAACCCTGAGTGCAGGGCTGCCACTCTCTGAATCTAAATTTCTTCCTCTTCAAAATGATATACTATATGACTAGTAATAATAAATTACACTGTATGTAATTCGTATTTTCCACATCGTCATCTGGAGTCGATTGGCCATTTGTTAAAAATGTCGAAAACAGCTGTTTTCATAAAATCGTACCGGTTGTGCAATCAATATTTCGTTATAAATATTACTACCACAATGAAGATAAAATCAATGGCTATCCAGTGGTAACACTCGCAACATCCCACGACGAAAATTACCCGAGCAGGGTAATGCCAAACAAGACGTGTTTTGCCAGTTCCCAAGTGTCGGCTGCAAAAGTCGTGCCGCGTCGAAAATTCATTTGATTTCTAATCGTCGTGACATTGTTATATACCTGCTACAGAGTTTGTTTATGTAATAAAATGAAAGTTCAGAATGTGATCTTTCGAATGGTATATATATTATTCTCATCTGAGTTGATTGTAAGTGTTTTTTTTTACCGCTAAAAAATTTTCGGCCCAGATCGTCACAAGGAGTCGTTGGCCATTCTAAGCATCAACGTCAGATCGTCACCGGGAGTCGATCGGCCACTGCTAGGGTTAAAATAGTTGAATGCTATCTTCAAAATTTACTGTACACCAACCTAATGTAAGATCAACGAGGAACAAAGAATAATTGTACGGGCATTCTCTCTTACAATAGTTACAATAATTAATTGTTGTAGTTATTTTTTTTTGTTACCCTAAGTATACTTAAATTCATCCTAACTCTACTGTTAAATCACTTTAGTTAATCATATTTCTGAAATGGGTTGTTTTTTGTTTTTCATGTTACTACTTTTTATATTATTCGTAGTGACCCTTGGTGAGAATATAATATGTTATTAATAAAATAAAATGATTACCTTGTCCTAACACAGTTGTTGGTATGACGACAGTTTCATTCCTTAGAACTTCATGAGGTCATTTTGTAAACATCATCAATGTATTAATACATTGTCTTATGTCAATAGATTCTTAAAAAACTGAACAATAATTGAAACTTGTCATGTAGATAAAATAGTCAAAATAGAATAAAAATTGATAAAACTGAATAAAACTGTACAGGCTGCCTAGCACTGTCTTATCACTGCCACTGACAAAATAAAACTGACTGAATCATGCGGTTTCTTCTTCTCTTTAGTGCCACCTGTATTTCAGTTTGTTTTGTTCTTCTTATTTTATACTTCTTTGATTTGTAACTTGTCACTATGTATCAAAGATAATATTTGACTGGAAACAAGTCTGATCATTTAAAATATTACACGAGTCAGGTTTTTTACTTTGTAGATGGTAAATTCTTTTTTAGCATCAAGCTTAAAACTTTTTGGTAATACACTATTCCCATATTCATCAATAGATGTGTAGTTGTGTGATTCCGATATTAACAATTTTCCATTTCAATTTTCTAATTCCATTTCAACTATTTTATCAACATGACAAGTTTCAATTATTGTGATTGTGGCAGATTTTAAGAATTTATTGACATCCACAATTTATTAATACATACATTGATGATGTAGTTGCATACAAAATGACCTGATGAAGTTCTAATGAACTAAACTAGTCGTCATACCAACTACTGTAGTTGGGTAAGGTAATAATTTCATTTTATCAATACTACTGTTTGCACAATATTCCATATTTTTGTTTACTGTGTAAGTCCAATTTCAGTAAAATTTTATAAAATATTCAACATGTATTGAATAAAAAGTAAAAACATCAATTAAAAGTGCAATGGTTCTTCACAAACTTTCTAAATTCTGGTATGTTAGACTTGTTTTAAAGATGTATTTTTTTTGGATTTGCAAAGAATTGGTGTATATTTCCAAAATAATTTCTCTTTTTTCAAAGAACATTAAAACAATACTATTAAAAGAGCGTTGATTATAGCCAAAGCACACTCTTCTACAGAAGTAAAAAAAGGCTGATCAAAACAAATAAATTTATATAAGACAATTAATTATCTTAAAGTTACGCCAACTCAACTGTTCAACTGTTTATTTTCTGTATCAAAAGATATTTAATGTCTTGTATAGAAATTATTGAAAATCTATGATTTAGAGTTTGGATGAGTATAGGCTGGTTGGAGGGGCACTTCTTTAATACTCAATTTTTATATGGACTGTTGTAAATGATTGTTAAAATATTTGTTAACGTTTGTCGTCTTTATTGTTACACTTCTTTTGTTCTTTTTATACAACTAATTTTGTTACCTTGTCTTGTTCAATGTGTTTGTTAAAGTTCTACTGTATGTTGTGTGAATAAATTTAAATCTTACTTAAGTGTAAAGAGCTTTCAATGGAAGATATACTGCTTAACACAAAATTAGTGACACTGGATATTTAAACTTTTTAATTTCTACTACAAATGTATCATTAATTCGTTGCAGGATATTAGGTTTAGGAGTATGTTCTTATAATGATTCTCAATAATCTGATACTATAGCTCGGCCGCTTAGAAAACGACCTGCGCGCTAATGCTAAACCAATGCTGGAGGAGGTCGTTTTCTAAGCGGCCGAACTATACTTATGAAACCAGAAGGGTGTTGGATTAGGATTACTGAAAATAATACTAGGTCTAACCTATGAGAAAAGTCAACTTTTGAAGCCTTATTTGGCACTTCTTGAATATTAATTCAAATGAATTAGTTATGGCATTGTTTAGAAAAAAACAATGTTTACTGAATGAAAACATATCTAATTTAACGTATTAAATCTGGCATACAGCATTATCTATGTATGAATGCCCTTAAGTATATAACCTATATTCTAAATTAAATTATGCCTTCAATTTTGTATAACTTCAAATTAAATATTAGTATTTAATTGGAAACTAAGCATTTTAATGTCACTTTAGCCGATAACCATTACTATGCCATCGTGTAGTTCATTGGCGCCCGGGGCGGGATGTTGTCAGGCGCCCCCCCCCCCCCCTCACCACAACACACAATGAGTGATGCTTGTTATACAAAATTGCGTCGCTATCTGTGTTATAATACCAAACAACAGACACCTAAACGGAATGAATTACCTTACAAAATACTAGAGTCAGGAATCAGGGATTAAATTACTAAAATTTTTGATGAAAATCAATTAAAAAATTATGATAATCAAATCCATACAATTAATGAAAGAAAATATTAAAATCTATAAAAGGTACTAAAATGTTATTAATTAATACAGTGCAAATTGAAATTAATGGTATGCAAAACTTCAAAACAAAACTATTCTGAATAAAATATACAGAATATACTACTGTAGGGGTGGGGGAGGGGCGACACGTCAACACGAGCATATTTGAGGTCTCTACCGTTAGGGCCCTTTCACACGAGGCCACTGGGGGCTGCCACTAGTCGATTCTTCTGATCACTCATTTCTTAACACAAAAAAAGCAGTCCAACACGAAACCAATCCACAAATGCACAAGTGCGTCTATTTCTGCACTAGAACTGACTATTTACACCAAAATAATTGATGTGTGCGGTTTCGCGGTGGAGGTCACTAGTGGCCATTTAATTCATGCCCCGTGACGACTTTCCGCCACTAAGGTTGCCGCTAGCAGTTGTGACACTGCGACATTGCAATATCGTTTTTGTTTTCAGATAGTTAAGTTGGGACAGGGCCTTCAACTCCACAGTGGGGTTCATTATTAGGTTATTATTTCTAAACTAAAAGTAGCCTAGTATAATCCAGCTACTACATTTTTATAAAATATTTGATTTGGGAAAACGTTGCAAATATGGTGTCAAATAGTATGTATTTGTTCAATAAATGCATACAACTTAATAATCAAAATTCCACCTGATGGTGGTTGGGGGGGGGGGGGGTTGCCCTGGTCACCCCACCCACAGGACGGCCTTGTCGATTACTGAGAGTCATCTGTATTACCTAAAAAAAACAATGAAATACAGTAGTTAGATAATAACGTGGCCTAAGCAAATGCCTGTATGGACAGTAGTATTAGTTTTGTACTTATTACGCCTTTATGTTGATACAGTGAAACCTTGATAGCAAAACACTGAATAGTGAAAGCCAGTTGGTATTATTAATGAGCTCCACTGCATTTTTATATTAGCTGGGTACTAGCTAGTCTTAGAGCTACTACTTCAATTCCTGAAATTGTGGGTTCAAATTGTGCCAATCACCTATTGATTTAATCTATGTGATAATGACACGACCCCTTAGGCCTAGCCTGAAGCACAGACTAACAAACATAAGTAAAATAATTAGAGAAATAACATTAGTAGGTGCTCATCTCATTGTAAAATCTGAAGTTTTTTTCATGTGTAGTTCATGTTGATGACACTGGGTGCTGTAGTCAAAAAGAAATTTTGTTTCTAACCAGGGTTAATTTTATGATTTAACTGTTTGCTTATATAACTAGAGGACAAGTTACTGTTTATGATTAGATCGTTTAGTTTGGTTTTATGAGGTTTTAAATAACTGAAATAACAAAACACAAATTGTAAACAAAAACAAGATCGTAGCGGCACTGGATGGAATAAACAATAAAATTGTCTTCATCTGATCCATAAGGGTGACAAATCTACTACGGGGGTATGTTTAATATATGCCTGAAGTATTGTGTAAAACAGTTCTAAACAAGATCCTAGTGTCCTAGGATGTGGCTTGGCACACGACAAAAATTGCAAATATATTATAATAATGATAATAATAATATGGAACACCTGATATCTTCGACAGAAAGTGATTTTCTTGGTTCTTAGATCGAAAATAATTATTTTATCAAGGTATAATCTATTGAAAACAACTTGTTTTGCAGCAGTCTAACAGAAAAATCGCTAGTTTAAATCTACTTGTATACTATACTGCTATTCTTTGACAGAACAATAATTTTAAATAAGTAAATAACAAGTAGAGCTTTATCATCTTGAGAGATTTCCTATTAAGGTTGCACTGTAAATGTTTTAGATATACTGTATAACATTAAAATGCCTTATTTATCTGTTCGTCACACCTAAGACTGCATATGTTAGAATAGTTTTTATTTTTGTGGTAAAAAGTATTCATACTACAGCTATGGTTTGTTTTAAGATTTTATAATAATTCATCATATACTCTTATGTTTTATTTTGTCAATTTTGTAGTTTTTAGAGCTGTATTTGTTAAACTTATGTTGTTGTTTGCCACATTAGCTTAAAAACTTTGAACAAGAATGAAACCACACACTATTTTGGAATACTAATGTTATTGTGATTTAAGACAATAGGCTATTTTATGTTATGGTTTAGGATGTAGAAAAGTTAGATTGTATTGCTATAAAAACTCCTGTTGGTTTTCAGTAGGTTTCTGTATGAAAACAATTTTAAAAATGGGTTAATGAATAAAAACATTGTTGATACTTAAATAATATTTTCACCAATTAATGTAAATAAGAAAATAGAGTATAATAAAGTTCTTTGACATTTGTAAACGTTTTTCTGTGCAGAAAATAATAAAGTCTTTATAATAGTATAAGCTTCTGAGAATAGACATCCTTAAGTTTTAAAAAAATCATCAAGCACGTTCTGGGAACACTAACTGGTGCACCAGTACAGGACCAGTGCCAGAAAATGTGTCGTTCTGGGAGACTGGTAAACTTATCTAGCAGACAGTTATTTCCTCTTTTTCCTCCACCGGTGCAACATTCATGAACCGGAGAAATTGTACGGTGCATAATACACCAGTGGCTTCTGATTGGTCAGTTTCTTCAACACCAGTCTGCAGCTACAGCAAAATGGGGGATCTATTGAATAAATGTTCAATTGTTTATCAATTTTATGGATTATGTTAACTTATGTAATAAGTAAATAATTTTTTAAATATTATAAAGTAAATAGTTCAGTAGGTTGATGTATAAATTATAATCCGAGGTGCACCATAGACCGAACAAAAACAAATATCTGGAAGCCCTAGACTCTGCCCTGGGACGGTACCGGTGCACCAATACATGTTCCAAGAACGTGCTTCCTGTAAATGTAAGGCATAAGCACCATACAATAGTTACCTTGTCTTATGAAACAACTAAGCTAGGCATAAATTTGTTTTTAACTATACAAATAACTGTACTCTCCATAAAATATATTTCTTAAAAACTTAGTTCCTGAGCCACATTCATGCCTTAAATTTAGTAATATTGCTTTATAAAATATTTACGTTAAAAAAAATTTACTACACCGTCCCTGTATTGTTGATATTATGCAAGCATTTAGAAAACACTGTAACGAATTGATATTTTTTTCATGACATTGTTAATAATATTGTATATAGCGAAGTGTATGTTAAATTTTATTTATTTTTTAAAACTAACTTCCTTTTTTACTATGAAACTTTTATGCAGATAACCTTTAAATGTCTATGAAATGATATGTGTGTTGAATGTAACGTTCATAAGACAATGTTTCAGGGGCCAAAGTTTTCTAAGATTGTTAAACTATACATACATCTACTAAAAGGAATATAATACCTTTGTCTATTAATACAACAACAATACCCTAATTTTTCTACAGTATAAATTGTTTCAATTGATCACATGGTCATTCAATAACTTGGGAACACCTATCACTTTGAATAATGTATCTTTATAAATTATAATTTCTTTATAATTTAATTTTGCAGAATGCTAAGATCTGTTATTTCACTTTTATAAAGTCTTCCACAAACTATTTAAATATTTGCAAATCTGTTAACAGTTATAATTAAAAGATTGCATGACATTTTACATATGTTGTCTATGTCAATATAATTAGTACACCAGATAATATCTATACTATGAAATATTAATCATAACGTTTACCATTGATGGAATGTTTAAATATTTATTTCTGGATTTATAAAACAAAGCTTATATTATTTTTTTATATGTTATAATAATATTATAAATTATAATCTTCTATTTAATTTGGCTATTTCAAGAAAAATATTGATTTTTCACAATTGTTGACTAACTTATAGAGTGTTTTATTAATTCAATGCTTTAATGGAATTTATCAGGGTTTAAGATATAAAGATTTATAACATATTCTTTTTATTTTTATTACGTTGTTCATTCAAGTAACTTAAGTTAGTCCAAGGAATAACTTTATAAATTACTACGATATTAAATTTTGAGAAAATATAATAATGACGTGTTTAAAAATTCAATTCTTTCATTTTTCTACTTTTTTCTTTTTACAAAGAAAATGTTTGTTTATTTGTCATAATAAATCAAAATGGTATACATATTTTGTTTGTGATTTCAACCTCTTCTTTGTAGAACTGTAACAAATTTAGATTCATACTGACTATTGCGATCTGTAAATTCGTGGTGTTCTTTATCATAAATGAGCTACTGTGAAGTAGACAACCGGTTCTGGAACTGGCCAAAACATAAAAACAGTGTACAAGTAACATATATTAATCAATCAAGTACATGGGTGCCCACAAGAGGGGGCTGTGACACAGACTGCGTCATAGAAATTCTTGGGGGGGGGGGTTACAAAAAATTCTGGGTGGCTAAGGTTAATTGCAACAGTGTTCATTTTCAGTGTATAAAATTGTATAAAATTCATATTATCATTGGAATGGTCTTGGCTCTCTTTATCATTGACACAATGCTGTTATAAAGTCACTTTTGAATTGACAAAGTATGAAACCCTAGAAAATGTTACATTAACCTACTGTATACTGCTCTTAAGAAATTTTTGTTAACCAATAGAGTAATTGCTTCCAAGTTGTGTGCATTGAAAGAACTGCTCTGAAGTAATGTTTGTTCATCAATAAATAATGCCAGAACATTCAATAACAAAAAGAGTATATTGTTCTCAAGTCAAGTACTATAAACTAAAAAATTTAAGTTCACTGTTATTAAGTAACAAAATCTTAAGGTAATCAATCTCTGTTAATGAATTCGTTTATTAGGTAGCGAGGAACAGATGTTAATTATTAATAGCGCAGGTGCACCACTGTCCCCCCCTTTGGGCACTTACAGAACAATCACTAATCAGGAGAGTACACTGTTCTTAAGTGACGATCACTAATCATTAAAGTATCCTGTTGTTTAAAAATGGTCACTAATCACTAGAGTTTACTGTGCTTAAGTAATGCTTGTCAATTTTGTATTTCTGTTGTATCATTTTTAATACACTAGGCTACTATTTATAATTTTTGACTATTTCCACCTGAAAGAACTACTGATTACTAAATAGCTAAGGATGAAACCCAAGTTTTAAATTTTTGTACTTCTGATCTTCACACTTAAGGCCTTAAACATAAAAGCTTGTTCAATAATAAACATTAATTACTTGAGCCATAATTTAAATGATTTTATTGTTCTCCATGCAACAGAATACTATGACAAATTTATAAAGCTTCAATTGATAATTATCTGCAATTAAACATCTGCTGTCTTTATAACGTAGCTGCTAGTTCAACTTGGTGGTAAGTACGCAATTTGTTGTCTTTATACAAATTTCTTTTGATAAAGAATAATTTGTTTATTTATTGGATCAAGAGGGACCATTACAAGTTTTTATACTGTATACATTTTGGAAAAGATTTAAACTGAAAAAAAAACATTCTATAGAAAATTTCCATTGTGAGATTAAAAACTTCAATATCAATCCTAAAAAAATAATTTATTTTTTAATTTTTTTGTAGTCTCAAGCCACTTAACATATAAATAAGAGGTTAATTTAGCTTAGTATCGTCTTTTGACTCTTATACCTCCTCTAAGGGTGGATAACGATTGATTCTGCGACAATGTCGCCTTTTTCATATTGATGGATGTTAGCCTCCGTACCAGCTTACAAGTTTCATTCATAGGTTGTTGTCCATACCAATGGAGTTATATGATTACAACGAAGAAGTTAACATAATTAAACATATTGCAGTTGCAAATGGTTATACAAGCTCTTTTAATTGTTAAGTTAATTTCTAAACACACTAATAAAAAACCAGACAAGCCCAAAGAACCAAAAACATATATCTCTGCAGATTATGGCACCCATTTTAGCAATAAGTTTAATTTGATGGCTACAAATAATGTAACAGTTTTGTTCAGAACTACCAATAAACTTAATTCATTACTGAAAGAACGCCCACGAGAAAGCATACCAAAGAATGAAAAGAACGGTGTTTACAAGATCAACTGTAATGATTGTACAAAGTACTACATCGGCCAAGCTTCCCGATCTTTTAAGAAACGTTTCAGAGAACAAATACCAAGAAAAACAACATCCCCTCAGTCTTCAAATTTTGCCTATCACCTAGTTACAAATAATCATAATTTTACAAGTATGGACAACAATATGGACATTTTACATTTTTCGCAAGATCGTTTTAGCGAATTTCCCATACAGGGAATAACTATTAACTACCGACCTTTTTCTGTCCTGCCTTCTTTTTCAAAGATATTTGAAAAAATTGCATTCAATCAAATGTCCTATTTTCTGGAATCTAATAACTTATTAGCTGATGAACAGTTTGGTTTTAGGAAAAATCGAAGTACCACTTCCACTGTGGCTCATTTTGTAAATTCAATAACACAGAGCTTGGATGGGTCACAGAGCACTATTGGCGTGTTCTGTGATCTATCCAAAGCCTTTGATAGTGTACACCATCAAATTCTTCTTGATAAATTATCCTCCTATAGATTCTCAGAATCAGTTATTTTGTGGTTGAAATCATATTTAAACGATCGCTTTCAAAAGAACAGTTATTATTAAAGAAAACATTAAGTATGCTTCTGAATGGGAAAAGATTGTTATGGGGGTGCCTCAGGGCTCTATATTAGGACCGTTATTGTTTTTGATGTACATATATGATCTACCTAAGAATGTTAAACCTAGTTTGTTGTTATATGCTGACGATACGACAGCCATCATTTAATCAAAAGACAGTCATGAACTAAGTTTAGCCTTGAATCAAGCTCTTCAAGATCTGTCAAAATGGTTTAAAGTAAACGGTTTAAAAATGAACCACATTAAAACACAAATAGTAAAATTTCAAACTGCACAGTGTAGGGACGATCTTGAAGGCTTTGTTTATTTTGATAATGAAAAAATAAATCTTAGCAACACAGCTAAATTTTTAGGAATTGATGTAGATAGCTTATTGAATTGGAAGAATCACATTCATAACACCTCTAAAAAGTTAAATTCAGTATGTTTTCAAATGTTGGTCTTAAGAAATGTTGTTGATTTAAACACTAGACTAATGATTTATCACGCTTTATTTTCGTCAATTTTACAGTATGGAATAGAGCTTTGGGGCGTCACATCTGATTCGTATCAACTTTTTAAACTTCAAAAAAGAATACTTAGAATTATGACTTTTAAACCCGTAAAACATTCTTGCAAACAACTTTTTAAAGAACTAAAGATTCTAACCGTCCCTAATTTGTATATTCTTAAATGTTTATTGTATGTGAAATCAAATTTTGAAAAACTCCACAGTGAAAATAATCGACACAATTATAACACTAGATTTCATACAGATTTTCAATATCCTATACACAGATTAAATCTTGTGGAAAGGACACCTTCTTATATGGGTAAAAGATTTTTTAACAATTTGCCTGGGTACTACAAATCTATAATAGGATTAAAATCTTTTAAAGAAAAAAATTTTGAATTTTTATTGAAAAGAATTATTATAGTATTGGTCAGTTTCTTGAAGATAAATCAATGTGAATTGTTTGTTTTGTTACCTACTATGTATTTATTTTTACCAATATAAGCTAGTTTATTTTAGTATAGTTTGACAATGTCACCTGTTTTGTCTGGCTGTGCCAGAGCATAAAAAAAACGTTTTGTGACAATAAAGATGACTTTGACTTTGACTTTATTACCGTAGTACTCATGGTAAGACCTGGACGCGGGACCGATTTTTTTTTCGTTTTGAGGTCCCTAGAGGCCAAAAACACCATCCGTTCAAATTCATATATATATATATATTTATATATATATATGTGTCCGTTAGCACGATAACTCGAGCAAAAATGATCCGATTTTGATGAAATTCCGTACAAACGTTTATTTGAACGAGTTCGCGATCCAGCATGATCGGACCATGGGAACGGGGGTTTACGGGGGGTTTTATGGGGTAAAAATAGGTTTTTCCCATTTTTGACCCAAAAAACATAAAATTTAGCAATTTCTTTCAAAACCATTTTGTAGAGCTTAAAAAAACAAATAATTTAGTATATTGAAGCGTTATTATGCGCCTAAGGGTTACGGAGAAAATTCCAAAAAATTGTAAATTTAAAATTCCCATGTTATTCTTATGGAGAATAAGTAAACTGTTGTAGTTTGCTTGTTTATGAACATATTTTGATCAAATTTGGAAAATGTTTTTATTTCTTACTAACTATTAACATTTTACAAAAAAAAAAAAAAACAGTTTTACCCTCCCTGATGCAGCAAACCTAAGTACTTGTTAAACTAATTCTATTTGAATAGGGAATAAATGTTATATTTTTAAGTAGACATTTCAGTGTAAATCCAATCAGGCAAATGGAAATTCGCTTAGTCTGCAGGTTTGCTGCGGCGGGGGTATTTATAGAAATACACTGGAGAAATTTGAGACTTACAGATCTGTAAGATCTGACAAAGAGAACGTGCTGAATGACAAACTTTCATTTCGGTCTAATTTTATTTATAATACAGCAATCATGATATTGGATGAGGGAGAAGGTAGACAGGAATGTGATGATCGGTGACAAGAGATAAGAGGGCGACGTCATTGACCATTAGACCTAAATAAATAAATAAATACTTTATTGATTTGACAATATAAATTATATCGACAGTACAATTAGGTATGGTATTAAATAAAACTCTTTAAATTTCAATGCAATTTTCATTTAAGTCTTCAATAGAGTAGATTGGATTTTCAGTAAGGATTTGTTTTAATTTTCTTTTGTATTCTTTTAATATTAAGTTTTGAATATTGGTTGGTAGTTTGTTAAATAATTTTCTTGCGTTGTAATAAACATGTTTATAATAAAACTTTGCTTGGTGGAAAGTAGAAGAAAATGTTTGTAATTTTCTCAAATAATAATTCTTCCCACATAATTCATCATTTTTCCAGAATTTCCCAAAATTGTTCTTAAAAAATCGTGATGTTTCATAAATATAAATAAAGTAAAAGGTCATAAATTGGTAATTTTTAAATAATGTTTTACAGGATTGGCGTGGTTTTAATTTGAAAATAATTCTTATTGCAGACTTTTGCAGTTTAAATATTTGTTTAGTTTTTTACCTACTCACAACTACGGTAGTCTAGACTTTACATCCAGCTGGTATGCGTCGCTCACCTTCTCAGTAATTTTGTGTGTGTTTTCTAAATGTTAAACGTCAGTGCTAAATGTTCTATGTTCGTGTTAAGTGATTATTTGTTTTTTTAAAAACTATGATGACCTTCTAATGAAGTGACAACTTATATCCTTGGAAGCCTGAAGATGACTCCAAGGAGTTGAAACCGGTTGCAAAATAAGCAACGAATTGTATTACTTAAATGCAGGTATCTAACCCACTTTAAGAATGTCGCCTTCTTCAGATCCTAGTCAAGAACATCAAACTTCACTCTTAATGAACATATAAAAACATTAAATATTTTACTACTACTGGTTGAGAGTCTGGACATGTCAACCGGGCAGTGCATACCTGTGGCCACAGTAGTAGTCAAATATTTAAGTTTTGTATATATGCTCGTCTGGTGACAGTAAGACAGAGGCTAACAGTTGAAAGAAGAGAGAAGACAAAAGCTGGAAGAAGACTAGACATTGAAAAAATTAAGAATGATCAGGTGCGCAATAGTTTTGAAGTAGCACTACACAATAGGTTTCAAATCCTAAGCGAGCAAGAAGCGGAAGATGAAGAACTGGATGTTAATGAGGAATGGCGTAGAATTAAACATGGGATTATGGAAACAGCAGAGGAAGTCATAGGATTCAAGAAAAATGACCGTAATGGGAAACCATGGTTTAATAGAATGTGTGAAGAACAAATAGAGAGGAGAAGGATAGCAAAGCGGTGCCTCCTAAATAATGCAGTAGAGGAAAATAGAAACCAATATAGAGAAATGAATAAAGCAGTCACGAGAAGACTTAGAGCAGAAAAGCGCAAATATATTAATAGACAACTAGACAAAGCAGAAAATGACAGATACGGAAATAATGCAAAGGATTTCTATGCAACAATTAGGCACTTTCAGAAGGGATACATACCCAAAGCAACAAGTGTTAAAGATCAAAACGGAAACAAAACAACAGAGAAGGCCAAGGTTCTAAATATTTGGAAAGACTACTTTGAAAACCTGTTAAAAGAAGAAGATAAAGATGAAAATGAGGAAATAGAATATTTTCAAAATGTACAACCTTTTATACCAGAACCATCTCTACAGGAGGTTAAGGAGGCAATACAACTTTTAAAAAATGGGAAAGCTCCTGGGGAAGACGAAATATCAGCAGAAGTTTTAAAACACAGTGGCGAAATAGTACATAAGGCAATTTACAGACTTATTGAAAGAATATGGAGAAAAGAAAAAATACCAGAGGAATGGAGCGAGGCTGTTATTGTACCACTTCACAAAAGAGGAGACAAAGAAGTCTGTAGTAATTATAGGGGAATATCCCTACTTAACACCACATACAAGATATTGTCCAAAATAATTCTGAGGAGCATCAAAATATATGCTGAAGAATGTATAGAAGACCATCAGGCAGGCTTTATAAGTGGACGCTCAACAGCAAACCAAATACATGTGTTGCAGCAGATAATATCAAAGTATTGGGAGTATGATAAAGAGTGCCACATCCTGTTTATTGACTTTATTAAAGCATACGATACCATAAAGAGACCCAAACTCTGGGAAGCAATGCAAAAGTTTGGGATACCGGACAAGCTGATACGTTTGACAAAGATGTGTGTGGATGGATCCAAAAATAAAGTAAAGGTAGAAAGTGAATACTCTGACACTTTTCAGACTAACACAGGAGTTAGGCAAGGAGATGGATTGTCTCCAATCTTGTTTAACATAGCAATTGAAGAAACACTACAAAACACAAAGAAAGTGGAAGCTGGAGCATACCTTGGGTCAAAAATAAACGTACTGGCCTTTGCCGACGACGTAGCATTAGTGGCAGAAACTGAAGAGGATCTTAAGAAACTGGCCCAAACTATTACAACAGAATCAAAAAAGATAGGACTTAAAGTAAGTGCAGAGAAATCCAAATATCTCAAAGTGGGAAGAATTCAAAATGAGGATATGGAACCATTAAAAGTCGACAACCTGACGTTTGAGAGAGTGTCCGAATTTAAGTACTTAGGAATAACAGTCAACTCCAGTAACAAAACAGAAAATGAAATAGAAAAGAGAATTATCACGGCAACTAACTGCTTTCGAAGCATGTCAAAAATCTTAGGATCCAGATTACTGTCAAAAGCCACAAAAATTAGAATTTATAAAACTATTATCCAACCAGTTCTCTTATATGGATCTGAGGCCTGGACCCTAACCAAACAAAACTAAAGGAGATTAATCGTCTTTGAGAACAAGATATTAAGAAAGATTTTTGGCCCTATAAAAGAAAATGAAATATGGCGGATCAGGAAAAACAGAGACCTACGAGAACTCTACAAAGACCCAGATATTGTAGCTATTGTTAAAAGCCGAAGATTGAGGTGGGCAGGGCACATAGCGAGAAGAGAAGAAAACAGTCTCCTGAAGATAGCTACAAATGGACGACCACGAGGGACCCGACCACTAGGAAGACCCAAACTACGATGGGGAGACCAGGTGCGGAAAGACCTTCATCGCATGGGGACATCAATTGACCGAGCAGCAGACAGAAAACACTGGAGGCAACTTGTTGGCGAGGCCAAAAACCAACTTAGGTTTGAATGGCCAAGGAGGTAAGGTAATATATGCTCGTGTGTGCGTGTTTAATTTTCCACGACCTCTTCAAGAGTGAAGTTTGATGTTCTTGACTAGGATGAGGATCTGAAGGCGACATGACGCCAATACGATCGTCGTCCGCCCTTAGACGAGGCGAGGTATAAGAGTCACAAGACTATACTAAGGTAAATTAACCTCTTATTTAATCAATTTTTGTACCTGATCAAGATCAAAAGTTTTAATTAGTTACTTGTTTTTCTCTGTTTAGCCTCAATTTATTATTGTTGTTTGGTATCCTTTGTGTTTAGCAGCATGCTTGATAGAGCAAGAAGGATGTAATTTATTTATTTAATAAATTATCTTGATATCTGATAATTATATATTCTTTTATAATTATTTAGATGCATCTTGGGCTGTAGAACCTTATTATAGTTTAGTTGAATCATTTTCAACTACATATTGTAATTGGTTGAATTGGTAACTAAATAGCAGTACTTTATTTTGTTAACAAATTTAATGCTCATTTCCTGTATATCTATGGTAAAAAGCTAGGTACCTAGGTAAGGGGTTATGATGCTTTTCTAACACTTAGAAAGTCACCAGCTCGATCCTGAGAAAATGAAACAATTATCAATTATCAATTATTTAAGATGGGGACGCCACTATGTGTGTATTTTAACCCAAATATGCGTGAAGGATGAGTGGCGCGATCTTGTAGTCTTGTTAGTGACTAAGGTCGACATATTCCTTAGACACAACTGTTAATTAATAGCCCAAACAGCTAATGGCAACTAAGGGACCTACGGGACGAGTGGCGTCGTCCTTTAATCCAGCTACTAGGTTACGAATTGTGGATATTTATAGGCATGTACTGTGGATGCGATACTCCCTGGTGTGGATTAACGTCCGCAAGAGTGTCCGCAAAAGTATTAAAGTATTAAGTTTATAGTCGAATCCGAACAACATTCTTACCTTGGTATTAACAAATTGGTCTATTTATCAGGATTATTATCTAATAATTATCTAATTATCACTAGTGCGGATGTTAATCCACACCAGGGAGTATCGCATCCACAGTGCATCTCTATAAATATGTACAATTCGTGACCTCCTAATAGCTGGATTACAGGACGACGCCAAGGTCCCAGCCTATTGTTGTTATCTTTCAAACCGCTTTTGTTTGAAGCTGGACGCTATCTTTGATAATTGGGCTTTAACGGTCCTGAAAGTAACAGCTAATATTACTAACAAAGCTACATATAAGGCATCTGTAAGCCCATTTCAAAATGTTTAATTGTATTGTTAAATATGATATTGAATGAATTAACTAAATAGTTTTTACATGAAAATGTTACTTGATTTACATTTGTAAAAGCAGTAATAACTGAATAGTAGTGTTAAAGCATGTCAACTTGTTGTGAATGATTGTAATGTATTTTACAGATCATGAGGCTTAGTGTGTTGATATTGGTTGCTCTTCTTACAGTGTGGTCAGCTAAGTCGGATGCCAGTTCTAAGGTAGTTAACTTGCATTACTAAATAAATAATCCACACCAGGGAGTATCGCATCTACAGTGCATGCCTATCAATATCCACAATTTGTGACCTCCCAGTAGCTGGATTACAGGATGACAACACCGTCCCAGTCATATATAGATAATATAGATGCTAGCTGTGTGCCCGTTCTACGGACAGGGATCTTGTAGTTAGTTGAAACCTTTTTATATTCAGAACAGCAGTTGGTTTGCATTTTAAGTGTGAATTTTTCTAGATATGCTGGCAACACCATTATAGGAATGCATATAAACCCTCACAAATAGAATATCTGACCGTTTCAAGCCAAAACAAATGTTCTGCAATTAAATGTCGACCGGATATAAATCGTATTAGTCTATATTTTATATCCAATGATTAAACTAAAAAAAAAACAGCTTTATAGATATATGAGGCATAGCCCTAAGGTAGCTCTATAGTTGAAAGCTACTTTCCACACTGGTTAAAAGTAGTTAAAATACTACCTCAACCTCATCATTATCAATTATCAATTATTTAAGATGGGGACCATTGCAAACTTTAACCCGGTAGAAATTTTCACTATCAAAGTGGCTCTTGTCTTTTCCTCGAAACACTGAGAAATAAAGACTTTAATGCGTGACCAACAGATATACACAAAACATACATAATTGAATTAAGACATTAACAAAATTCAATGATAAAACTATTCTAAACTAAAGGGGTATTATGAAAATCTGCAATTAAATAAAACGTTCGGTCAATTAAAAAGTTCACCTATTTTATCTTTAAAATTATTTTCACTTAACAATTTATAGTTTGCAGGCAACACATTGTACAGCCTCAGCCCAGCATATAGCGGACTTTTTTCATAAAAGGGTTAAACGGTGCCTTGGAAATCTAAAAATGTTTTTGAGTATTATATCTATGGTTGGTTTGAATTGATTCTGGTAGGTCGTTTTTAGCTGAATTAACGTAGTTTAGTGATTCCAAAATGTACAGTCCTGTTAGTTATCTATATGTTAGTTATAGATGATGTATTCTCTAAAAAATGATTGGTATATCTAGTCAACATTAAGAAGAAATGTTACAAACAAAAATCGCACAAAATTGGGGTTTTGGATGTTTATAGTTTTAATTACTTAGTAGGTAGGCCATGTATTTTTTAGGGAAAAGTACCGGTATCAAGAATCGTCGTCGAAATGTGGTTATTATTAATTGGATAGGCCTACGTATCCAAGAGATAGCCTACTGGCGGTATAGTCCAGCAATTGCAGCACATAGCGGTGAGGTGAGTAGAAACCGAAAGTCTTACTTTGGAAAAGCAAATTTAGCAGCATCCGTAAACCTCTGTTACGATCACAAATCAATCATAAAGATCTTCTGAGATCGCAGCAACATCTGCAATCACCCACTGCAGTTGTGATTATTTACTTTACACAACTAACTGTTATTGAAGCACCGTCAATGGTTGGAAACCTTGTTTGTAAGCTACTGGCGAAGATAATTTTAAAAATGTTACACAGTATTTTCCCAGGTTATTTGAACAATTTGATACACACCAAATCTCCGGTTCCCGACCTGGACCTAGTTAGTTAATTTCATTTACGGTTACACATTATTGAACATACGATTAATTAAATCCGTTATGTGAGGCACAACCTTTCTAATCTCACTTTTGGTTTGGATTTGCTTACAAAACATGATTGGAAATGGTTGCAATATTTGTAAATGACATTTAATGTAAACATATCAGTGACACCTAGAAAAGATAATCGTGATTCAAACAGCGCTGTTAATTATTTCATAGATGTCATACTTTCCAAACAGATGATTGATCATAAATGACGATGTGGTATACAATGGGAGAAAACTTCACAATATGGGGTTTTTGAAAATCCATTATTTTATTTATAAAGTACTGAGGTCATATTTTAATGGCTAAAGACACTCTAACCAATCTAGTGAATGCATTATTAAAATTATTTGAATCTTGATAGGTACTCAGAGTTGGCCACGTAAATTGGCAATTGGGAGTTACAGACACATTGACAGAATGAAAGACGGACAGAATTTGAGATAAGACTCGTTTCGGCTTTCTTATGCTTTTTTTATATGGATATCAATTTTAAGTAATATAATGTTTCTTTAGCTTGTATTTATTTTTGTAGAATGAACAGATGATTGTAGTGCCAGTAGAAGTCTTCTGCACGGATGGAGTTTCTCTATTTTATGTTTCCGCAAACAAAGAAGTCATTTCTCCCCCCGAGGAAATTCGGCTGAGAATTCTACGTGAGCAAGGTACAAAGTTGGATAGGTGTTAGTAATTAATTAATCAATTATTAAAGATGGGGACGCCACTATGTGCATATTTTAACCCTAATATGAGTTAAGGATGAGTGGTCAGATCTTGTAGTCTTAATAACTTACGACCGTTTCTTTAACTAGCCGTTTCAGTTCAGTTCTTAGAATTGAAAAGATTCACTTTACAGCATTGTTTACTTACTTAACAGCATTGTTTTACTTAACAACACGCAACGGACCAATGAGGTTCAAGGATTGAGAGAAAAGAAGTAAAATTGTAATGCTTTAACTTCAACTCATCAGCTGTTAAGATTAATTTCATTGTTAATGAGTGATGCAATTAGTGGTTGGTAAAATGGGCTGTTGCATCACTGTCAGTAGCAATAACAGGTCATATATGAAAACATAACCTCTCTTAGAAGTTATGAGTAGTGATTGTTGGTAATTAAAAAAACTGTCATAGGTAAAGTAGTGTACATAACTCGCATAAATAGCCTACCGACACTTGTAGAGGTGTTTTAACACTATATTTACGCGATCGTAGCGTAAACTACTATATTGACACGTCTTATCTTCATTGTAGCTGGTTGGTTTAGTAGAAATTGTGTGAGTGTTTTTGTTCAATCAATCAAATAATCTTTATTTCATTATATGCAAACATATAGTTACATGAAATAGAGTCATCTGAACTCAAATTATGTTAATAGATTATTTAAAAAATGCATAAGTTAAAATAACATTATAAATTATCAAAAGAAATAGATCCTTATGATAAAATAGATTAAACCTTACGACTAAATAGATCCTTAGTCTTACGACCAAAAATTAAAAAAGGCAAGACAAGAAACAAGTGCTGCATACATTGAACAAGCAGAAAACAAAGCCAAAACCATATGGAACACCATCAATAGTGAGAGGAAAGGGAGGAAAGAGCTTGACAACAATTCTACAATAGAACTAAATGACAATGGAAAGAAACTTACTGACCCTAAAGATGTAGCAAACCGCTTTAATTATTATTTTGTAAACATAGCTGAGGAGACATTAAAACAAAACAGCAGATACAACACACCACCTGTTTAATATGGGGTTAATTAAGAAATGATAAATGATTTATGGATGAATGTACCTTTGGAATTATGTCGGACGTAGTGAGTGGCAAGGAAGCGCCGCGGGGTCGATTTGCGATGGTACGTGGTAGAATGTCCTCAAGACGAAGGCACAACACTTGACACTATCTTCTTTTGTTGGTTGATCTTGATGTCGGAATAACGCACGTCTAAAGTCCATACAGTCCAAAATGAGCGCTCACAAGAAGTTCCTACGCGACCGCGGTAGACCGGAATGGGAGGATTCACTGCTAAAACTGACTTTACACACTGGTTAATAAAATTAATTTAATATAAAGAGGTAAAAATGTTATGAGTACTGTATAAAGGGGCCACGGACTAATCCAAGTGGCAATAATAGAGAATTAAAACTATAAGAGGGAAAGCCGCAATGGCAGAGAAAATGAATTATGTCAAAGTGACATGTGTTAGGTAAACCCGGCAACCGACAGACTCGTCAAGCGTCCCGATGCGACGCTAAAATTTAGCAAAAATATCCTTCCGCCAAGTTCACCAATGGGCATTGTGCTGACCCCCCTAGGTTCAATTGAAAACCCCTACTCTCTCTCTGTCGGCGGCAAATACAAATGCATAAATTATATACAGTACAAGAAATAAAAACATTTTACTGAAAACTTACTTAACACCACCAATAGCTCAAAATCCTCCGGCTACCACATTAAACACTCTCTCTTCCTTCCGTCCAACAACACCTGACGAGATAGGCAGGACCATTTAATCATTAAAGAACTCTACATCATCAGGCATTGATGAAATATCTTCAAAAATCCTTAAAACATGTGCAGAAGAATTAATAATGCTGCTAATGAAGATTGTAAACATGTCGATGGCAGAGGGGACTTTTCCAACCAACTTGAAAACAGCCTTGGTTTTTCCTAAACACAAACAAGGGGACCTACAAAACATCTCTAACTACAGACCTATCTCGCTGCTCTCATCTGTCTCCAAACACATAGAGAAGATTATAAAAGTAAGAATCCAGGAGCATCTTAGTCAAAACCAAGCATTGACAAACAGCCAACATGGGTTTGTTCCTGGAAAATATCAACCACAACTGCTCTGATAGACCTTGATATGAATGAATGAATGAAATAATATGTGGTATATTATAACAGTGATATTATACATTAAACATATGGTAAAAATTTAAAATTATTCTATTGAAAAATATCAGTGAAAATATTGAATTGTTACAAGTAATTTTTTTATTTATTAAAATTTGATGTTATATGTAATCCTATTTGAAAATCAATTACTTTTATAAAATATAGTAATACCTAATAAAAAATGTCTAGCATAGAGCTTATTCGACACAAAATGTGAGGCAATACCACCGCTCACACATGCAAAGCTGTACGGTACCGGGAGCCCGAGGTACCGCTGTGACGTCACAGCGGCGGAGTGGAGGGGAGCCAGCTGGCATCACTTTCTGAGCTCGTGTGGCCTAGCCCTTGTATATCTCTAGCCCTGGGTATTCTATCCATATTTAATTTAGAGGTTGACCCATAGATGCAGATACCATATAAGCCACATTTGAATAGATTGAGGATTGAGGCAAAATATATTGTTTTTAAAGTTTCAATATTGCAAGAGGTTGCTATTTTCCGAAAAGCATAAAAACCACTTGATGTTTTACAAACTACAATCTTTACATGGCTGTTCCGTTCCACGTTAAGTTTTCATCAATGACTAATTCCAAAAATGTTGTTTTCTCTATTGATCTATTAAATTTTCTTTAACAAAGATTGTGGGATTTAATTTTTGCTTAGTCTGTTTGGTTGTGAATGTTACAAAATTAGATTATTGTGAATTTAGCAAAAGTTTTTTACTATCTAAAAATATTTAATCATTGCTAAGTTGTTCAGTACGATAACTACCAGATGTCAACTAAATGTTTCTCTAGAAGTTAAGGGGGGTTTCACAGTATCCTGTACAATTTAGTCTTTGGTAGATACTAGGAGGTGGAAAACAATAGTTTACAAAAATATATCTGTTTGGCTTCAATAGATCACAAAATCGAGTATTTTAAGATATTTACTGCTTAAGTACCGGTTAGCTTTGTTATCATGTAGAGGAAATATTGATGAATCATATTTAATTGGATCCTGAATATAAATATTTTTACCTGGAATTCACATCCATTTTCTGTATCAGATTTTAGGTTCAATGAAGTTCAGCTATATTTTCGTTTTGTTCCATGACTGTTCAGATGGAATGTTGATACTAAACATAGGACAAAAATTGTACTACCCTGTGATGCCTAATGTAACTCCAGTGTTCCTATCAAAAGAAGACAAACTTTTGATGCTTCCTGACTTGGAGGTTAAAGGTAACTTAAAATAAGCAAGTATTAGAATGTCTACAAATGTTTTACCAAAGTAATAAAATTTCCAAATTGATAAAGTTGGCTGGAGAAGTAGGTTCTTTGTGTGTTGTTCCTCAAATCAGGTATTTTACTTGCCTTACTGTCCTTCATATCACAAGACGACGAGACTGAATGAATTTATGGTTTTACAACTTAATAGACCAAGGTTGGTTGTAAATTACAGAGCCACAACATTATTAGATGGTTTAAAAATCTGTCACCGACCAGTGATTTTGTTCTTGTGCATTCAAGACCAATTTATGTTTGATATAACAGCTAACATGAGCTAGAAACTCAGTTTTTGAGCTTTTGGAGGTAGTACATAGTACCAGCTCCCAGCTAACTTTCTAACTATTAAAAAACATAACAGTAAAAACATAACTTCAAAATATTATTTTAATTTACGTTCATTCATCTTTATTAGAGGCATTTAGAATGAAAGAATATCAAATGTGTGTGCTAGAAAAAGGAGGTCCAGACCCTTTTTTAGGATATTACAGTGTCTTATTACAAAAAGATTATTAATTATTTTTTTGTTCCCAGATGCTTCTATTGGTTTGCAGTTGCCAGAAGGTCTTCAAGACTTAGTCCATCAGATTCTTCACCAACCTGCTCCTCCAAAAGACGTCTCGAAAGTGCTCACAAGTACGTTTATGTTTATGATTTGACTTTTATTCTCTGCTTTACGTAGATACTTTAGACACTCTTTCCGTTACAAAGCAAGCGTGCTAAATATGATCATTTTGACTATTTGATACTGAAGTTCAATAGTCAAAGATACGATTAATTTAAACTGGCCACACTGTGTTCCACTGAAATATGTATTGTTATGGCATTATAACCCTGATGTACTACTATAATTGTGGTCCGTGGACTGGTATTATAATTATTAACTGACTAAGAGGGTTATAATCTTTGAACACATTAATAATTCTGGAAGTGAAAATCATGCTACGGTACTTTATATTAGTTTATTGCAAATTTAATTAAAAGGTAATGTATAAAGAATTATTCAAAGGAGAATTTCACCATTTGAAGAGAATCACTGTGGCATTTGTATGCAAACACATGTACAGTAATACACATAATTATGAATTAAAATATTACGAGTATGTAATCTTTTGTTCAAGACCTAAAAACATGTTATGGAGATTGAGTAATCAATGATGGCTCAATTACTCAATACCTCAATTTATCCAGAATCCAGAATGTATCCAGAAAGTTACAACAAATAACTTACGATAATACTCACGTTAAATATAAAAAAAGTAAAAGATGGTGTAACACGTGTTTAGCACTCTAGCATGTTTTCTCCCCTTTATATATTGGTATGCAACCTGTATTTTTATGGGAAAATGTTGAGTGTTCCCACACTGAATACTGTAATTAACGATCAAACCACTATTGCATATACAGTATTTATCAATTATACAGGGTGTCCCAAGTAAGGTGTCTCAAATTGATTACGGAAGAACAGCTTAACGTACAAGTATGAAATAAAATTATTTCCCACTGAATCTACCCCAAGGAATAACGTAAAAATATTTTCAACTTTTTTCTGATACAGGGTATGCCAAAAACTGAGGATCAGTAGTTCGAATCTAGGAATTTTCAAATGTAAACATATGTCATGTTATACCTCATTTTAAAGACATTTAATTGAAAAAATTTGGCAAAAACAGAAATGAATTATCTGTTTCAAAATGGCAGCAGTTTTTTGGGGAAAAAACAATATGTTTTTAATACTCTGTGTTCCTATACCAATGCACTGAGCCCTTTTCTGGTTGAATTTTCTTACTAGTTATGAAATTAGCTTTACTGTGATATGCTACAAGTAACAAATTTTTTTTATAATAAAAATTTAAAAAAATTGATTTTTTAAAATTTTAAATGCCCATTGTTCAACATTTTTAATCATATGTCAAGTGGCACATAATTTTATAGGGTTTTTAATCAGTGGCGGTTCCAAGGGGGGTACAGGGGCTAAAGCCCCCCCTCGGACCCTGGAAAAATAAATTTAAACGTACATTTCGTCCTTAAAACACGCAATGTCATAAAACAGACATCAATGAATTTTTTATTAAACTTAATAAGCAATAGCAGGATGAGTAGTATTAAGTTCCACATGGATAAACTTTGTGGACAATAGCACATAGAATAAATAGTATATTACATTACTAGTCCTGAAAATATGTGTTTACCGGACGAGTGTACACCACCATACTCGGATTACCATACGAGTCCGATTTTGGCTGGTTGGTGTCCGGTGGCGGTAAAACTCATTACAGTAGAGTATTACGTAATGAAACCCAATTTGATTAAGCTGACGGCAAACAGCTGTTTTCTGGACTAAATCCTTGCTAGGGAAGTTCGTCAAAACAGTGTAATGTGGCGTAATAGATATTTAACTTATAAGTGTACATCAAGCAGGAGAATGTTGTGCAACGAGTGGAAGCGAGTTAAAAAATAAAAAATGTGTACGTTAAGCCGTTCTTCCGTATTGAGACACCTTCCGTGGGACACCCTGTATTTTAATATAATAAGAAACATAATGTACTTGTGTTTTTTTTTCTGTGACTCTATTCATGTAAGTATGTACTTGAATAAAGATGATTTTATTTTATTTTATGAATCGTAGAAGATAACTAATGTTGACTATTGACTACCTACCGCATAAAAAATAATCCTATTATCATTTTAAATGCCTTACAATATGAACAAAATTATTTAGGCCTAGATGTATTCCAGAGCTAGCAGCGGGGCTGGTGCACTGTGCAGAGGCAGTAGGTGGAGCTATCTGTGATAAGGCAGACAAGTTACAGAGGGGGAGTCCCTGCTCCAACCAACAGTCACCCCCACTGGCGCTCTAATGCTCAATACACCAGGATAGCCACTGATGTAGTTTGATTCCAGAGGCAGAGATGCTAGCAGCGGGGCTGGTGCACCGTGCAGAGGCAGTAGGTGGAGCTATCTGTGAGAAGGCAGACTACAGAGGGGGAGTCCCTACTCCAACCAACAGTCACCCCCACTGGCGCTCTACTGCTCAATACACCAGGATAGCCACTGATGTAGTTTGATTCCAGAGGCAGAGATGCTAGCAGCGGGGCTGGTACACCGTGCAGAGGCAGTAGGTGGAGCTATCAGTAAGAAGGCAGACAAGTTACAGAGGGGGGTCCCTGCTCCACCCAACAGTCACCCCCACTGGCGCTCTACTGCTCAATACGCCAGGACAGCCACTGATAAAGTACTCGGAGTTACCACTTACGCGAGTAAGGGAAATCTCTCAGTTATTATAATTACGGTCCACGGACTGGCTTTATTATATTTATATGATGCACTTCATTCATTTTTGAGGTGTTGCCTCTGAGATTAATTTAACTGTCAATGATTCTATAAAAGAGGTTAATTACCTTGTGGACAGATTAACCCTCTGTCGTCTGAGTGGTGACTGTCATTCTCATGACTTGCAAAGTAAAGTTATCGCTCATAGGAGGTCATCAGGAAGTCTTAAAACATATATCAGTGGCGGATATAGAATAATTTTTTGGAGAGGGCCGAGATTAATTTAAGGTTAGGTTAAGTAGACGCGCCATGACTTTATCTCAGTTTTGCTGCGGTAATTTGCGCTAAATGTGACCTTTACTTTACCAAGATCACGCTGTATCATTAAATTGGTCTATTAAATTTTTTAAATGCATCTATTCAAGCCAAATGAAGAAAATATCTGAATTACTAAATCAAAAAACACTGATCAAGATTTAACAGAGTGTCATTCCATCTGTAAACACTTATCCGAACCTAAGGAGCCAAATACGTGATTGTGATTATCATATTCGGAGGAGTTCTAACTACTGTAAAAGTATTCTTTTGTGATAACTGCAAAACGTTAACATTTCAGTACAACGTCGAACAGATTTTAATAACAAACAATAACAATGGCTACCACTGAACTGACTGAACTCTTCGTTCCTCCTCTGTCGCCGGTATGGATATGGTGGTATCTAGCGATCACTGTTGCAAGCGAAGATAGCCGAGCGGCGGGCGGGAGCTCGAGTTGGTCTGAAGCACAAGTGTCTACAGCCTGATTGATCACTTATTGCAAATGAAAAAATGGCCATCACTGATAAAGAACTAGTTTTTCTTGGTGACCATGCGATCTGTTGTCTGTTTTGTTTAGCTCTCCCGCTCCCGTCCTGCTTCGTTTCAGTTCATTTAGCTGTTTTATTAGACCTAGCTTAGCTTTCTTTACTATTTTGTTCTTGGAATGTTTTTAAAAAGGAGTTCTGAATTTCTTGTGGTAAATTACATTAATTTTATTAATGATGTATGTGGTAGGAAATGAAAAAAAGGATCAAAAGGACTTTGGTTTCTGCTGTGAATAGTGTGGTAAACACACTGCTGTGAACAGTTACAAGTACAACCTAACTGTCTATCTCAAAAAGAAGTCATGAAACGTGACCATGATAAGTCATTTGGTAATAACTCGATAGAAAACTATTTTGTTGACTTTTTACTGTTATATTTTAATTTTGTATAGTCTTTTGCAAATAACTTACTTATCTTGGAAGGTAGGGTTGAACCTATCATAAATTTACAGTATAAATTAATAAACCTTTTCAATTATCAATTATCAATCATTGAGATGGGGATGCACCCTAGGTGCTTATTTTAACCCAAATATGAGTGAAGGATGAGTGTAGAATGGTGTGTGATGACCTGTGTAGCTTTGTTACTGACTAAGATCAGCGGTTTCATTAGTCAGGATCATTTATTTAAAGCCCAATGATCAGAAACAGCTGGGTCCAGTTTCGAACCATCAAAAAGCTACTGACTTTTCTCAGGATCAAACTGGCGACCTTTTGATTACTAGGCGAGCACTATAACCACTCACCTACCAAGCCAGTCAGTTTCTAAATTTCTGTGAATTTTTGTGAATGTTCAGTTTGGTTTGATATTCAGCCATAAATTAATAAACCCGAAAGTTAAGCTAGGCCTGATGGACCCCTGACCGAGAAGAATATCTCAATTCCAAAACCATTTTCCTATAAAATCCTCTCCCTTAGAATTGTCCCTCTTTAAAAGCATTACATGACATTTGAGGTTATTGTGATTCCGTCTCTTTATGCTATGATGTAGCAGACGACAGGCCGCAGTCATCCAACCAGGAAGGTTCTTCTTTTTCAGTGGCTAGTATTTTTTCGTTTGCAATAAGTGATCAGTCAGGCTCTAGACGCTTGTGTCTGAGGCAACCCGAACTCGCATAAACTATCACTGTCTGCCACAGCGATGAATTCGCCCATGATTCATGATAAATAATTTATATTATGGTACCTATTTTTTTTTTCATATCCATTATTTTGGAGGGGGCCTACGCCCCTGACATTTTACATATGACATCTTACATATGACAAAACATTTTTATATGATCACGAATAGTGTACATTTATAGGAATGATCTTTGGATGCAATACTCCTTGGTGTGGATTAACGTTCGCACTAGAGAGTACTACGACTATATGCAGTACTATCCTCATAATTAGACCAATTTGTAAATTACAAGGCAAAAATGTGGTTCGGATTCCACTTTAAACTGTAGGTCCCTTAGTTGTTGTATGTGCTAGGTATTAATTAAATGTCCTGTCTAAGAAACATGTTGGCCTTAGTCAGTGACAAGACTACAAGATCGCGCCACTCATCCTTTACTCATCTCCATTCATACTTGGCCATTAATATCTACCTTCGTATAGTCGCCATTTCAGTTAAAAGTATTAACAAATAAGTATAAATATACTACATTCTTACTTGGCCATTAATATCTACCTTCGTATGGTCGCCATTTCAGTTAAAAGAATTACAAATAAGTATAAAAAAACGGGAACACATTCATGATGTTGTTTTCAAATAAGCTTGAGAGAAAACCCAAAATGAGGTTTTGTTTTTTAAAAAGTTTTTAATAGCTCGCTTTCTTGTCCGGTACAAATTTTGCAATCAATTTTATACTAACTTGCCGATGAGCTAGAGACTTGAAACATAGCTCACAAATGGAAGACAATGCAATATTATATAATTTAATTTTCATATTTCCCTTGGGCTACGCCCCATGGGCTTGTTTTTATTAGCTCGCTTTCCTACAAATTTTGATATCAATTTCAAACGAAGCTCCTGATAAGCTAGATACTTGAAATTTGAATCATAACTCACAAATGGATGACAATGCAATATTATATCATTTAATTTTCATATTTCCCTCGGGCTACACCCCATCGGCTTCCAAATTTTCCATGTTTACATTTTGAAAGAATGTAAATATATCAATTAATTTATGTCAGCTGTAAATACTTAAATTTGACAGTTCCAAGAGCAGAGGTTAAGAGGTACAGGTTATGCTCCCAAGAGATTCTTTATACAAACATTTCAAAATAAAGATAAACAATTTGATTGCAGTTATAAAGGTGTTTGTTATAATGTCAATTGTTATTTATTTAGTATTCCATAAAGTAAACAATACATTAAACAGATTGATATATTTATAGTTAGTAGGTAGGCCATACGTTCAATCTAATACGTAATTGTATGAAATGAAACTCAAATAAACCTTACATTTCCCACATGCCTATGTCTTAATCTGATATAAATGATTGAAATATATTTAACAAGCACACACATTAAAAACTAAAAAGTAGAAAATAATTTATTAATAAAAATTTTTTTTAAACAAAACGTTTTTAAACGCACTAAAAAGTAGAAAATAATTTATAAATATGTGGAGATTATAAATACTTAATACTTAATTATTATAAGTTGTTGTGCCTTTTAGATGTAGAGTATCCAACAAATGGACTTGTTACATATTACATTTTCATATGTTTGGTTAAATAGCTTGATAAAGAAGTATTTGGTGTAATTACTTCAAATATTCAAAAGGACCACGTGTTGCTTATAATATAGTATATGTCATCATGTATCATCAAAATATTAAAAACTGGGTACATCTAAAATAACATTCACAATAAAAGCTATCAACCTGTTCATTCTTAAGGCAACGCAATTGTAATTCTCTTACAGACCCTATATACATGACACTAGCAAATAGCATTTAGGTACGTCTGACAAATGTACTAGAATGCTTGTAGGTTTAGTTAGCACTTACTAGCCCCTAGTGAACTATCACCGTCTGATACAGGCTTATGATTAACACATGTTTCAGCTAATCTAGTTGGGCATACGATAGAGAGAGTGGGAGAAAATGTAAGAACATTTTTGCCATTTTATAAACCACAAAATAAAATCCACGGTGAAGCCGAAAAGAAAATTCAGCCAGTAAAACTAGCTCCAAAGTTGAATGAAGACATGAGATCTGCCTCAACCAAAGCATTGGCTAAGATAAACGAAGCGTTGAGGAAATCTGCTGAAATTGTAGCCGAAAGTATCAAAGATAACACAGTGAAAGTCATACAATACAAGTAAGTGGAAATGTAAGGTTGTATTTAAAGTTGTATCTTTGGTGAAACGGTGGCATGACGAATTGTGAACCGACAAGGTAATGATGTCATAGGTACTTATGATGTCATAACTAAAAATTTTCATTGATAAGTTGTTGATAACTTGTTTTGCTTGATAAGTTCCACACAAAGGCGTTTGAAGCCCACGTACTGCCAACCTCTTTTATTGCAATAAAACAAAATATTGTTGATTTTACAAGGCTTGTCCAGAAAGTAAGTACCATTTTGTTCTACCACTACCACAGCGCTAACATCGATGACACATGTATGCACACTAGTCTCCTTGGTTCATTGTTGAACAGCTGACGCAATAGCAGCAAAATTGAGTTGTGTTTACATTAGTTAGTGTAGCCTACACTCAAAATGTTTGAAAAAATATTTCTGATCCCATGGACTGTGAAGTGTGCCTGCTGAAATTCATCGCCGACTTACAGAAGTTTATGGAGAAAAAGTTATCAGTGATGGAATGTTAATAAAATGGGTTTGGCAATTCAATGATGGGTGAACCAATGGCCATGATGAGGCTCGCAGCAGGCAGCCATCTGTTGTGAGTCAGGAATTGGTCGATAAAGTGAATGAAAAAGTTTGTGAAAATAGAAGTTTTACCATTAGAATGCTTTCTGATTAATTCACAGATTTCAAAATCTCTTTTGCTTGATGTTGTGGTTAATCGCTTGAATTATCGCAAGATGTGTTCCCACTGGGTTCCGAAAATGCTTACGGCAATGTTTCTCTTTAATGGCGGCATCTTTCTATGAAGAGGGTATAGAAAAGTTGGTTCCTCGCTACGAATAATGTCTAAAGAATGGTGAAAACAATGTAGAAAAATAGTTTAAGATATCCTCTTTCTCTTTCTTGTAGAAATAAATGTTGTTGAAAAAAAATTATTTGTATGTTTTTTCCCAAAACGATACTTTCTGGACAAGCCTCGTAACAATTTTTAATTAGAACCACTGGGAGAACTAAATTAGCATTGTTGATGCAATGCGTTTAGTCCACGTTACAATAAATATAAAATTTTTCTATTCTCAGCTTTGGTGACGATATTGCTGAAGCTGTTGAAGATATGGCTATAACACTGAGGAACACCTTAAAGGCTCGTAAAAACATGAACAATCTTCAGCCTGAAAGTATTGCCAGGAACACTATGCGACAGATCATAGTCCATCCTAACACGCAACCACAGTACGAGTGCAATAATTTGAGAAATGGGAAAAATATGTAGCTAAGTTTTTATGTATAAAGAATTTTCAGTTTCTAACACAGCTTGTTTATTTGTTTTAAAATCCTTTAAAACCCTAAATATTCCACACGTGTGTTGGATATAGGAGAAACTGTGGTCTCAGACTTTCCAGCTACAGATCTTGAATTGAATTTTTTAGTAATGTATTGTATAATATGTACTTCTTTGAAGATATATTTATACAATTTCTGTATTCACATAGTAGCCCTGCCACAGTTAACCTACAGAGTAAGTGAATTTCCATTTACCTGGCTAGATTTCCACTAAAAGGCCCATTAAAATTGTCAGATTTATTTCCTATTTAAACAAAAACATTAATTTTAATGAGTACTTAGGTTTCCAGCTACAGAGAAGGAGTGTTTCATTATAAAAATTTTGATAGCTTAGTATGAAATAAACAAAATTGCCAAATTTCATCGAAATATACCTATCCATTTATAAACAAAAGCAAACTACAACAGTTTATCTATTCTCCATAAGAATAACATGGGAATCAAACAATTGATTGCCGCATCGGGTTGGGTGGCATTTCGAGTGGTTTTTCATGGTTACTTCGAAGAACAACATTGGACATAATAAGGTGTCAAGGCAGAGGTCTAGTAGAGTATTAAATTAAAAGAAGCCTGTGGCTCTCTATTCATGGAAAAAATCAGCAAGTAATTTTCACGTAACTGTCATACACCGAACATTCATATCTATAATATATTAGTTCCTTTCACCCAAGTCAATTGACACCCTCTCCCGAGATATACGGCGGACCTGCTGCGAGCTTTAAGACGTAGATGCGATTCGCAACGAGCGAGATAAAAATAAAGCAATAATATTAAGCAAACTAAGTATCGACTGACGTAAGTACTGCAGTATATCCTTACAGTACTAATAATATTTTCCCGTTTTACTTTGGCGAGTAAAAGTTATTTTTTAGCGAATTTCCCTATAGGGAAGTAGCTATTACCGTAGGTCTCATGGTAAGACCTAGGCCCGGGACCAATTTACTTTTTCATTTTGATGTCCCCAGAGGCCAAAAACACCATTCGTTCAAATTTTTATATATCTATATATAGATATATATATATATATATATATATACTAGCTGTACCCACGGGCTTTGCCCCGTTTTACTTAATAAGTGAGCTCGTTCGCATGGCTCAATTACGTCCTGGTTGGTCCGCACGATAACTTGAGTAATTTTTGTCCGATTTTGATAAAATTTGGTTTGAAGGTGTAAGGCGGGATAAACTCGAACGAGTTCGCGAACCAGCATGATCGGACTATGGGAACGGGGGTTTACGGGGGGTTTTATGGGGTAAAAATAGGTTTTTCTCATTTTTGACCCAAAAAAAATAAAATTTTGCAAAATCTTTTCAAACCATTTTGTAGAGCTTAAAAAAACAAATAATTTGGTATATTGAAGTGTTACTATGCGCCTAATGGTTACGGAGAAAATTCCAAAAAAATGTAAATTTTAAATTCCCATGTTATTCTTATGGAGAATGAGTAAACTGTTGTAGTTTGCTTGTTTATGAACATATTTTGATCAAATTTGGAAAATGTTTTTATTTCTTACTGACTATTAACATTTTACAAAAAAAGTTTTACCCTCCCTGATGCAGCAAACCTAAGTACCTGTTAAAATAATTCTATTTAAATAGGAAATAAATGTTAAATTTTTAAGTAGACATTTTAGTGTAAATCCAATCAGACATATGGAAATTCGCTTAGTCTGCAGGTTTGCTGCGGCGGGGGTATTATTTTTTACACTCATCTTAGTTGTAAGAGATTTGCGTATCTTATTTCTCAGGCCGGCAGTAGCCTACACCTTTTAGTTTATTTATCTAAAGTGGTTTTATTTTATTTTATTTAAAAGTATTTTATCTAGTTATTTTGAAGCCAAGATGTTCATTGGCATATTAGCGCTGACTCTGACTCATTTAATTTTGTTACTTTATTATTGCGTGTTGCGACATTTTAGTTCACTGCGAGAATATTATTTTTAGTTTTTATTTGAGAAGCGGTTCCTTTTGTTAGGCCTAGAAGCTGGTCAAGTATTTTAGTTCATTCAGTAAGCAGCGTATTTAGTGCCGACTTATTCCTAGTCAGTGCGTCGTTGTGCTGACATACAACTATAGTGTACCCGTGCGTGTAGGACGACGAAGGTATATTTACAAGATTGAGAAGCAGTTAGCGAGCGACGGGGGCTGTTAGCTAGAACCCTGGACTACTCTCGAGCTGTCCGAGCAAATCGGAGGTAAGTTTAGGATAGGTTAACCTACCCGAACTAAACACCTCACACAGTAATGCACTAAAATTATTATCACACTACTCTGTTTCCCAGACATTATTTTTGGTGAGAAAAACACGATACTTTTTAATACAAATTTGGAAAAACATAAAGAAAATAAACTGATAAATTATGCACTTAAAAATTAAATTACCGTACCCTGTTCTCACAAAACCACAATAATTTAGTATTTGACAGTTCTAATTGTGTATCACATATTTTTGTTGTTGCTTTGTTTAATTTAGCTATTATCATAAATTAAAACAAAAGGTTAATAGTGCTGCACCCTGTTGATAAACCTTGTAACTTTATAATGCTATTGAACATCATTGAACAAACTTGTTCAATTGAAACAGCTGTTAAGATTCATTAATCTATATATTTAAAAGGCAAAGCCCTCACTGACTGACTGACTCACTCACTCACTCACTCATCACTAATTCTCCCACTTCCCATTTACCTAGGAGGCTGAAATTTGGTACACTGATTCTTTAGGCATTAAATAGGAAAACTAAGTTGTATTTATTCTGATCGGACTCTCGGGCTCCGCCCCAGTGGCTCTGGAGTTTCCCATGTTAACCTTATGAGTACTCATATTTAAATGGAATTAATGAATATTAACAGCTGTGTCAATTAAACAAGTTGGTTCTGTTCTATGATGTGCAATAGCATTAAAGTTACAAGGATTACCAACAGGGTGCAGCACTATTATTTCTTTTAAATTTATGACAACAGCTAATTTGCAACCAAAAGGTGAGTGAGCGTAGCGAACAAACTTCAACCTGGAGGCGAGTTAGCGTAGCGAACGAGCTAACCTGAAGGCAAGTGAGTGCAGTGAACGAGCTCCAACCTAGTTGAGCGTAGCGAACGAACTTCAACCAGGACGTGATTGAGCCATGCGAACGAGCTCACTTATGAAGTAAAACTGGGCAAAGTCCGCGGGTACAGCTAGTCCATATATAAATCCCAAAGTACGCACAAACTTTTGAGAAAACTAAAAGTCACACCTCCATAAACCATATACTTAAAATGTTCGTCATGACGAGAAACCTTGTGCAGAACTATCCATTATCATAAATTGCCCTTTAAGGTTGTAATTACTTTCTAAAGGGAACTTTCCATACATCTATTGTTAAAAATATTTCAGCTGTACTTATTTGTTTGTTATTCTTTCAATTTATTACCTTACTAGCTGTTGTACCAGTGCTTTGCAACGGGAAGAGGACACAAAATGGAAACATTTTAATCTTTACATCTGTTGCATATAATATAGTTACACATCCGCCAACGCTTTCAGAAACAAAATTCAACTTTTATGGGCTTAAAAAGCTTCCTGATAAATTTATTTGGACTTTGAGTTACTGCGACTCGCACTCTTTCAACATTTGCTGGTGTACGGTACAAAGAGTTTTGCGGCAACCACTGATAACATTTAGAGTTAAGCTGTTATTCTAAATAATTTTACACAGTTTCCCATTGTTTTCGGGGACCTCATGATACCTTTTGGATGAATTTGAATGGAGGGTGTTTTTGGCATCTGGGGATTTTAAAAAGAAAAAGTAAATCAGTCCCGGATCTAAGTCTTACAATGAGAACTATGGTAATAGCTTATTCCCTATGGGAAATTAGCTAAAAAGATGATATGAAATGTAAAAGAAAATGGTTGAAATTTTTAAAGTATTGTTGAAGTTGTTAATTAAAATAGTAATGGAAAACAGAGTTTGAGACATCCTACTGTCCATAGAGAGCTCTTTTCAGGGCATTGCGATATTTGTAGCAAAACCCTTATACAACTTGAAACAAGAATAGCCTGTAAAATATAGTTTGTTACTGCTGATACCAAGGGTCACTCTCTTACTACAGTCACATACAAATTAAACAAGATATTTGAAATTATTTATTTTATGGCATAATACAAAAGCTTCTTTAATCTTTGCTATAGTTTGTTGGAACTATGCAGGCGTCTTAATAGAGTTGTACTTGTACAGAAGATCCTTACTTAATCACACCTTAGAAGAAAAAAAGGTTTATCTGCCTTGAATTTCAAGGCTGATTGGTTTAACCAACCTTTTCTAGAAACCTCAGGACTTCAGTTTCCATCCTTATTGCAAAGATATAATCTTTTCTATGCCGGTCTAGTTTTGCTATAAACCACACAAGAAATTCACTCGTGGAAAGAAAAACAAAAATAACTTTTCTTTCTAAGCATATTTTTAGCATGATTATGTGTGTGATTAATTGTGTAATATCTATATACCTTACAAGTGTCGTAAGAGTGTTTTTACATCACGCTCTTGCGTAACATGTAACGTACAAGATTTTACCTGACCCGACAATATACAGGGGGTTACGTACAATATTTTTCATTATCCATTTCACTCATCTTCTAACAGTAACGCTACACACAAAAGCTAGGTTAGGAAAATTCTTTAAATCATAACAATAAAATTCAAACACACAGCTGATTTCTAGCGTTGAACGTGAGTTTTTGAAACTTTACTCCACTCGTGAAGTAAAGAAGTTGTTTACATCAGGTTTGGGATAGGGAAGTTTAACATGGCGGGTTGGGTAAAATATTTAATTTAAATTTTAAATGATATATGTGAGTTCCACCTATGAATAGAGTAAAAATAATCAGTGTGGTTAAAATTTAATTGTGTTTGGTTTTCCAATAAACTATTCCTAGGTACTGTCTTTCTACTTAGTTGATTGCACAGTAAGTACACAATTACTTTGCATACTTTCAATGTTGCTTTAATACAAAATATCATATTGTATCTTATCAATAAAATTACAGGTTGCAGCACGGTTTAAATAATTTGAACAAGTTAAATGGAATGGCTAAAGCAGTATCTTTATTTGAAGTAGTCCAAAAGAGGCTTGTAAACACATACCTTTGCCCTTTCTGATTTTTTTGAAGAACATTCACAGTTTGGTACCATGTACAAGTTTTTCAATTTGAAACGATCCCTTTGGAGAATAGTTTTAGTCAAAACTGATACAGCTTTAGAAAATTTTGCTGAAGGAGTCATCACAACAACAAAATCCTTTATGTTTTCAGCTGAAAATAGTTAGAATAAAGATTACCTCTTGATTAGAATTTTACATGTTGGCTCTAAACATACGAATAAAAAGAATAGTGTTGGAGTTTGGAGGACATATTTTATCTTATTATATTCCAGAATAAACACGGTTTTTAACTCAAATTGTAATTTAACTTAACCTAAACCTGGCTTAACCTTAGTAAACCTGGATAACTAGATAAGGTATTAGGAAATGGTAAGAGAATGTTATTTTGAATGATGATTCACTTACAAAAATTATTTTTATGAATACGAGCTGTTGGCCCGTTCTACGTTCAGGAATCGGGTAGCCCATTAAAACTGTATATAGTTAGGCCTATATTAATATTTATATTCCTAATTCAAGCATAGTTTTAGCAGTTCAAAACTTACTGTAAAGAAAAAAGCTGAGAAGATGAATTAAGACATGTGATCATTGTTATTTCCCAATCTTTCCTAAAAAAATTCTTTTTTTTTCTTTTTCACAAGCTTTCAAAAGAAAGCTTGTGAGCTTCGATTGGTATACAGCAATGGTTATAGAATCTTACTTATTTCGTATAATCAATGACAAAATCACAGAGTAAATAAACTAACCTCATAGTTCTATAGAATATGGAATATTTTTATATTCAACCAGCTGTTAGTTTTAACTACCCCTACACTAAAAACCCCTATATTGCACTAAAACAAACAAAAGATTTTAAGCTTGCTCAAAAAAATAAATTAGATAATCTAATATTTTACTATTTATGTTTAAATAATCTGTAATTCTCTTACCGAATAAATGAACGTATCAATGATTATAGCATTGCACATAGTATAAATAAGTCAACCCTACGTATGTAATTTTATTTTTATACTGTATTTGTATACTGAGTACTGAATTTGTGTTGCGAACGCTGAATGTTTACAGCTGTTACGTTAAGCAAATTTAATGGTATTAATAGCAAAAGCTATTCTAGAATGTTTACGTCGGCTACTAGACTTTTTAAAAATTAAAACTTAATTTCTAAAAAAAACTGGGACCCTAAACTAAAATTATGGCTTCAATATTCCCTAGTTCTTAAAATTATCTTTCTTTCAACACAAAAATAATGAAAATCTGTCAAGTGGTTGATTCAGAATCATGAAATAAAAAAACCCTGTCACGTTTTAATATTATAGATGGTTTTAGTTTTTTAATGAGTAAAAACAGACCCCTTATAAACAAAAAATGGTCCTATGTTTTAAGTCAATTTATAATGATAGTGATTTTTTGATGGGTATTAATGAACTATTGTAGACACTTTCCAGCAAAATTAGAAAAACAAAAGTTCAAAAGTTTTCACAACATTTTGGAATTTGGAACTTTATTTTTTTAACCTGATAAAAGATTTTACATCCCAAAATGTTGTGAAGACATACATTGTTAGTTATCATGATAGAAAATGTCTGCAATAGTCCCATGGTTAGTAAATCTATTTACATAATCATTTATTTTTATTTGTATACAGAAGTAAATTAATAAAATAACACGGAAACACGAGACTACTTAAAATTTTTCTGACCTGATGATCTGCTCCATCCGAAGCACAAAACAGCTGTAGTCATAACAAACTACAAAGGATCGTTTCGACATTAAAAAGGTAATATAAACCACACTATAGTCAATTCAGACGATCCAGAGGCCATTTCATAATGAAATCTCAAATCTGTTTGGTATTTTTTTTTACTTACCAAACATAAAGTCATCTGAACACATGTATTGTATTTCTAACACTCCTGGTAACAATTTGAGCCATTTTACATGCACCTTTGCAGCTTCATCTAGAAATAAAAATGAAATCAATTAAATCATGTTGTATTCATATAAAAATGTTAAAAAATAAATTGGTCAAGTTTAAATTTTTTTTAGGAAGTTGAAAATGTTCGGTGAACCACTTTAGAGTATCTTGGCTTTTTGCTAATTTACTGTACCTAACTAAGCATAAAGGGAGCTATTTATAGCGTTTCTATGATTTTGGATCTAGTCTTCATTTTGTTTCACCTAAAATTTTTTTGTGAACAAGACAAGATCTTGACTATTTCCTGCGACCACAGGGACATGCAACATCCTCATTGACAACATTGCAACATTGTCTTCCATGACCTAAAGAGAACAACGCAATGTCGTTAATAAATGAACGCTCAGCTATTGTCTGTAGCGTATTACATACCTAATAGGCGCACGGTAGACACGTGCGTAGGGCAAGAGGCAATTGGCTTTTTTGTTGAAGATCAATTCTAATGTCCAAGGAAATAATGTTTCAATCTATTTGAATTTGGAACTGATGGTATTATTTCATATGTTTAATAATCTTAATAGTGATTTTTCCAATGTTGTAAATAGTTGGTCTCAGTCTCCCATTTTTGTACGTAAATTAAAATCATTCTCCAAGTCAAAAGTTTCCCTCTAATTTATCCCTTCCTACTGTAGAGTATAACTTTTTTTGGGGGGGAGGGCTTAAAAAAATTGTAAAATAATATAATTATGGTGGTTGTGTTTGCATGTGAGGTAGCCCTACGGCCGAGAGCCGACCCCAATTGCAGCTGCCCTGCGCAGAGCCTGCAGCCATAACCTACCAGCTATACAGTACACAGCCTACCCAGCCCCACCACCATACAAGCAAGTGACGGTAACTGCTGCATGTAGGGGTAGACCTTTTTCAAATGTTCGATGATTAAACACACTTAGACTATGGACTTAAAACTACCAAATGAAGCTCAACAACTATAAATTAGTGCTTCTCACTCACAGTAAGTTTGCAATAAATAAATATATTTTATTTTTATTTTAACAACCGTTAAAACTCAAAGAAATTGAGAATTGGAAAATGAAAAAGTAAGTGATGTTGATTTTTTTTCTTTCTTTTCGATCAGGAAAGTTTTGTCAGCGGCATAAGGTTAAGAGCTTGAGTTTCATCATAACATATATATTTTAGAAAAATTCATTATGAATGGTTTGAAAATAAATCAGGTAGCAAATTTTGTTTCTTGCCGACGCTCGTGAACTGTCTACACGTCACTTACTGCAGGCCTACACAAACAAGAATTTATCGATAAACTAGATGCTTTTATCACCATATATTTGTTTTAATGTGTTCTATATTTATTTATTAACGAAAAAGTAAATCAGTCCCGGGTCCAGGTCTTACCATGAGTACTACGGTAATAGTTTATCTGAAATTCGCTAAAATCTCATGGTTTCCTTCTGTGTGTGTCTATCTATTTATACACAAAACTTATACATTTATAATATGAGTGATATTGACTAAACAGCAAAATCAAAACCAGAAAGTAAAACTAAATCATTATTGGTGCGTATAGCAACATGAGTTAAAGTCGAATAGATTACAGAAAGGACTGGCCTTTGAAAAGGTAGGGGATGCGACGTTGCCACGTCGTTCTTGTCTGGTGAGCTGACTTTCACCTAGAGCCCGGCAACCCCCTTACTGTATCTTACCACTTGTAGGGTAGTTCGGTTCAACACTACAAATTAATAATTTATTTTTGTTCTTGGTTGTATTGGTTAATATTGTTATATTTTTATATAGTACTAGAAAAAATTTTCTATTTTTTCTAGTAATCGTGATATACTACTATAGGTGAAACCCGTCGAAATCGACAGACACTTTCAAGGCTTACGCTAATTCATCTAACTGCAATAACTGTGTGAAATTATCAAAATGTTGAACATTTAGCTTTGTTTAATGATTAATAAATAATAGTAAAAACAATAATGACTATTGCGTGAGTTACAAAATATGGTTGATTATATAATGACTAAACTGATCCCAGTACGTCATGGGAGTTATGTTAACTGTTTCATCTCATTTTTAAGAACCTTAAGATAGTATCAAAATCGTATTGGCGAATCTTTTATGGTTAACACTTACGTGATTTCATCAGTGCAAGGCAGATTAAATCCATGTTTTTATTTGAGAAAAATATCTGTTTGTTGAGAAGACACGTTCTTACTTCAAAGTGAGGTCTACCTTTAAGCTGTGTAAGTTTGATTTTTTACTTCTTCACGTCGGTCATCATACGACAAGTCTTCAGTGCCAATCAATTAACCTCTAGAATAATTTTGAGAAATTTTGCCGTAAGGGTTGCTGTTAAAGCTGGAATTCCTTGACATCCCCGGATGTCAGTTGTCTCAGCCTTACCAATTACATGAAGTTGTCAATTAAATAAATACGAGGTGTTGGCCCGTCCCAAGATGCATGGAGTAAAAGAGGGGCCAGACAGAGCGGACTGCGCGCGATGACGTCACTGCAGTCCCGGCCGCGGCTGCCTCGCCGCTAGATACATGCTAAACGCACAAACCTTACTTTTTCAGACACGATTTAAGCTGGTTTGGATGAGGTATTTCCTGTTATGACACAAATATCTTTGTCTACTAAATAATGATTTTTATGATTTTGAACTAACATGAATTGTGAACAGTTTGACAATAGTAAATAACCAATTAGGCCTGTATGTTGCATAGAAAGCAATGAAATGCACTAGGTCAAAAAGTTGCCTGTTTAAAAGTTACTTCAACTGCTTTTTGGTGTTAGTTATAAATGAAACGCCATCCTTTTTCATTTTTAATTTCTTCTTTTTCTATTTAATGTTAAACTTATTTGGGTTTGTTGATACAATATATAGTATGGAATACAAAATTCATCCCATACATTATTATGGTTCGATTATTTGCTACACAATTGTCTTTAAAATGGCTCAAACAGCTACCAGATACAGTTAAAAAAATATATAAACATAAAATTAATAAATTTAAATTTAATCAATAAATTACCTTAACAGTTAATAACATTTTTTTTTTTTTATGATATAACCCAGTTACAAGAACAGTTTTAATCAATTAATTACCTTTTTGGTTTTTCTTGCCTTGAAGTTCTTGTTGGTTTTTGATACCTGATGCGCATTTCGCCACAGGTTGTGGCATCTTCAGAGTTCACTATCCTACACTTACATTCTAATATATACACAGTTTATATACACAAGAGTCACTGTACGGGTTCACACCCAGTCAAAAACCACAGCCAAAATACAGGAAAGCTACCAAATCTATAAACAAGTTACCGAATCTGGACCTGACAGCCTACTTAACATAAAAGAAGACTTCAATAACTCCATAATTTTTAAGACCATGTACGAAATAGAAACCAACCGATTTGGCAACCCCGCAGAAACTAGACAACGTCGCAGATACAACAATTCTGAGAATTCCACACCCCAACCCGTCCATCCACCAGGCACTCTTTCTGTCAGTCTAACAACGATCCCGGCACAAGTAAACACCCCGCGCTCGCAACACACACCCGCCGCGCCGCGAGTGTAAACGCTACCATGTGAACCCGTACAGTGACTCTTGTGTATATAAACTGTGTATATATTAGAATGTAAGTGTAGGATAGTGAACTCTGAAGATGCCACAACCTGTGGCGAAATGCGCATCAGGTATCAAAAACCAACAAGAACTTCAAGGCAAGAAAAACCAAAAAGGTAATTAATTAGTTAATAACAGTAAATTTGTATGACCAAACCATTTGTAGAGCAGTCCTAAAAATCTTCTAAAATATTGCTCAGCTTATTGTTTGATACATGAAACATTACTCATTTGAGATGGGGACACCATCTATGAGCGTATTTTAACCTAAATATGAGTGAAGGGTGGGTGTAGAATGGAGTGAGATTGCAAAGACTGAGTGCGAGGCACAACTTGGCAACAGTGGACAGTTTTCTGAAAGCTGATTGGATGCCGCTTGCCCTCACCCCACCCGACTCGAACTGGTTTCGGTCCTATTCTGTAATCTATTCGACCATATGTTAAACGGCAGTCATGCACTCTGCCTTTACAAACGGTCTCCCAGCTGTTGGAAGCTAATTTCTGTGCCTGTAAAAGCCAATATATAAATATTGCAAAGGGGCGTTACTATTAGTTAGTCGTGTATAGGGTGCTCTCAGGGTAAAAAAAAGCCTGGCTATAGGCAATTAATTAGTCCAAACTTCCCGACTACATATAAAATTCAAGTTTAATTCACAGGCTTTTGGTTACAATTCTCAGTTCGGCCAGTTCTTAGGCTAGCCTGGTATTTCAGAACACATAGCTTTATTTTTGTTTTAAATTTAAATAAAGTCAAATTTCTGCCCAATAGTAGTAGGGTTTGGATTAGCAGACCTCTGGTACTGTATTGTATGCAGTCTTAGAACTTACTTACCTTTGCCATAAGAATATTGGTAGACATAATGATCCGGTGTCACTTCATACAGTTCAGACAGTTTAGCATAACCTTTGCCAGAGCCACTGAAACACAAATTTACAAACCATTATAAAGTTTCTCCCAGTGCAACAGTATTATCATACTAATAAAGCTCAAATAAATTAAATAATCTATAGGCCTACTATTATATACAAATAATTATACCCACACCGCAGCAAACCTGCAGACTAAGTGAATTTCCATATGCCTGATTGGATTTACATTAAAATGTCTCCTCAAAAATATCACATTTATTCCCTATTTAAATAGCACTAGTTTAATGAGTACTTAGGTTTGCTGCAACAGGGAGGGTAAAGAAGTGTTTTTTTTTCAAACTCACTGAACTGGAATGATCATGTAAATTACCTTAGTAGAAAATTATCAAGGTCAGTTTTTATATTAAGAATATTTGGTAAAGTATGTTCTATCTTTGATTATTATCCAATAGTAAATGGTTCTATTGAAACTTAATGTAGCCTACTGTATCGAAATATGGGGATACACTAACAAAACAAACATAAATCAAAAAATCAACTTCTAGCCATTCAACAAAAAGCTTTGAGATGGCGGGACTGAGCTTTGGGGAATCTTGTGAGGAAACTTTCAAAAATCTTGAGATTCTTACCGTTCCTTGCATAATCATTTACAGAGTTTTAATATATTTCAAAGCTAATATCTTTAAAACAACAAATAAACAATTTCACTCATATGACCGTGACCATTAGGCGCATAGTAACGCTTCAATATACTAAATTATTTCTCTACAATATGGTTTACACCCTATTTATTCAAACGAGTTCGCGAACAAAGTGATCGGACTACGGGTGTTTATGGGGGATTTTATGGGGTAACAATTAGTTTTTATCGTACTAACGGACAGACAAATATAAATATATATTTGAATTCGAATGGATGTTGTTTTTGGCCTCTAGGGACCTCAAAACGAAAAAGTAAATCAGTCCCGGGTCCAGGTCTTACCATGAGTACTACGGTAATAGTTTATCTGAAATTCAATAAAATCTCATGGTTTCCTTCTGTGTGTGTCTATTTATTGACAAAGTTGAAATCTTAAGTTTGGTTGAATTGGCAAACATTGGAAACTTTCTAGAGCAATTTCATGATGGAATGGCCTCTAGATCTGACCTCTCCTGGAACGACCACGTCATACACAGACTAACCAAGAAACTTGCATCTGTGATTATTTCAATCATGGTTGAAACTTGTAACAAATAGGATGAAAAGGATAGGAGGTCTGGAAACGGCTAAGACAGCATACTATGCTGTATTAGAATAACATATAAGACAGCTGCAGGGAAGCATTTAAATCCCTTAAGCTCCTAACAGTGATAGCACTCTCCATCCATGGAGTTGTCCGGTACAAAAAAAATTTACCTTTCCAGAAATGAGAATTTTCATTCCTACTACACCAGAAGAGCAGCCGACTACAGCCTACCAATCCACCACACTACACAATACAGCATAAAACCCTCTTATATTGGCCGTAAAATCATCAACTCTCTTCCAAACAACCCGAAGAACACAACGGGAAACCAACTCAAACAGAAACTCTGGGACTGGCTTGTGGACCGACCGGTGTACTCCCTTAAGAGATTTTTTGATCAATTATGAACTTTCAATACAATGAAAATGTAAACTGTCAAACAATTTAAATGTTAAATATTCTGGAATTTTGTGACGCCATTGTATTTTTTAACGAAATTACAAATAAAGGAAATTGTCTATTTACTATTATCTATTTCCTATGACATCTCAATGTAAACAAGCAGAACTGTCAAATTGATTTTATTTTCCAATGCTGCCACACAGCTTGCTTAAAACCTACAAAATATAATACTCAGCAATAGTAGGAAAATTCTTTGATTTAGGCCTACATAATATGAATAATGTAGGTGGTTAGTTTACAATTTGCAAGTAGGCTGTATCATGCATTTGGATTAGGCCATAAAATATAGATTTTTTTCTTCTAAAGAAAGAACTTAAAATGCACATTCAAAAGTCAAATGTAAAATGTAGGGTACTGTTTGAACCTCACGTGTTCCATAAAACCCTTAAAGTAGGCTATATTAAAGGGAAATAAGATACAGTTGTAATACAAACTATTTGATCGATAACTTTTTAATAACTTTTTTTTTTAAGTGCAGTGGTAGAGCATTTATGTAGATGTATTTTCATTTTATACTGTAAATTTAAAGAACAAAATTTCCAAAAACGCGTCCTCCCCTATTGCAAAGCACAAGTTTAACTGCAATAAGCACATTACACTTATACACAAACCCTGTTAAAGAATGAATAAGAACAAAAAATACCACCTTACCATCTTTTATCTACATTTATGTTGTATTGGCCTGTTAAAAAGTGAAATTAAGTCGTTTTTCAGTGTCGTTATTCAGTTAAATATTAACAATTCAAGCAAGTTTATTATTTTAAAAAGTGAACAAACATAACCTAAAACATACCTGGAAATTGTACAGTAAGGACAATTAAAGTAATTTCGATTTAACTTTTAAAATTGAGTTTTAAAATAGTCAGTATTTCTGACTATTGGATTGACTATAAAATAGAATGATTACCTTATTCAACCACAGTTGTTGGTATGATGACTAGTTTTCCTTCCTGAGAATAATTAGATCAGGTCATTGTGTATGTAACCACATCATCAATGTATTAATGGTATGTCATTAGATGCTTTAAAAAAATGTCACAATCACAATAATTGAAACTTGTCATGTTGATAAAAATACAGTAGTTAAGATGGAATAAAAACTGCACAGAGTGGGCCAGAACTGTCTTCTCACTGCCACTGTCTAAATAAAACTGAACTGACTACTGACTGAATGAATGAGTGAATGAATGAATAATGAATGATTATTGAATGAATCATTGAATCATGATGTTTCAGTTTGTCTTCACTCCAGTGCCACCTGTATTTCAGTTTGTTTAGTTCTTCTTACTTTATACTTCTTTAATTTATAACTTGTCAATATATGTATCAAAAATAATATTTGACTAGAAAGAAGTCTGATCATTTAAAATGTTACATGGGTCGTGTTAGCTTTGTAGATGATGAATTCTTGATCAATTCAACATCAAGCTTGAAACTTTTTGGTAATACTTCAACTGTTTCCATGTTGTTATAAATACATTTATAGTTGTGTGATTCCTACATTAAAAGTTCAACATAACTAGATAGATGATGTTGTAATATTTTTAGGTAACTTTTTTTGCATTAAAAGTTTTTTAAATCTTTGTTTGAAAGATCTTCCAGTTTGGCCGATGTAGTACTTTGGACAGTCGTCAGTTAATTCTATAAATTACTGATTTTTCATAGTTGTTTATTGTGTCAACAGGTTTGGGGTGAAAAAACTTTTGAAGTGAAATGAAATGAAAAATTATTTTTTTAAAGAAGCAAAATTAGGGCCTCATGGCCCTTTCTTACACTTAACCTGACATAAGTGTGAAAAAAATATTTTAACAATAAAATCTGTTTACAATGGATCAAAATAGAAATCATAAATACAGAAACTTAAAAAAAAAAAATGTGTACACTTTAAATTTTACAAACACTCATATTAACACACACACACCAACATGGAACGGGCAACGCTTACAGGTCAGTGGAAAATCCTTCTACAACCGGAAGACTTTGAAAAATGAATCTGCCAAAACGGTCTTTTTCAAGGCCATTAGTAACGATCTCGATTAATATCAAGGGAATATCCTGTCTGATATGTGCAAGACGCTTGAATGCGACTTCCTCCTTGTGCAAGAAACACACCGGGGCCTTTTAAAACCTAGACCCAACATGGAGGGAATGAGACTGATTCTAGAGAGACCTCATGACCAATATGGTTGTGCTGTTTTTGCCAGGCCATACATTGACATCACCTCAGCTTCGCTGACTGAGAGAAACAATACTGAGATACTAACGGTCAGGACACCACAGTACAGTGACACCTCTTTGTATAAGCCTCCCCTCCCGAATGTCAGTATGTATTTACAGAGCCCGATAGTCTATGCTATGATATGAGCTCTCATTAATTTCGTCTTGGGGGATTTTAATTGTCAGAGCATTGCTTGGGGATACAAAGAGACAAGTGAAAATGGGACAAGTTTTAAACCTGACCCAGCACATTGAGGATGGGTTTGAGAGAAAACAGATCACGGGTGTCGCTTTTGTAGATTTAACAGCTGCCTACAATACCGTAAACCATCGAAGACTCCTGGGAAAAGTGTACAGCATTACTAAAGACTATCAGCTGACTTCAATGATAAGCACTTTTCTTCATAACAGGCGGTTTTTCGTGTCCCTTCAAGGCAAGATAAGTAGATGGAGGAATCAAAGAAATGGATTGCCTCAAGGTAGCGTCTTAGCTCCAGCTATTTATAACATATACACTAACGACCAAACGTTGCCAAACGCTACACGTCAGTAGGCCTATATATATGCCGATGATACGGCGGTGGCGGCACAAGGTAGAAGTTTTGAAGAGGTGGAACAGAAGCTGACTATGGCTCTTAATGAACTTTCCCAGTACTATGTTGCAAATCGAAATCATCACCTCAAGCCGAACCCTGCTAAGACCCAAGTTTGTGCCTTTCACCTAAACAATAGAGAAGCAGGCCGTGAGTTGAATGTGAGGTGGCGGGGAGACCGTCTTCCAGCATTGTCCTACACCCAAATATCTTGGTGTCATACTGGACCACACACTGACATTGAAGACACATTGTATTGCGACAAGAGGTAAAGTCTCAGCGAGGAATAATATCATCAAGAAGCTCACCAGCAGATGCTGGGGTGCTAACCCTAATGTCCTCAGAACCTCAGCTTTAGTGCTCAGTGTGTCGGCTGCGGAGTACGCTGCACCAGGATGGAATGCATCGTCACATGCAAAAAAGGTTGACATTGCAGTCAATGACATGGCTCGGATTGTAACTGGGTGTCTGAAACCAACCCCAGTACACAAACTCTATCCTATCATAGGAATCGCCCTCCATCAATCCGAGGTGATGTCGCTGCCGACGCAGAAAGGACTAAGCAAGAGACAGACCCTCGTCACCCATTACACGGCCACCAACCTGCAGAGCGACGGCTTTGGTCCAGAAAGAGTTTTTTATTACGGACACAAGTCCTGGATGGTTCACTCTCAAGCAATCGGGTGGCAAGGTGGGAGGCCACGTTCACTAACCTCCCATACCAGCCAGGGAGGAACTGGCTCCTGGTGGAGGCCTGCATTACACAGTGTGGAAGACAATAAATCGAATCAGGGTCGAGGTACCAAAATGCAAGAAAAACATGCAGAAATGGGGTCTCTTACCAGACTAAAAAAACATCTTGTGTGCGTGTGGTGCTGTTCAGGATCCTGGACATCTGCTGATCTGTCCACGCCTACACCAGTCTTGCACATTAGATGATATTTTACAAGCGAATGACAAAGCCATATCGGTAGCTAATTTTTGAAAGGCGAAGTCTGATTTCCGGACACGGAAAGTATAAGTAAGTACACACACACCTCTCAGCGATCAACCACGAGTTTGTACTCCATCCAAAGCCCCTAGTACAAACCATCCATCGCTATACGTTCAAAAAACAGATGTTTTAGTACTGCTACAAACCGGGAACGACTATCAAGGGATTTAATAGCTAAAGGGAGATCGTTCCAAAGTCGGCAAGCAGTTACAAACGCTGTGTCGTAAACTGCCTTTCTATGAAGAGGCATACACAAAGTTAATGATGCATAGCGTGAATATCCAACACTTTCTTCAGCTACAAAACTTGAAATCCTCTACAAAATATTGTAGAAAATTGGTTTTTAATATTGAATAGGTTAGCAAAAGAATTTTGATTGATCTCAGGTCACAAACCTTGAATATTGCAAATTTCAAACAGCACAAAGTAATGACTAACTTTACAATTGAATTTCAATTACTGAAATTACATATAAAATACAGAACACATTTTTAGGATTAACAATTGACCAAAATTTAAACTGGAAAACAAACATAACTTAACAATACTTGGCAATAAACTGAATTCGGCTTACATTTCCAAATGCTGGTGTTGAGAGATAGAACTGATTTGGAAACTAGATTAATGGTTTATTTTTTCTATATTTATTCCATAATGAGAAATATTATGGAATATGGAAATATGGGGTTCATCGGCTGATTGGAGAAAAATATTCAAATTAAAAAATTGTTTGTCATATTATGACATTTTTGTGGCCACAAGTCTCATGTAAGCCAAGCTTAAACATTTAGGATTATTGAGCCTTCCCTCTCTTTATATATTCAAGCTGATATAAGAATTTCAATGATAATTTTTTTTCCTTATGGTTTCTACAGCGACATTTGAATATATATTAAGTGATGACTTACAATTTCCAATGAAACTTTTGATGGAATATGACGAACGGAGGTTGAGTGGATGTGTCAAGCTCGGTCCACCGAGACGACCACAGACACGTACATTTGGGCTCAGACTTTGTTACGATGTTGACAAACTGTTTCCCTTTCCACTGAGCACAGAAAGTAGATTATGTAATATTTTTAAGGTAGGTATTTACATGTAAAACATGTTTTATGAAATTCACAGTATGTAATAAATAATGTGGACAGACAGAAAAAGTAAAGTCATCGCAATATATGCTTAATCATAGGTGTAACTCACAAAGAATACACCCATCATGTTAACTTCAGGGTTGTACTGTACCCCTACTATATGTCAAACTTCAACTCACTAAACTTGCGCAGCAATATACAAATATTTGATCTACTGTGTTTTGTCCTGGCTGAATAACGACCAAGACTGCTCGGCCTTTGATCAGACCTACAATTTACTGGACTAACAACACTGGTTAACACACCTTAACCTACCTGTACCTGCAAACCTTACCACCAAGTTGCAGTGTAAAATGAAGCTTGGAGTAAATTTATCTGAATTAATTATGCTTGCATCGATTTGTAAGTCAAGGTTTTGTTGTGTCACAAAATGACCATAAAGTGGTAAAAAACACTTAACTGCTTCTTTTCAAAAAATATTTTAATTTATTTTGATTTTTTTAAACTTTTCTCCACTGGGTAGTGTTTTGTGAGTAAAGTTATGTGATCATTAACAAATACAGAGACTATTTTTTTACAGAGTCAATACTTACATCCTTGTTTCTGACAACAATGCCAGTTTCAATATTAAGTAATCTAGCCTTGCATGCTGCAAACTTGAGCGGTGAGTGTTTCCGACGATGAGCGAATGCCAAGGTAAGACAACATACCAGTAGTACTAGTATCTTCATACTCTGTGTGATAAGTTACAGAATTTAATTAAATTTAGATAGGGTTCTGTAATAAGGCTTTATCTTTGGTATAGGCTTTTTTTGTCACAGCAGCCTCCTCTCAATACAAAACCACTATGTGGCGCTATGTGGCAACGCCGCATTACCGGGCCACCAAGACAGCTTAAGCTATAATTCATATAGAGAGTCCTGTACAATGTTTAAGATTACTCGTTTGTTATTACAGTTATTTCTATGGCAATAGATCAGCGTTGCCACATTGTTGGCCATGGCCTTAAATAAACAGATTTGCCAAATTCAATCTTACTATATATAATACTAGCAGAGAACCCGTCCTTCGTACGGGGTTGGCATCAAGTATAAAATGCTTATTGCAGTTATACTCAAGTTTTGCGTTTGCAATGGGGGAGGACACAGTTTGATAAAATTTCCTTCTTTAAATTTACTGTATACTATGGTATTACACATCTACCATAGCCATAATGTTCTACCACTTCTCTTCTCCTAAACAATAGAGAAAAGAGAATTATTAAAAATCCGCAAAATATCACAAATCAGGAAATTAAAAACATAAACATGCCTGTAAACAATCCTACTTTGACAGTTCTCATTGCGTATCACAGTTTTTTTGTTTCATAAATGAAAAAAAAAATAATAGTGCTGCACCCTGTTGCACTTATAACTTTACTTATAACTGTTGCTTGTGTGCATCTTATAAATTTTTAATGCTTTTTCATATCATAGAACCAACTTTTTTAGTTGAAACAGCTGACTAAATTCTTTAATCTATATAATTAATACGCTACATGAAACTTTGTCGGTTGAACTCCTCCGCCATTTCTAAACCGATTTTATCCATTGATGTCTCATTGGAAAGAGCGTGTCCCGTAGATTTGCAAACTGGCCTTACATTTTTTTTTAAAGTCCCTTGGGCTCTACCCCAGTGGCTTTTAAAGTTCCCATGTTATCCTTATGAAGAAGATAATTGTTTACTTTTTGATCAGCTGTATAATTGAATCGCTTTTATTTATTTTTGAATTCAACGAAACGGACGTTTACTGATTTTGTTGAAATTAAATATTTGCTACTCTAATTTACAATGTAAAAAATCGAGAAAGCCTGGGCAATTTGATATATTTTACCTCCTATATAATGAAGAACACCTACAATATGAAGATTCCCACAAACAATGAACAAGGATGTTAGACAAAGTGTTACTATTTTGTAGGAAACACAGACTTAACTTTATGATGATTGTCAAAGGAAAACACTCTAAGGCTGAAATTAACTGGTACAACAAGGACATTAAATATATGTTTTCATAAAAGTCAAGTGATTTTAAAATAATATGACTACATCAAAGAAACTTTAGTAAAACATTCATTGAAGGATTTGCATTATTCACATTTAAGGGAAACAAAAACAATCTGAACAACATTAGGCATTTCAATTCTGCATTTTTTCATGTATAACCATTGAGTATACATATAATTGAGTATTCGTGTATACTCAATGATATAACTTACGTTATAACAGTAACTAACCAAATTATTGCCAATTGAAGTAAATACAATTGCGATAGAGAGTTTATGCAGAAAATCAGGCAGTTCTTAAGTAATGTAAACAAAATGTTGTCGCTATAATAAAATGACTACAATTTTTAAACGTACTGGCAACAATGGGTAGTACCATGCAGACTACATTATCATTGACGAAGATCAACATGGACAACCTAATGCGGCTATAAGTGGGAAATATTTGTAGAATACACAAAAAACCAGATCAGCTTTTGAAAAATGATAAAATATTTACTAGAAATGTTGATTATGTGGAACTGTTAGACGTACGTAATCTATAAGTTGAGTCTTTTTAACTCATCGGAAATTATGACTTTTATTAGTTTTTAAATAACTACTTTACTTCTTTGATATTGCTTGATTTCGAGCAACATGTACACTAGTTCCCATTAAATATGAATACTCATAAGGTCAACATGGTGAGCTACAGAGTCACTGGGGCGGAGTCCGAAAGGATTTTTGAGATAAGAATATGCCTATATGTTAATCGGGAATGTGAGCTATCATCATGCCAAATTTCAACCCAATCCGTCCAGTAGTTAAAGCATGATTGAACTTCAAACAAACAAACAAACACACAAACTTTCACATTTATAATATTAGTAAGATTATAAATGTGAAAGTTTGTGTGTTTGTTTGAAGTTCAATCACGCATTAAATACTGGTCGGATTTGGCTAAAATTTGGTATGTTGATAGCTCACATATTAACATATAGACATATACTTATCTCAAAATTCCTTTCGAGCTCTGCCCCAGTCAGTGGCTCTGAATTTTCCCATGTTAACTTTATAAGTATTCCATATTTAAAAGGAACTAGCAGTTACCCGGTGCACGTTGCTGCGCTAAGAGCTATTATTTTAAATTGTAATTTGTTCTAGTATTAGTATTATTGGAGTTCCTTCTTTTAATGACAGTAATGTGGTGGGCTAGTGACAAATTGGAAGGCATTTTAATACCTGAGATAGCACGAACGATTATTATTCACTTGATAATTTATGTTAGATTGTGTAAGTATATAACAAAAGATAAAAATATTAAGGCATTGCCATCCCTTTTATTGTTTATAATACTTTGATACAGGTTTTTACTTTTTATGTTAACATCTAAATATATAAAAGGCAAAGCCCTCACTGACTGACTGACTCACTCACTCACTCATCACTAATTCTCCCACTTCCCATTTACCTAGGAGGCTGAAATTCGGTACACCGATTCTTTGGGCATTAAATAGGAAAACTAAGTAGTTTTTATTCTCATCGGGCTTTCGGGTTCCGCCCCAGTGGCTCTGAAGTTTCCCATGTTAACCTTATAATTTTTATATTTAAAAGGAATCAATAAATCTTAACAGCTGTTTCAATTAAACAAGTTGGTTCTGTTCTATGATGTACAATAGCATTAAAGTTACAAGGATTACCAATAGGGTGCAGCACTATTATTTTTTTTATTTATGACAACAGCTAATTTGCAACCAAAAGGTGAGTGAGCGTAGCGAACAAACTTCAACCTGGAGGCGAGTTAGCGTAGCGAACGAGCTCAAACTATAGGTGAGTGAGCGTAGCGAACGAGCTCAAACCTAAAGGTGAGTGAGCGTAGCGAACGAACTTCAACCAGGACGTGATGGAACCATGTGAATGGTTTAACTTATGAAGTTAAACGGGGCAAAGCCCGTGGGTACAGCTAGTATTTAATACAGTAGTGGAGAATTTAAACTTTGTTGAGTGCACAGGTGTGCTGCGATTGAGGTTGGACTTATCAAAAAGTATAATAGTTTTCTGTTCTGCATTCTGGGGAAACATGGTGGCACTATTTTATTTCAAATCATGACTAAGTTGGTGAAAGTAAACATCTGGTTTTAAATTATATTTATTTGTAAATATTGTAGTTCCAAAAGTCTGACATTGGATCCCTTAAAACCCTCTGGAGGGAGCCCTTTTGACGGATCTGCACCAAACTTCACACACAAACTGTCCTTGAATAACGCTTAATAATGTCTGAAAGTTTAATTACAATTTGTCGAGCGGTTTCAGAGTCCATAAGGTACATACACATATAGTTCCTCTTTTATGGATACTAGTGTACATGTTGCTCGAATTCGAGCAATAACAAAGTATTACAGCAGTTATTTAAGATTGAATAACAATCATATTTACAATAAGTTTAAAAGATCAACTCAAATATTACCGTTGTGTAACTCAGATCCTGTTTATCTTCGTTATTGATAAACCTAAAGCATTCCGGACGGTTCTCTCCTTCTCAAAATGCCTCGCTGTCCAGGCAACACAGGTCATTAATAGAGAGCCAATTGAGAACGAAAAGTCGTTTTGGGGTAGTGTTAGGGCGCATTTGTAACCTAATAGTGTCCAGGTTCAGGTTCAGACTGTGATGAGTTAAGCCTTTACGCGCCACTGTTCTGTAGCTGCGGTCGTTATCACGATTGCGCTTCCTGTCTATGTTTCGTTGTCGTTGCGTCAGAGACATTTAAAAGGAATGAACAACAAATAATAAACAAATTATAGCTACACAAAACAACGATAAATGCACAAATTTAAGTTACAATCATGCTAACACAATCCATCATAGGGACACAAAACAACGATAAATACACAAATTTAAGATACAACCATACTAACACGATCCGTCTTGGGGGTTATGTTTACACAAACTCAAATAGTAAATAAATGTACTCAATGTGTTTCATTGAATTAAAAAGTAAATAACAGCAATAAAATTATACAGCTGATCAAAATGTAAACAATTATGTTCTTCATAAGGATAACATGGGAACTTTCAAAGCCACTGGGGCAGAGCCCAAGGGACTTTTTCAAAAATGTAAGGCCAGTTTGCAAATCTACGCGACACGCTCTTTCCAATGAGACGTCAATGGATAAAATCGGTTAAGAAATGGCGGAGGAGTTCAACCGACAAACTTTCGTGTAGCGTATTAATTATATAGATAGATTAAAGGATTCAATCAGCTGTTTCAACTACACAAGTTGGTTCTATGATATTCAATAGCATTATAAAGTTTATTAACAGGGTGCAGCACTATTAACTTTTTTGAATTAATGACAACACCTAATTTGAACCAAGCAGCAAGAAAAAGCTGTGATACACAATGAGAACAATAAATTAAACGAACCAAATTTTTTTTTAACTGTGTCCTCTCCCAAAGCATGAGTATAACTGCCATAATAATTTATAAACACACACATTTGAAAACGAATGGTGTTTTTGGCCTCAAGGGACCTCAAAACAAAAAAGTAAATTGTTCAAGGGCCCAGGTCTTACCATATGACCTATGGTAATAGCTTATTCCCTATGGGATATTGGCCAAAACTAACAAGATAAATTATTTTAATAAAAAGTATAAACACTATGGAATAACTATTTTAATTCTAGATATACAACAATCATGTAATAACAACAGATATTCATTTGAAGCACATTGAGCTGATTCTGTAAATGCTTAAAATTTACTCTTGCAAACATTCCCAGGCTAGTTGTAGTTGTAATGGCAAGATATTCAATAATGACTTATTAGTAATTTTCTACAAACACCATAAATTTTTACCTTGAGCTATATCAAAGAAAATTTAGTTCTTACATGTAAATACAAAATTATATCTTTGGAAAAGCACTATAGAGGAAATAAGTTAATAATGCTAAACAAAAAATATGAAAGCGCATAACAAATACCTATTGAATATTTCAAAAAGTAAAAAAAATATAAATATAAATTACTTACATGGTTCAAAAAATAATCCACGTAACATGACTATTGCTTTCATACCACTGACGTATGGTTAGAGAAGCTTCAGGTGTCAACTATTACTTGTGTCAACAAATACGTTATTAGTGTCATGAATTTGACAAATTGTTATGAATAAGTCATAATAAAAATGAAGAGAAGTGAGTTTTATAATTTGCTAATTCAATTTTAGGAGTCCTCCAAAATGTTATCCATACAGGGTGTCCCACATAAGTTGTCTCAAATTGATTACAGAAAAACGGCTTGAGGCACAAGGATAAAATACAATTATTTCCCGCTAAATCAAACCCAAAGAATAACGTAAACAAAATGTTTTTAAATGATTTTTGAAAATTTGGAAATAGCCATTGTTTGAAAAGCAACATATGTCAAGTGGCATATCATTTTATAGGTTTTAAAATTATTAACAACTTTGTAATTTACACTTACTTTGTATCTCTTTAGTTTTTGTGTAAATACAAAAACCCTAATTTTTCTATATCATATGCATGTTATTTGGGTTTAACACTAAATGAAATGGGGCCATTAGTGTTCAAGGCAAATAATGTGCCTTTTGTTTTGACATTAATTTGCTACTGTATTTGAAGATTTTAAACAATGGCCATTTCCAAATTATCAAATTTTATTTTTTTTATTTTTATTATTTCAACAAACCGTTACTTGTAGCATATCACAGTAAAGCTAATAAATCCAAAATTATTGGTATGTGAGTCGGTGGCTCAGTCGGTAGCGTTGCAAACTTCGGGCCCAAGGCAGCGAAGTCGTGGGTTCGGATCCTAGTCAATGCCACTAAAATTTATCAGTACAGTTCACCTTTGTACTGTACCGGCTCACTCCTTGCTTTGCTGTAAACGATCCACGCACGGGCGCTTAGTCTATGTGGACGGGCAAATGCAAGGTTAAAAGAGGCCGCCAACCTAAAAAAAAACCTTTAAAATGATGCATAACATGACATATGTTTACATTTGAAAATTCCAAGATTCTTACTAGTTACCCTCAGTTTTATGGCACACCCTGTATCGAAAAAAATATTTTTACGTTATTCCTTGGGTTTGATTTAGCGGGAAATAATTGTATTTCATCCTTGTACCTTAAGCCGTTTTTCCGTAATCAATTTGAGACACCTTACTTGGGACACCCTGCATTTAATTACCAAACAGCAATTATATTTTTGAATCTAATTATTTGGATGATAGCTTCCTTTATAGAATATATTGGAATAAATAAAACTGTACTCCTTTTTTGAGGCATCTTTAATTAATAGGTACTCAGGTTTTTTGAGGTACATCAAATAGGTTAATTATGTATATTTAGTTACTAAACCAAAAAAATAATTTTAAAAACTCAAAGAAGCAACGATGTTCAGACCTCCCTCAACATTTTCAATAATTGGTTTTAATGTAGGCCTATCAAAGACAGCACTTAACAATATTTTTAAGACTTTTTCAAAAATTTTGAAATAAGCGGCTTTAGTTTCACAAGGTTTCAAGGATACAAGCGACAAAACCACATTCCACTTTTGATTGTTATTCCACTGACTTGGATGGTAAATGCATTTGAAATTGAATCACTGTAAGTTTACTGCTATTGAAAACAAAGTGTGTTGCCACATTGTATTGTTGTAGGACTTCATTGTTTGATTTCAATAGTTCAATTGCAATAAGCTACATTTATATATATAGTGTAGAAATGTAACAGTGGGTTTCTGATCATGTATGATGTAAAATGTCCCATGTACAGTTCTACCGTTGGTATCATCCTGTTCAGTTTGCAGTTTCAGAATATTTTAGCAATTCATGTGAGTTGTAGGCCTAGTTAGCATCAGGCAATTTATCAAAAATTAAGTATTTGCCAAAGTTTAAGGTTTTTTCAACTAGATAGCTTTTTTATATAGGTAGATTTATTTTATTTGTAATTTTTAGCAGTGGAGAATTTGTTATAGCCTGATATTCATCTATTGTCGTCTTTTTTGTGATTGTGTGTGACAGAAACATAATTCTGTTTTTAGAATTACGTTTTTTTTTTGTTTTATTACAAGTCTTTTATTGTTACGAAATATTAAATAAAGTAAAACTACAAATAAAGTATTAGACCAGGAATGCAATGACGTTTAGATGTCCAACATTATATAGTGTCATTCTCACTGTTAGACAACAGCTAAACAAACAGAGATAATTTAAAAATATAAATATTATTCTATGTGTATTTTACATTTCATGTTAAGTTTATGATTTTTAACACATTACATGTTTTACAGTTGAAGAACTTTGCCTTAGAGCCGTGCAACAACATCATCAACAAAATAGGTATAGAAAACATTGCGTTGTCTAGTAATGGATCTGCTTGGACGGTCAGTGCGAAACTTTCTGTCGGTTCTACACTAGACGCTCCAATCATGGTAAATAAAACCACGGTTTTTAATAATTTAACTCCTTAGGTAAATATTTTGAACTGGATAATTGTTCTTTTTAATATACACATTCAACACTTTAATTGACACATTCAACACAAAACTGTCAATTGAAATACCTAATAACATAACGGTCCTCCAACAATAAAAACAGTCTCCAGCAAAAAATTTCACAAAATATGAATCCGGGATGGTTTCAAACTAACACAACTAGGCCAAACTTTTTGAATTTTTTATATCAGGCTTAACTGAGTCCGAACTGGCACAAGAGACACAACACTTTACACTATACACAGAACATTAGAATATTTCACTGTCCCTGACAGAATTTTCAACTAATATTCTTTTATGTGATATATTTAATTACTCTGTAATATTATGTAGCTATTTATTTGTAACAACATGACAAACCCTGTTGCACTGTAAAATGTTTGATGGGTAATAAAGATGCTTTTTCTTATTTTAAGAAAGAGAGAGTTTTCTTCGGGTCCACCTGAAGAAAACTTTCTCTTACAGTTGAAAATACTATCGGTGACAGTGAAATATTCTAATGTTCTGTGTATTTAATTTAGTGTAAAGTTTTGTGTCTCTTGTGCCGGTTTGGACTCTTTCAGAACCAGGTAAGCCTGCTATATCCTCACAAAAATCCTAAAAACCATTCTGTGTTACATCCACTACTAAAACTAGGCCAGGTGCAAGAAATAATATTTATTTGTGCAACTAGTGAGCAAAGTGAGCAATTGCCTCACTCGAGAGAAATCCTTACTTAAATGGTTTCTCGAGTGTGAGGCGATTGCACTTTGCACTCAAGTTGCACATTATATTTTTCCTACGGTTACCATAAAACAAATAAATTGGTAAAGAAACGTGCCTTCACGTTACAAATCTGGAGTGAGACAAAGTAATTAGAGTGAGACAATGTTAACATTGTCGCACTGATGAGCGAATTGACCACTTTTGCTTTCTCAAATCAGTGAGAGAACATGTACCGTAAAATGGGGTGAATAGAAACAACAGGGTGAATAGAAACAAAACTTCAATGAATGATTCACATTTTTATAACTTTGTTATACATTGACTTTATATAAGGGATTTATTTTCCCCCATTATAACCATATCCTATCTACCTGGGAAAAATTAGTTTAGCATATTGGTATCACTGCTTCGGATGTTGGATGATGCGAAACATCATTTGAAAATTTTTGCGAAAAACATTCTTTTCAAAACTTTCTCTCTAAGTATGAACCTATTACATGTATTTATGTTAATAACCATTTTTTATATTGTCTTAGGTATCTTAAAACCAAGTGTGTTAATAGATTAGCCTTAGAGTAAACTATATTTTTTTACTTTATTTTTAATTTAGGTTATGTCATGATTTTGCAAAACCAGGGTGAATAGAAACACTTTTTTTTGAACCAGTGGTGCAAATAAAGGTTGACCTGAAAACCCCCCAAAAAAGAAAAAAAAATACCAGAGATTAAGATGATTCTACATCAGTCACACTGGAAGAAAGTGACAAAGACGAACAATTTGATGAAGAAGAACCAGCATACCTAGCTCAAGACATCAGTGAGTCTTCAAAGTTGTCCCTTCATGATCATGTAATTGTCAAAGTAATGGGGAAAAACAAAACTTGCTATCGTTTATATGTTGCAAAAGTTATTAAATTTGACGAGGAAGGATAAATAGGAAGATTCATTAAGAAAATTGCGCAAACCAACAAGTTCTGAGAGACAGATTAAGAGGCCCTCTTCAAAGTCGATGACGTAGTACGATCGGCTTCTAACTCCCAAGCCGTGTACAACTTGTAGATTTAAGGGAGTGTTGTATTTTGAGGATGATTTGTCTGATTTTACTCTTCATTTAGTTGGTTTCTATGTAAGTTTTTGTTACTCTGATTTCACCCATTGTCATTTATATTCTCCGATTTGTTTGGATAAGGGTTTATGAAAACGACGTTTTTATACTTCGTACTTATAAATAAATGTGTTAATTAACTTTAAATATTTTTATTTACAACAACCTAAGCTAACAAGCATAAATTTCATGTTTCTATTGCCCCTGGTAAGTGAGGAAAAGCAACAATCATCAATTTAACACAGTGTTTCTATTCACCCCAAAGTGCAGGGTGAATAGAAACAGCCATATTTTATTTTTTTCTGCTTAATGATTAAAAAGAAAAAAAAATTGATAACTGGTTTGAGTAGAGGAGTTCAAGACCGAAAATATGAGCTAGTGTTGAAAATTTAAAAATTAAAAATATCGGTTTTACCGAAGCTTAAAAGTCAAAAAGTGTTTCTATTCACCCCATTCTACGGTACATTGTTAGTTAACTGTAGGAAAAAGGTAAAGGTTTTTAGTTCAGATTTTGATTTTCAGCCACAGTCCCACCAGTCTTAGAAACAATAATTCAAGTAAAGAGACTGTTAATACAATTTCAATTGTTTGAGCTCCGCCCGTTGATAAAGCGTTCATGATTGGAACTCAAACCTTACTTGATTTGATATTTTGGTGTAATATTGACTATGAATAAAATCTTGTGAATATTTTTGGATGTTTGTTTCAATTTTGATTTAAAAAATTAGTATTAGAGGAATGATGTTTGATGTTAATTTTTAGGCACAAATCAAAATGGAAAGGAGAATATTTTACCGATGGGTCAAGATACCATGTGTCGGCAACTTTGGAAGTTGCCAATATACTGATATTTGTGATCTCGCTGATAAATACGAAAACTGCAAAGATAAGCCGGGCGAAAAAGTAATTCCTTGCAAGTGCCCGATAAGCCAGGTGATTAAAATAAATTTAAGAAATTTTGCTGACTAGAATATACTCAAATACCGGTATCTACATTTAATCAATTAATTGGCAAAACACAATTATCAATCATTAAGTAGAGGACTCCACATAGGTGAGTATTTTAATAGAAATATGAGTGAAGATGAGTGTAGAATAGTGAGATGATCTTTGTAGCTTTGTTATTGTTACTGACTAAGATAAACTGTTTCATCAGCCAGGATCATAAACTTAAAGCCCCATGAGTAGGAATGGCTGGGTCCAGTTTCAAACCATCAAAAAGCTACTTACTTTTCTCAGGATCAAACCTTCGACCTTTTCATTGTTAAGCGAGCACTATAACCACTCTATTAAACTAACTACCAAAACTATTACTATAGTTCGGCCGCTTAGAAAACGACCTGCGCGCTAATGCTAAACCAATGCTGGAGGAGGTCGCTTTCTAAGCGGCCGAACTATACAACTATAACTACCCAGCCAAAATTATTATTTTCATGATAGCATTATTAATTACTTAGTTTTACTTATTAAATATTGAAATTGGAGTAATTACTGACTGTTGATTATCTCTTAAATTATTTAACAACTAATTTTGATGGCAAAACATTTGTGTTGTGTCGTTTATGCTTTTGTACACCGGTGTAGTTTTTGATTTTTTAAAGTGAAGGTCTTTAGCAGAAAAGTATGTCCACGTACAGTTTGGTGAAGAGACCAATTCAGCACCTAAACTATTTTTTAATAATGCAATTCAAGGGATTGTCATAAGAAAATATTCTACACAATTTTCAAGACATTATGTTTGGTTAAAGAGAGATTTTCATGATAGAGGTAAATGCCAATAAATACCCGATAAAGAAGGAGCGGAGGGAGGGCACAAATGTCTCTTTGAACCATAGCGTGTCACAAGAGAACCATCAAATGCGGCCTGATTTTTTCTATAAATTTGTAAAAATTCACAATCAAAACTTAGATTTTATGATGCAGAGTTTTACAATACTGTACCAAGTTTTATACCATACCCAAGGGGTTTATGATAGCAGATTGTTTTTAAAATACAGGGTGACACAAAGGAACCGGACGTTTTTTAAATAAGTAGTACTCAGTGGTAGTTAAAAGGAATAAAGTGGTTTTAATACTGTATATAGTGAGGTAAACATTTGCCATTTGTTACAAAACAGTCATTTTTTGAAAATGACGTCATGCTTATGGTGGCCATGTACTTCTCTACAAATGTTCATTCTTGTCTGAAAATCATCTGAAACTCGGGTCAGGAGGTCTTGTTCAATGCAATTGATACCTTCTGTGATTGCCAACTTCAAATCCTCTAGAGTGCGTGGTTTGTGAACATAAACAGGCTCCTTAAGAAACCCCCAAAGAAAGTAATCACTAGTGGACAAGTCAGGTGACCTTGGCGGCCACGGTATGTCACCAAAGCGATAAATTCAATACTGCTCTCACTCTGGCGATGTTTTCGGGTGTTCTCGAAGTTCTAACAAGGCCTGGTGGTTTCTTTCTTGTTATATTCCCAGTCGTTCGGAACCCTGAAACCCATCTTAATAACGTATTTTGGCTTGAAACCGTTCCATGGCGTTCAATTTTAAAATTTCGACTGAATTCCCGCTGGATTTAACGAAGGATTCACCATTTTGGACCAAAGTATCGTATGCGAAAACACGATGGTCTAGGGTCCACTGAGCCATTTCAACAAAAATGGCAAGCCTCACTGAAGGTAATAACATAACCTCAATCTTCCTACTACGTGAGGCAACAATGGAACAGCTGTTTAAAAAACGTCCGGTTCCTTTGTGTCACCCTGTACATTTATATTACTTAGTTAGATTGGATTATAATATCAAGTTTTATGATATCAGATAGTGTTTATGCTTTTATGGAACAAAGAGTTACGTTTAATGTACAGGCTATTTTACATTTAATAAAAAAATGTGTTAATAGTTGAAGTTGTCAGTGCAAAAACTGACAGTTTTATCATTCATAGAAATAAACATCAGTATGTACATACTCTAAAAAAGCGACTTGGTAAAGTAAAACTAATAATAGAATAAAACCCTGTATGGATCATAACATAAACAAATAACGTTGTTGGCCCGAATTCTATACTAATAGCGTTAACATATGTTTTGGCAGTTCCACTTAAGCAATGTTAAATAATGTGATTTTTCAGGCGAAACATGACATTTGTTTACTTTTATGATCCATACCGGTTTTTTTCAAGTATTTGTGTTGATTACTCTGGAGTTTATGGACAAAATGAAATAAAACTTTTGTTTAGTAGACAAATTATTCATTTTAGGGAGACTATGAAATAAACATGGATTTGGAGCACAGTGTCATGTCGAGACTGGAGCCTGCACTCAAAGGAAACTATCGAGCTTTACTGAAAATGATGAAGAATGACGAGACGATTGTCTGCTATAATATAAAATTCAAACTAAGTAGTTGAGTTGTAAATCGATTGCCAATCAAATAATATGTTCTGTAGATTAAAAATGATTCACAAGTATTATGCCAAAAGTAAGTGCACTTGTTCCTTACCTTAGAAATTGTGAGAGTAACCAGAGAACAGAAACTAATAGGTTGGAAAAATTTCTAAAACTCTACAAAATTAAATAGTTATTACTAAAAGCTGTTACTAGTGTACATGTTGCTTGAAATCAAGCAATTGCAAAGAAGTAAAGTAGTTATTTAAAAACAAATAACTATTTAAAAACTAATAAAAGGCATAATTTCCGATGAGTTTAAAATACTCAACTCATAGATTACGTGCCTAACAGTTCCATATAATCAACATTTCTTGTAAATATTTTATCATTTTTCAAAAGCTGATCTGGTTTTTTAGTGTATTCTACAAATGTTTTCCACTTATAGCCATCCAGAATTGAAAAGCCTAATGTTGTTCAGTTGGTTTTTTGTTTCCCTTTAAATGTGAATACTGCAAATCCTTCAATGAAAGTTTTACTAAGGTTTCTTGGATGTAGTCATATTATTTTTAAATCACTTGTCTTTTATGAAAACATATATTTAATATCCTTGCGGTACCAGTTTAATTCAGCCTTAGAGTGTTTTCCTTTGCCAATCATCATAAAGTTAAGTCCGTGTTTACTAAAAAATAGTAACACATCGGCTAACATCCTTGTTCATTGTTTGTGGACATCTTCATATTGTAGGTGTTCTTCATTATATGGGAGGTAAAATATATCAAATTGCCCAGGCTTCCTCAATATTTTACATTGTAAATTAAAGTAGTAGATATTTAATTTCAACAAAATCAGTAAATGTACCCAATGCGTTTTGTTGAATTGAAAAATAAATAACGGCAATTAAATTATACAGCTGAACAAAATGTAAACAATTAAGTTCTTCATAAGGATAACATGGGAACTTTAAAAGCCACTGGGGCAGAACCCAAGGGACTTTTTCAAAAATGTAAGGCCAGTTTGCAAATCTACGCGACACGCTTTTTCCAATGAGATGTCAATGGATAAAATCGGCTAATGGTGGAGGAGTTCAACCGACAAAGTTTCATGTAGCGTATTAATTATATAGATTTATATGCAATCTACTATTAATTGTTGGTACATCACAAATAAATTTTTAAAAGAATAGGTTTTTAGAAAGTGTTTAGAGAATACAAAATGTGTACACAAATATTTGGATTAACGAAATTTATCTTTTAGTGATATATTTTGGGTCGCACACCATCTGTATCTGTAATTTACATTTGAATAATTGTAATCTTTGACACTATTCAAATGCTGTATTATGTATACTTCTCAATGAATAAAGAAATTGAAAATTGAAATTGAAAATCAAATCCAAAGTTTCACAGGAGCAAAAAAAACATCCCGTTTAATCGCGGTTGTAAACTTATTTTCATCCCGGACTCTGGTCAAACGCCTAACCACAACTGCTGCATCAGTTTAACTTGGGGACGGCCAGGGGTGAAGGGGAAGGCGTAAGGTTTATTGTAGATCCATTTACGTCCTTGGCCTTATCTCTTAGTTGCTGTACCTATTCTTAAAATATAAAAAATAAATATGTGTCATCCCAGGTTCAAGAACTTAAATGTTATTAATTTTAATAAAGTATTAATAGTGTTAAAAATATACAACACTGAAACTTACACAACTGGAAACACAATAACAAACTGGTAACACTACAGAGATAAAAATATCCGCCCGACCATTAACCTGAAAAGTACAAAATACCCTCATCTGTCAAACGGCCCAAATTCCAACATCCCAACAAGAAATAAAACAACGGAGAAAGAAAGACCTTCCGTCGGGACTCCCCGTGTGTCCGACGTTGCATTGTTTGTTCGCTTAACACTTCTGAAGTTGCTAAACAAGCTGGTGAAACGCATAAAGGTGACACAATCATCTTTTTTAAGAAAACAGGCAAAAACAACAAAGGTAATATATTCTTAAATAACTTTTAAATAAACATTGCAAACATGGTCATGAAAGTGACTCGTCTTAAATCGACATGAATAACGACTTGACAGTCCTTACAGAGAATTTGAAAGAAATCCCATTCAATGATATTTCTCCTACTGGTGATTCCAACACACCTTGATGGAAGTAAAAAAGAAAACTGGTCACATTCAAAATCAATATTTCTAATAATAATATATTTATTTAATTATATCACATTTAAAATAACAATAGAAAAACAATTACTGTACAGATTGCCTAAATATTACGTAAGCAAATTCCTTGAAGTAGTTCTCACTTTGATGCAAAGGTATAAATAAAGAGGTGAACTTAAAGCGGCTAATGCTAACGTCTATGTATATAGCATTGTCAAAACACAAAATATTTTTGTGCAAGGATGAGCATAGTAATCAAATATAATTCACAGAAAAAAATACAAGATGACTCACACAATGCTATAACAGTTACACGTATTTCATTCTTTAATCACTTTTTCCTATAAACAAAAGTGCATTTGGAAGACCGAAAATTCAAACACTTCACAGAGCAATAGTTAGTTATAGAAAGTAAAATAAAACTATTTAAACGCAAAATAAAAAGTCCTCTCACTTCTTACTTCAATTTTATAGAAAGTTGAAACTAAAAGCCAAGGAATTAGTGTACATAAAGTTTCATTCAGTTTAAATCACAATATTGATCTAAATTTAATTATTGAGATTCTGTTTCCATACATATAAAAGCTTTTGCGTAATTCAGGTTATACATTTTTATGAACAAATATATTTTTGACTTAATTATCAACAACTGATTACTCATACTAATTATACAAAACTAATTAGACTTTCTGTATAACTTCTTGATCAGCATTGTACGTGTTATTAAATTTACGGAAAGTAAATAAAGATACGTCTTATAACACTTAAAACATATATTTACGCTTATACTGTTACTCACAAGACGGTAAGTATACAAAAGATAGTAAGTGGTGATCGATTTCGATTGGACACTCCAATCATCATCAGACCCAATAGGCGAATGTTCGATGATTCGCCTATTGGATCTGATGATGATTGGAGTGTCCAATCGAAATCGATCACCACTTACTATCTTTTGTATATTTACCGTCTTGTGAGTAACAGTATAAGCGTAAATATATGTTTTAAGTGTTATAAGACATATCTTTATTTACTTTCTGTATAAAAAAGTAAAATATGATTACGGGGTGGATATAAAAGTTAAACATAACAGACAAAAAAGCACTATTTGATTATAGTAGTTAACACTTTAGCTAGGTTAAATATTATTTTAACTCTAGGTCACCATAAGTACAACATTATTTGGAAGAAATATTACAGTACAACCCCACATAACCGGCCACCACGGGACCAAGCATCCGGCTGGATCACGATTTGGCCAGATAAACCAACCTATTGTTACCTAATACTAATGTGTTATCAGTAAAATTACGATTTGTGAAAATAAGATTCTGAGTAACATATTTGGACCAATTCAAGCTGAAGAAGGCTGGAGAATGGGGAAAAATAGAGAATTGAGGGATATGTATCACCATCCAGATGTTGTAGCAAGGATAACAAGACGGAGACTAAGATGGGCAGGACATTTTGTGTGGAGAAGATAAAATTCATCGATGATAAAAGCTATGGACCAGAATAACCCAGAAGGCAGGAGACCAGCTCGACAGGCCGAGACTTCGGCAGAGGAGCCAGGTGCTGAAGAATATAGCTAAAACAGAAGAATATAGCACGTTGGGCACTACACCTGAGGCAGTCAAGAATAGAGAAGAGTGGACAGGCATCATTGGCGAGGCTAAAAACCTTCTTAGGTTTCAATGGCCAAAGAGGTAAGGTAAGTAAGTAATCAATAAATAAAGTCAAAAGTATTGTTCAATTCACAATTGGGAATATTTTTGTAAAACTATCTTCTCAAAGTAATACACATATTATGGTTCCAACTAACAAGAATTAATATTAAATAATTTTGGAGGTAAAAATGATTCACAACGAATTGACCTTGAAGATCATTAGGCTTAAAATTAGTTCATACTTTTCTGCTCAAATTTCTTATAAATTTTTGTTCATATGAAATAAAACAATTAATACACTGTACTCACTCCACACTGGAAACAATCAACCATGTTCAGGGGTTAGGCCTAGCTGAACTGAGTTGTGGTTTGTGAAACAGTACAATGTAAACAGACAGATAAATCGTGTGAACATTCAAATCGGGAAGACTAGTGCTTGCAACAAAGCATCAGTAAACCGTGAGGAAAACATTGACAAAAACAGTAAAACCAGGGCCGGATAAACCGAGGACCGGTCAAACCGGGGCCGGATATCAGGGATTTTACTGTACTTGAATCGAGCAAAGTTCAGTGATTTCTTTGGATTTAAATGTGTACAGAAAATCCAATTTGACCTCATTAGCAAAACACTCAATATGATCAAAGAAGACTAAACTTACTATTAAGGTGTACTTCTTACTGAGGATTTTGCTATCAAAAACTTTACTTTGATAACAATACAAAGAGATTTGAACAGGTTAACAAGGAGAATTTGCTATCACGACCCTTCTTATCTAGGTTCTAAAGTCACCGAATAATAACTATATCTACTGCTGACAGAATCACAATATCTTATCCTCAAGGTGATTTAACAAAAAGGTTCGGCAGTGTTTCAGATCCGGCTTTTTCAAACATAAATGTTAATTGAATATGTAAAAACAAATCACTGGTAAATAAATGATAAATATCACACTCATGTTTTGAGTATGGAAAAATGCAGCATAAATAAAAACAATTTAATAATAAGGATAAAAATTATATATATGAAATTAAATGTTAAAAAGCGCAATACTTTCCGAACACGGCAATCCGATGTTCAACAAATTCTAAACTTACTACAAAATTATTGAGCGAAAACAATGATTTCAACTTCAATCTTACGGACTTTGTAAATATTACATACAATAAGTCAATCCCATTTCACTCGATTGGTGTTAAAATCACTTTGACCGTTGCTCCTATGCTAAAGCAAGTTAACAACTAGAAGCTTTTACAAGTTATACTTGTACAGAAGCTACAAATATATAAAATTCTGCAAGATATCTCGCAAGATACATTACTAAATAACATAACAATATACAAACATTTAATCTAGACAGTCCAAATAGTAAATGTAGCTGGTTAACTCCAAAAGGGTACTGGATCAAAGAATCTCGTTCTTTTGTACATCCTCACACTCGACCTTGGGAATATTATCAAAACCAAATTCAAAAGCCTAATCATCAGCAAAAGTTTTTAAATCTTAAAATCCAAAACCATGTAAAAACAAACAGTTTTATTATTTAAATAAATCTTTACGATATTTTATTTTCAAACGTCTTCAAAGTCGAGTCAAGATATTCAACTTTTGCACAAACCCTGAGAAAATAATCCGATAAACATATGAATAAAACTTTAATAAATTCTTAAAAATAAACAATAAACTTTGAAAAGTATAAATGCCACAACAAATAACAGAACAGATAAACCCGAGCGAATATACTTACAAAAACGAGAAGAGTCCTCGACGTAAAACTAAAATTAATGTGGTGTAGTTATACTTATTAGAATAAATTAATATCTTTCTTTATACAATAAACTATTTACACTAAACCTAATAATTTACTCAGTGGCGAAAGGAACAGCGTAATATCAAAAGAAGTTTGTAAATCTATTGTCGCGAGTTGAGTATTTACACTGGATTAGTGGAATGTGACTAGATTACTGAAGGCAAGCTTGAATCTTCTCGATCCATTCTTGAGCGGTGATTGCGTCGCTGGCACAGAAGTTGTAAGTCCTCCTACTGGTTCTCAACTGAAACAAAAATGCTATATAAGATAAATAGTTATTTGTGTAACTAGTGAGCAAAGTGACACTTTGCTGCACACGAGAGCAACAGGCTCGTGCGGAATGATCTGCACTCGTGTTACACATTATATTTTTCCTACAGTCACTAAACACTATAAAGCATCTATACTTATACACGCAAGCAGGATTTTTGTGACAATTACTCCTCCAAAACTACTGAACCGATTGACATGTTTTTTGTGTCATTGGAAAGAGCGCAACGTGAAGTTGTGCAGGAAACTTTCTTTTTAGGTAAATAATTAGGAGTGAGGCCCTGGCCCTTTAAAGTTTCATATTTCTCAAATAAGATTAACATGGGAATCAAACATTGTTTTGAAACTTCTGTTGTCAGAAATTAAATCTATATAATTAATACGCTACATGAAACTTTGTTGGTTTAACTCCTCCACCATTTCTTAACCGATTTTATCCATTGACGTCTCATTGGAAAGAGCGTGTCGAGTAGATTTGCAAACTGGCCTTACATTTTTGAAAAAGTCCCTTGGGCTCTGCCCCAGTGGCTTTGAAAGTTCCCATGTTATCCTTATGAAAAACATAATTGTTTACATTTTGATCAGCTGTATAATTTAATTGCTGTTATTTATTTTTCAATTCAATGAAACGCATTGAGTACATTTATTTACTATTTGAGTTTGTGTAAACATAACCCCCAAGACGGAACGTGTTAGTATGGTTGTATCTTAAATTTGCGTATTTATCGTTAATTTGTGTCGCTATGACGGATCGTGTTAGTATGATTGTAACTTGCATTTGTGTATTTATCGTTGTTTTATGTAGTTATAATTTGTTTATTTGTTGTTTTTTTTTTCTCTTTTAAATGCCTGCGACGCGACGACAACGAAACATAGACAGGAGGCTGTGCAGGAGGCGTAATCGTGCAGCTCTACAGAACAGACGAATATGTTAGTATGATTGTAACTTGCATTTGTGTATTTATCGTTGTTTTATATAGTTATAATTTGTTTATTTGTTGTTTTTTTTTTCTCTTTTAAATGCCCGCATACCTGAGGTTTGATGACAGCTTCAATGATCTTGCCAATTATAGGGACCAGAGAAATAGGACGATAATTTTTAATCTGTGATTTTTCCCCTTTTTTGAAAATTGGGATGACTCGAGAAATTTTTTGGGAGGTTGGGAAAACACCTTCTTTCAGACATAGGTTGATACAAAAGACAAGGGGCATTACTATTTCAAAGATAATGTGTTTAACAATATTGCTTGTGAGACCATACACATCTTTGCTTTTTGAGGATTTCATTTTTGACACTGCACTGAGCACATCATCACATGACACTTCATTCCACTCAAGTTGGGTGCTTGGTCTCTTCACTTGCTGCAGGAAGTGATCCGCAGGCAGGGGACTCACAGGAATGCTGGCTCGAACATCGTTTACGGAGTCGATGAAGAATCTATTGAAGTCCTCGGCAGAATGGTTGTTGCTGACCTCCTTCTTCTCTCCAGAAACTCGCCTTACTATCGTCCACGCTGCTTGGCATTTGTTTGCTGATCGCTCAATGAAGTCAGCGTTTGCGGCTAATTTTGCTCTGTTCGCAACGTTTTTATAGAGGTTTCTAAGTTCTTTGTAGGCACTGTACGAGGCATCAGTTCTAAGGTTCATGTAGACAGTACGATAAGCCATAACTGTTTCCTTAAGTTTCTTGAGGTCATCACTATACCAGGCCACTCCACTTTTAGGCCTATTGTCCTTACGTCCGGAAATCTTCTTTGCGGTTAGGTAACTAACCGGACAAGTTAAGTTGAAAATATCAATCAGCTTGTTAAAAAATAAATTGAAAGTCTCTTCAGCTGACTGATCGGCCGCACGGTTACTGTTCAGGATGTTAGGCCAGTTCACATTCCCCAGTTCAGCTTTAAAGTTGTTTAAGCACCTTGGGGAAAGACTGCGGTGCATAATTTCCTCAATATATGGTTTAGCAGCTTCTGATGCCGTTATTAGCCTCAACTCCAGGCCTTCGTGATCAGCTATGTCAGGGTGAACGATGTGTGTGGAGCAGGAGTTGATCGGGACATTTGTAAAAATATTGTCCAGACAAGCTTTTTTGCGAGTAGGCTTGTCATTTAAGTAAACACAATCAAATTGCCTGAGTAGGTTAAGTAATCTTCTAACACTAGGCTGATCTCGGGTAACATCAAATCTTGAGTTTACATCGCCACCAATAACAATATTCATCTTCAATTTACTCAGGTGGATCAGTAGTAGCTCCAGATTATTCAGAAATATAAGTTCATCCCCTGCAGGAGAGTGATATATACAAACAATTATGATTTTAGGATTATCTAAAACTATTCCCACACATTCAAAGCTTATTTCATGACAATAACATTCAATGTCCAACACTTGGAAGGTAGGCCTAGTAGGCTTGCTATTATTGGCGAATATTGCGACGCCACCTCTTATATGGGTTTTACGACAAAATATCGATGAAAGCTCATAACCCTCAACGATAACATAACCTGCCTCGTTTGGGTTCAACCAATGCTCGCTAAGGCAGAGAAAGTCATACTGATTACTCACAGCATGTAGGCCTAAGATGTTTTCCTTGGAATGTAACCCCTGCACATTAAGAAACAAGACATTAAGGTTATCATTTACTGGGTTTAGGCTATGTTTGCCCCAGTCTCGGCCGTGCGTTGAGAGTTTAAATTGCGCCTTGGTAGTTTGAATTCACTGATGAAAGTGTATGGTACATTATAAAAGCTGACAATCTTTTTACGTTGACTTAAATTGTAAGCTTACCTTTTCCCGTCCATGGGCTGTTTGATAGATAAAAATTAACCCTTTAAACTGGAATAGGACTGTTATGTAAATTGTGAGTATGTATTTCCATTAGTTAATAATCTTTTATTTGACTCTTTTAAAATCATCGGAAATTATGACTGTTATTAGTTTTTAAACAAGTCATTTGTTTATATGTAAATCCTGTAGGCCTACTTCTTTGCAATTGCTCGATCTCGAGCAACATGTACACTAGTATAAATAATTGAGTCTTTCAAACACTATACAACACGTTTTTAGGTTCAGCTGGCAACACAAATAGGTGCCCTAGAGAAAGTAGTCTCCGGTCCGTATCACTCCGCTATTTTTTCCTCGGCAAACAATGTACTCCGCGACTTGAGAAAATATTTCTGTATATTTTTGTAATTTGCAGTGGTTTCCGTGCCTAAAAAAAATGCTATAAAGGTATTTTCTTGTTTATTAAGATCGTAGGAATGTTTTAAAAACTTTTGAAAGAAAAGTCCAGAAAGTTCAGAAATACCGAAAAGAGAACATAAACTATAAACACGAAATGACAGGTTAAATTGTAGTTATAATAGTCAATCAGCTGCTCATAGTATTATTATCTTTAAGTGTTGCCAACCTATTTCCAAGCCTGCACGGATTACGTGCATAATAGAACCACGCTGTTTTGTGTTGTTTTGTTGGAATCCTGATGTGCACCAAAGTATAAACCGTACAACAAAGTATAAATATGCAGCAATTAGCAGCTTTCTGTACTATAAACAGTACAAGGATACCAACTTTGTCGGGTGACTGTAGGATAAGAGTATTAGATTGCAGGGGCTATAAGATACACAATACTGTAAGAATAAGAGGAGAATAAAAATAATTTAATCCATTGATCTTTTGACAAAGAAATTCAGCACGTCATATACATTACAAGATCATCATCTTAATACAATCAAATTTTTTATACATCATATACAAAATTAAGCATAATAACTTATTTTAATTAAATATATTTTTTTATTTATAATTTTGACTATACCTACCTTCTTAATAACTCACAGGCCAGTGGCCACCATATTGGGCCTTAAGAAAATTCTCTCTTAGATGAAAATGCTGTAAGTGACAGTGAAATATTGTAATGTTTTGTGTAAATAGTATAAGTTGTGTGTATCCTGTGTCAGTTTGGACTCTTTCCCATTCAGGCAAGCCTGCTATCCTTACAAAAAATCCTAAAAACGTAGGCCCTTGTGCTATATGTTACATCTCTACGAAGTTAAACAAACGGAATGACTTTTAGCTATAGCAACTGTTATGACCCATCAAATTGGTCAGCAACAAAAAATATCAAATAAGGTAGAAAATAAAATTTTAGACACTGGTGCATACTGTACATGCACAGTGTGAGCCATGGCTCATACAACTACGTTATTTTTTAATAAACAATTGACAACAGCTGGTCCGTATAACTGGGATGTCTACTTCAGTATCCAATAGTCAATGATTTTACTAACTAAATCCTCTGTAGAGTACTTACATCGAAGAAAGACTTATCGTCTGTTTTCTTTGGAGGCCCAGGCATTGGAGGCGCCTGACTTACCGACATCACTTCAGCCAGGTCTAAAACACACAATATAACTTTAGGGCGGCTACCGGTAACTATTATTAATATACAAGATTTTACCTTAAGTAAATAGAAAATTATTTCAATAATCCATTTCTGTTAAAAACAAATTTCTGGCACAGCAAAACCTCACTAACTCGTCATCCAGTAACTCAACAGTCTGGGTAACGGTTAACAACTGAAAGGGTAAACAAAAAAAAGCAAGATTTTCAGAATAAAATTGTTGAATATTCGACATTTCTTTGAAGATCGTTAACTAAATATGTAAAATACTCATCTTAGTAATAAATTTATATATAAAAATTATCTGAATAAAAGATGGGACATTTGCCAGGAATTGTTTAGAAAATTGACAGGAAAGCAGGCTTATCTATAAACTAGCTGTAACCCGCGGGCTTTGCCCCGTTTATCTTCTTAATTTTCAAGATTATCTCGTTCGCATGGCTCAATCACGTCCTGGTTGAAGTTTGTTCGCTACGCTCACTCACCTTTAGGTTGGAGCTCGTTCGCTACGCTCACTCACCTTTAGGTTGGAGCTCGTTCGCTACGCTCACTCACCTTTAGGTTGGAGCTCGTTCGCTGCGCTCACTTGCCTTCAGGATAGCTCGTTCGCTACGCTAACTCGCCTCCAGGTTGAAGTTCGTTCACTACGCTCACTCACCTTTTGGTTGCAAATTAGCTGTTGTCATAAATGTAAAAGAAATAATAGTGCTGCACCCTGTTGGTAATTTTTGTGACTTTAATGCTATTGAACATCACAGAACAGAACCAACTTGTTTAATTGAAACAGCTGTTAAGATTCAATAATTTCATTTCTCATAAGGTTAACATGGGAAACTCCAGAGCCACTGGGGCGGAGCCCGAAAGGATTTTTGAAATAAGAATATGCCTATATGTTAATCGGGAATGTGAGCTATCATCATGCCAAATTTCAGCCCAATCCGACCAGTATTTTTCGCGTTCACTTGTCACAAACATACATCCATACATCCATACATCCATCCATCCAAACTTTCTCATTTATAATATTAGTAGGATAAGTCCATAGAAACAGTGATGTTTATGTCTCTATGGCTTTATTTAAAGGCAAGCCTGCATTCCTGTAAATTTCCTAAACAATATGCAAATTATGGCAATATGTAAATTGCCTAAACAAATGTAAATGTTTTGGGTAACTCCATGACCCCCCAACTAGACAACCTCTGGGTCCCGAGTTAGTGAGGTTTTACTATAGCTGCTTACTGTATATACTGTAGTAAAAACAAATATTATGTGTTAAAAGATTGGCTTACCAATAAACCCCTTGCAATGCGAGTCCTCCATGGCATCGTAATACCTCAACTGATGTTTGATTGAGTCGAGGACAAACCATCGCTGCTTCCACCCCTTAAGCAAAGCCCCTCGTTTGTACAGGTACCCTTCGTGGGTTCGGTTCTCTGCTACATTAGACGAGAACTCTTGGTACTGCTGGAAAAACTGCTGGTTGGTTGACTGCATATTGACACCTGCGTGAGACAAGAGTGAATTAAGAATGTGTCAAATCTCAATTTTAACTATTAAAGGTATAAAATTACCTGAATACTGCCAGAGTGATCCTATGTAATCCTTAAGGATGACACGTTTCGAGGACTATATCCTCATCTTCAGATCTTGCAAAAGAACAACTATAAAAAAAACTGTCACTTCAAAAAGGTTGCCAAGAGTTTATATAAGGGACATGGACACATACTATAGTATATACAGGGTGTATACTATTTTATTAAAGTGAAATTCCAGGTTTTTTCCAGGTTTTTTCCTGGTTTTTCAAAGTTTTTCCAGGTTCCCGCGTATTTGTTTGGTTCCACTTAAACTATAATCAATTTAAGACTTGCAGCCTAAGTATACAATATAAACTTACATTAAATTTGTTTCAAAGTCCAGTGAGCTAGTGTTGAAAAAGTAATAATCCATATTATAGTAATAATTTTCATTATCATCATTACTTAAGTCCACGGAAACATCGTCTCTCTCGATAGCAGCAAAATCATGAATATTATCTTTATTTTTTATTAACACATTATCAACGGCGGCTAAATCCTGAATATTTCCTGCGGTCGTGTGGTCGCTTCCCACGGTGACGTAAACGTCATCACAGTCTTACGTTACCATAGAAAAGTCCTGGACATCTCCCGCGGTATGTATACATTATCGCCATCTCTCGCGATCACGAAAACGTAATCATCGTCATCCATAATCGCGGCAAAGTCACGAAAATCTTCCGCGGCCGTGTGGACATCATCATTGACTCCCACGGTCACGTAAACGTCATCGTCATCGACCGCGATCACGGCGAAATAACGAAAATGTTCCGAGGCCGTGTAGACACCATTATTGACTCCCACGGTCACGGGAACGTCATCGTTGTCGTGCGCGATCTCGGCAAAATCATGAATGTTTCCCGCGGCAGTGTAAACATCATCGTTGATCCTGCGGTCACGTAAACGTCATCGTCGTTGTCCGCGATCGCGGCTAAATCATGAACATCTGCGGCCGTGTAGACAAAATCAACGTCGTCTTTCGCGGTCACGGCAAATCACGAATATCTTCCGCGGCCGTGTGAACATCATCATAGCCTCCCACAGTCACGGAAACGTCATCGTCGTCATCGTCCGCGATCTCGGCAAAATCATGATTTCCCGCGGCCGTGTCTACATCATCGTCTCCCGCGGTCACGGAAACGTCATCGTCGTCGGCCGCAATCACGACAAAATCATGAGCATATCACGCGACCATGTAGAAATCATCATCGTCGTCTTTCGCGGTCACGGCAAAATATCGAAAATGTTCCGAGGCCGTGTAGACACCATTATTGACTCCCACGGTCACGGGAACGTCATCGTTGTCGTGCGCGATCTCGGCAAAATCATAAACATCTGCGGCCGTGTAGACATAATCATCGTCGTCTCCCGCGGTCACGGAAACGTCATCGTCGTCGTCCGCGGTCACGGAAACGTCATCGTCGTCTCCCGCGGTCACGGAAACGTCATCGTCTACTCCCGCGGTCACGGAAACGTCATCGTAGTCTCCAACGGTCACGGAAACGTCATCGTCGTCTCCCGCGGTCACGGAATGTCATCATCGTCTCCCGCGGTCACGGAAACGTCATCGTCGTCTCCCGCGGTCACGGAATGTCATCATCGTCTCCCGCGGTCACGGAAACGTCATCGTCGTCTCCCGCGGTCACGGAAACGTCATCGTCGTCTCCCGCGGTCACGGAAACGTCATCGTCTACTCCCGCGGTCACGGAATGTCATCGTCGTCTCCCGCGGTCACGGAAACGTCATCGTCGTAGGTCGCAATCGCGGCAAAATCATGAGTATTTCACGCGGCCGTGTAGAAATCATCATCGTCATCTTTCGCGGTCACGGCAAATCATGAAAATCTTCCACGGCCGTGTAGACATCATCATTGACTCCAGCGGTTAGGGAAACGTAATCGTCGAAGTAACTTACGCGATCGCGGTAAAATCATGAATATTTACCGCAGCCATGTAAACATCATCGTCGTCTCCCGCGGTCACGGAAACGTCATCGTCGTCGTCCGCGGTCACGGAAACGTCATCGTCGTCTCCCGCGGTCACGGAAACGTCATCGTCTACTCCCGCGGTCACGGAAACGTCATCGTAGTCTCCAACGGTCACGGAAACGTCATCGTCGTCTCCCGCGGTCACGGAATGTCATCATCGTCTCCCGCGGTCACGGAAACGTCATCGTCGTCTCCCGCGGTCACGGAATGTCATCATCGTCTCCCGCGGTCACGGAAACGTCATCGTCGTCTCCCGCGGTCACGGAAACGTCATCGTCTACTCCCGCGGTCACGGAATGTCATCGTCGTCTCCCGCGGTCACGGAAACGTCATCGTCGTAGGTCGCAATCGCGGCAAAATCATGAGTATTTCACGCGGCCGTGTAGAAATCATCATCGTCATCTTTCGTGGTCACGGCAAATCATGAAAATCTTCCACGGCCGTGTAGACATCATCATTGACTCCAGCGGTTAGGGAAACGTAATTGTCGAAGTAACTTACGCGATCGCGGTAAAATCATGAATATTTACCGCAGCCATGTAAACATCATCGTCGTCTCCCGCGGTCACGAAAACGTCATCGTCGTCGCCCGCAACCGCGGCAAGACGCATTTTACGACTACAATCTTCTACCGGGGCTAAAATAAAAATCCCGGCTTTTTCCCGGTTCTTTCCAGGTCCCTTCAAATTCAAGGTTATTTCCCGGTTCTCCCGGTTTTCCCGGTTGGTATACACCCTGTATATACATACGGAGACATTTACACAATACAAAATAAGTATATGCCTACAAAACAAAATTTTATACTATCCGACTGAAAGCGCACAGTCACAGGTTAAAGATCCTTCACTGAAAGAAACATTGACACACTCACTTACGGGTGGTGCTAGACCGGAGGGAACCTGTTCATTTGATCAAATCGCTTCATTTTACAGTTCTCACGTAAATTGTAACGAGTACTCGAGATTACTTACTAGAACTGACAGATCCATTGTCGCCGCCACTCCTGGTGAGGGTTGCGTTTGAGAGTGTCGAGTCCGCTACAGCCTTATATTTGGTGCAATTCTTAGGCACTGTTTCCATACACTTTTCATGGCAGTTGTACCCGCAATCCACACATCTGAATCCCATCTGTGAACATAACCAATTTTTTATGTAGATCATTATACAAGCAAAATTATATCAATAGCAAAATGAAAAATTTACAAAAAAAACTCTTTTGAATATGATACTAGCAAGTAAAATGAAATTGGAGAAGAAGATTCAATGTAGTTACAGATTTAGGTAACATTGTAGCTGTTGTCATTAGGGGTCTGGGGTCAGTGGCATACCGACGGGGGGCGGCCCGCCCCAGGCCCCACACCAACATAGGCGCCCAAATCAGGGCCATATTCCCCTAACTTCGAACACGGCCATTGCCGAGGGTCTCTTGGCCTAGGAAGGGCCTTACTTGGGTCTTAAAAATTGGAAAATAAATTTTGCAGTTGAATATAATAATCTGTTCTTACAATCACCGGAAGCATCTGCAAAGATTGCACGATCAAAAATCACGACTCCCAGCGATCGCGGGTGAGGATAAACAGGTCTCGCAACCGCAAAAGATGTTCCGTGTTCACGATTTCGCCGTGATTGCGGGGGATGACAATGTTGTCCACACGTTCGCCGGAGACGTTAACGATTTCGGCATGTAGAATATTTCCCTGCGTCCGCGAAAGATGTTCACTATTCCACTGTAAACATAGGACATGTTTACGATTGCTCTGCGGTCTCGGAGATAACCCGCGCGACCCACAAACACGGACGCTCACGATTTCGTCTTCACCGAGGACAATATCGTTCTTTTTTGCCCCGATAACAGAAGTCGTTTGGACCAATTATAGTAAAATATAATGTATAATATAAAGATTGGCTAATATAGTTAGTTATACTAGTGTCCCTGTTGCTCGAATTCGAGCAATTGCTGAGTATTACAGGCGTTATTTTAAAACAAATAACAGTCATAACTTCTGATTACTTTAAAAGATTCGACTCAAAGAGTATGAAAATACTCAAGATGTACATAACAGATAAATATAATCAACATTTCTTGTAAATATCTTATCATTTTTCAAAAGCTGATCTTGTTTTTTAGTGTTTTTTACAAATAATAGCCTTGCTCATAGCCACATTGGGTTGTCCATATCCGATTATAAAAAAAAAAAACATTATTTCTATTTCTTCTCCTTGGTGGTGTTCTATGACTTTCCTATGTTTCCATAGTTTGCAAATCGGCTCTTTAAATGATTACTAAGAAATGCAGCACAGTGTTAATTAATTTTTTTTAGTATATAAATCTATCCAGGCTCTCTCGCTTTTTCCATTGTAATATTTACGCCAACCCAAATTCAAATAGTAAATATTTCATTTCAACCAAGTCAGTAATGTTTGTAGCAAACTGTTAAATTGGCAATCTTATTTACTGTTTACAATTAACATATGTTCTTCTTCACACTTTTAATTTCTAACAACAGCTGGAGTTTCATAACAATTTTTGTTTCCCATGGGGAGCTGAACCGAAAATTTTTAAATTTTTATAAAATTTTTTTTATTTTAGTATTAGATTCTTTGTTTTATTCTGAAAAAGAAAATATATATATATTAATAGGTATCTATATATATTATATATATTAATGATGGAAATTCTGGAAGACTGCGTACCCTAAAGAAGTTGGGATTAAAAGACTTAAGTAGTGTAATCCATATTATAATCCATATATATAATATATATATGTATATATATATATTATATTATATTTATATAATTATTTAATTTATATAATAATAATAATGAAGAAAAGACAGCAACTTCTAGCTGAAGAAGAAATTAACAATGATTATTACTGTCCTGGAGGCTTTTAAAATGTGAGTAGACCTAGTAAGGCTTTATGTCATCTTTGTTCGCGATTTTCCGAAAACTTGCTTTTTTAATGATAAAGGTACATTTTTCTCAAGAAGTAATAAAGATATCTTGATGACATTTTTACCAAGTGTACCTTACATCACTGCAAATATGTGGAACTAGAATTATCACCATAGGATCAATAGCAAAAATTACAAAAATTAAAAAAAAATATTTTTTGTCTAAAAAAATATAATTTTTCTAAAATATAAAAAAATGAAATTTGTTACCATAGAAACATAATTCTAGTTCAACACACTCTTGAAGCACATATATTAACTGTCTAAAATTTCTAAAGCTGTAGGTTAAATAGTTTCTGAGAAAAATGTACCTAAACTTGGACAATTTAACATGGGCACTTATGGGCGGTTCAGCTCCCCAGCTCTTATGGAGAGATACAAAACTTTAAAGGGCCCCAGGGCCTCACTCTCTAATTATTTCCCTAAAAAGAAAGTTTCCTGCACAACTTCATGTTACGCTCTTTCCAGTGACACCAAAAACATGCCAATCGGTTCAGTCGTTTCGGAGGAGTAATTGTCACAAAAAACCTGCTTGCGTATTAAATAAGTATAGATAATGTATTTTATACAAAAATAGTAGGCCTATCACCTAATAAAAAAAATTGAAAGAAGTGTCAGAAAAAACCTGATTTGTGTTACTTCTTGGATTGCTCGTGCTTATTTCGAATCTCCAACTCATAAAAACTTAAAAATGTTAAAAACTTAAAGAAAACTTAATTTAGCATCATTAAATTTTTCTCAAATACAAAAATAGATTATATTTTAAATAGTTAAAGTACCTAGGCTCATTTTAATCAGTGATACAAAATACATTAAAAGCGTATATTTCTTTTAGTTATAATCACTGTTTAGGGTTACTTTTTTAATAAACACCATGGTACCCTGCTTAAAATCATTTTAAACATGGTAGGCCTACTATGGTACTTATTATTTCACTTGTAATGTATGTAAAAAAGGCCCTCTCATCCAAGCCGCCCCAGGTTCCCAACAATGACAGTACGCCACTGTCTGGGGTACAGAAAATATAAGGTCGGTAAGGTTCAGTGCTGTACAATATTTTGTACCTTGGTTCTCGGTACAAAATCAGTACAGTACGCGGCCACCATTTTGTGGATTTCTTCTCAGAATTGTATTGAAACCATTATTTAAAATTTTAATACACTCATATTCATATTCAAACATCTTTATTCATCATAAATCATGTAGGCTACATTGGTGGTACAGTGAATAGTGTCAGAATATACTTAAAATAAAAATACTATATCTATGTATGGGAGGTGGAAAACTCCTGAAAAGAATATAATGCTAAATTTATTAAATAATCTTTTGATAGGTTTGTTTCTTTTTTTATCAATTCAGGGACAAATTTTTGAAACTCGTTACCAGCGTATGAGGGTTTTTTCAAAAAATTTTAATTTGTGAGGCTGGACAAGCTCTCTTCTCCTCCTGAAATTATAAGAATGTACTAAATTTATTACTTGCTCAGATTCACTTTTTTTTGCAATAAGAATTGTTTCCTAAATATATTGCCCATAAACTGTAAAAATTTGTAATTTCTTAAACTGTTCTTTTGCCAAATCATCTCGTTTAAGCTTAAGCATAAAATTCTGATAGCCTCTTTTTGCCGCTTCAGAATGCTATCCATATTAAATTTATTTGGTAACCCATATAATGCTAAACCGAATGAAAGATGAGAGTGGATGTCTCTCATTAAAAAGGATTAAAGAGGCTCTACTGTATCTGGATTCACATTTTCTTCGATCTGCCCATCACTAAGAAAAACTAATGCAAACAACAACACTTGTGGTTTTGTCAATAGAAACATATCCATAACAACAAATATTTTATCTTAATAAAATTACAATTATAGATTAGTTAAAAGTTTAATATGAAAACATAAACAGTTATATAGCAGTAGGCAATGACCAGTGGCAAATTGAAAATTCAAGAATCGGATAGGACTTAGATATGAAATTTAACAGTCATTATAAAACTATTACTTTTATGATAAAATAGAATTGGAGTATCATGATAATTATTATGCTGGTAATAAATGAAAGTCGTAAAGGAAAACTCAAAAGAGTTCTTGAGTACAACAATTATTGTCGTTATAAAACATTGTTATAATTATTGTTGTTAACTAAGGTATTTGGGACTATTAATGAGGATTTTATTGCATCAATAACCTAGTAAAAAATTATGAATATCGTAAACAAACATCTGATAAGCCTTTTATGTGCTTGGAACCAACTACCATTGACTATGATAGTAAACCGGAAGTAATATATTACTATAGATTTTCGGTGCGGCAGACCCCTAGTTGTCATCAACAATTTTTATTCAATAGATTGAATAAACTAACTAAAAACTGAAGTAGATAATGAACTAAACTAGAAAATTGAGCAAATCCTAGGATTTCAAAAAAAATACATACTTTAACAGGTACCCAAAGTCGATTCGTGCAGAGGTCACAGTGTGTTGGTGTTGTAAAATTGTGCTTTTCAAAACGATGTGGGTGAGAGTAGGCGGGGGCAGCGAGGGTCTCCTGTCTTGCCTCCATCTTGCCCCGCATCAGGATCTCTAGAGTAGAGCGCTTGTGTTGCAGTCGTCCATGAGACCTCACTAAAGCTGTGCTGAATGAAGCATGTCTCTGTAAATAACATTACATCATGTACAGTTGTGTTAGAGTATGCGGGGGCAGCGGGGTCTCCTGTCCCACCATCTTGCCCTGCATCAGGATCTCTAGAGTGGAGCGCTTGTGTTGCAGACGTCCATGAGACCTCACTAAATATGTGCTGAATGAAGCATGTCTCTGTAAATGACATTACATCACTACAGTTGTGTTAGAGTATGCGGGGTTTTCTGTACAGATCTAATTTTGCCCCGCATCAGGATCAATAGAGTTATATCCAATCTTTTAGTTTTCCTAAGTATCTCTCCCTCCTGTGGCAGGGGGGGAGAGAGAAGTTCTGGTGAAGCTTAAGGAAATAAATTATCGGAAGATTGGGGCCAAGATTGAGTGATATTGAATTGATTGAATGCTTGAGCGTGCTGAACCTGCTACCAAACTAATTAACTTTGAAAACTGGAAGTGTTGCTGGGGACCAGAGGGACGGAGTTTTCCCTTGACCAGAAAACTTCCCTAGCCAGCTTTGATTTACACTAATTGATCTAATTGTCTAAAAAATATCCTTCCAAAACACTATAGAACTGAAATTGGTATATTGCTTGAATTGGCTAATATTACTGACTAAAGGAAAGTTGTTTGGAATTGAATTTACTGAATTGGCCGATTTTTCACAGCCCCGAGCTTAACAAATATTAATTCCTACTCTGTAATTTCGGTGCGGCCCTTGTGGGTTCACCAGTCCCCCCCTTAGTTAGCTAATTTAGCCGGGCATAATGTTATGCCTATTATTGCTAACTATTTATACGACTTATCCATTCTGAGAGTTGTGCAGCAGGGCTAAATTTACGAGTTGATTTGTTTGATGCCGGAGATGGAGCGAGTAATGGGAAAGAAAAGGAGGGGGGAGAGCGCTTTTTTTGTCGCTGCGGGCTGACAAGTTAACCCATTGGGGAAGGAATTAATGCACTGCCTGCAGGACCCTCGGGCAGCAATTAATTTTACCGAATTTGTAGACTTTTACTGTTAGTTTTATAGAAATAAAACCTTAGAGAATAAATTAATAATTCTTTTACCATTTTGTTCACAGTAAAATTGTCTACAAAAAATTGGTAATTTGATCAAGTGTAAAAAAAGTGTTTAAATTTTTGTAAAGTAAACTTGATATTACAGATTTGAAGATTAATCCAGACACCAAATGGCACTACTACTATAAAGTTGTACTATAAGTTATTCTGTTATAAAGTTCAGTTGTATGTAGGAAAATCACAAGCTTTTTCCCGCAGCTAATTTTGGCCTTTGGGTGATATCTGGTTTCCATGGCAACAAAACCTTGTTTTTTATTCGCAAAGATTAATGAGTAATGTGCAAAACAAGAAGCAAGATATTTATAAACATCATAAAATTAAGAAGAAACAAAATGGGGGAAATTAATAATAGCGCTGTTTGGTGACACAAGCGGCACTTGTAAGTCAGCCGCCGGGGCCTGCAGCGGCCGTACGAGTAACGCTCATAAGTCAGCAGCGCCAATGGGTTAAACATGCAGTCCGGTGTCGGGCTTGACGACACTATATAAAATAGCGTACCACTATGCATTAACTCCCAAGAGACTTAAAACAAAATTTTTTTCAAATCATCAAGTGTGACTGTTTATATTTTAAACAAACTTTAAGTGGGTGAGGAAAAAGGTTTTGTATGAAATTTTGTTTAATTAGTACAATTAGTTAATTAGTAGTAGTGTTTAATTTTGTAGTATAGTTCAGTAGATAGATACAAAATAAAAGATCACATTATATTTAACTGAATTTGATATTTCATCCTAGAATCATAATAATGTCAAAAGGTCAAAATATACCAGTAGCTTACCAGTTTCAAAACATTTTTTCCAGTTTTCACAACCCTAATAGTTCAGATTGACATTGACTAATCTACCTCTGAACATATCATCTTATCAAAATAGTTTACTCACCATTTTTATTACAATTACAGAAGTATATCTGCTAAGTGCTAACAAATGTTGTACTGATATAAAAAACAACACAGTTATGCCTTTACGGTTTCTAATTAGTCTTGTGTTAACATTAAAAAGGAAATACAGTGACGACAATTCCACTGAATCGCATGCAACATGTGTTTACAATTTCCATTAACAATGAGCTCAAATTAGATAACTAGCTGACCTTTCATGTGTAAATATAAAATGAGAATTTCTTGGATGAGCATTAAGCTTTGTGGCTAACTGTTTGGTACAGATATCAGAATTTTAAAAATGGAAACGAAACTAAGAATATAATTATTACTTTGCATTGTATCTAAGACCTACTGATAAAAAAAAACTCAAAACTGTAGTTACTGAGATAAAGCACTGAAGTGGTAGTTTGGTTTACACATTAAGATGTGGGTCCAGTTATATAAAACAACAAGATATGTAGTACTAGTATCTATCAATTTTATCTGATTATTGATGTTCGAGTACCAAACACTGGGCAATCTTTATCATTGTTCTTTGTGTGTATTTAAAATTTTATTGCAGTTGTGGAGAGTGATCATGATATTGCTCTGATTCTGAGGTAAACAGCATTAAATATTATTTATGTTGAAGCCTTCCGGAATTGGTAATCAATTATAACAGGTTACGTACCTTGACGTCCACAATTCCTCTGTCGAACTTCTGTTGACTAGTTTCGACTACTAAGTAGTCATTTTCTAAACAGAACTAAGTAGTCGAAACTAGTCAACAGAAGTTCGACAGAGGAATTGTGGAAGTCAAGGTACGTAACCTGTTATAATTAAATATAAGTTAATTTTAGAAATAATTTAAATTAAATGATGATGGGAATCGACATTCAAAGTGTATGTTGTCCTATATAGTATTTTCAAAAAAGTACTTGAATTGGAAAATAATTTGGGACTCTATATTTTAGGATTTGGGTTCAGATTCCATTCCTACTATTTTATCCTCGCCACATTACTCAGGATACAGTCGTTCCTCGTAACACAGAAAATGCTGAACTATGTAATAGTAAATATGTAAACAACTATGTATCATTGACTTCTTTTAGATTCTGAGGTTGAACATAGTTAAATAAGCACAGAGTGTGTAATTATAAAAACTATATTTTCTCTCTAATTTTGAAAGTTTTGATGTTTTGATGATTTATGACGTAAAAGATGTTATAGCTTATAGTAAATTGTTTCTAAAGTTTGGCTTGGTTTAATAAGTTAAAACCCTGATTAAAAAAGGGAGTGAGGTAGTTTTTATCTTAAAGCTACAACAGAATAACTGAAATATATTTCTGAAAATAATCAACAGTCATTCTCTGAACTTAATCTCTATCACAATATGAGATGTCTGCGTCTGTGTCGTCGTCTGTGCCTTTACATTACATCCCGTTGGTGAAACTGGGCCAACTATCTGTGCCAAACGGGGGTATGAAAATTCTCGTAGCCTTGCTAATTTCCCAATAGGTCCAAATTTCATTATGGTTTCAGAGAGAATGAGGTTAAAGATGTCTTATTGTTATTTACATCAACACCAATGCTCAATTCAACTATGTTTTACCTTCTAAAACTGGCTAAAAACTGAAACATGTGAATAGAATGTCAACTTCCAACAATAGTCTGGTGTATCTGCTAGAACATTACCGTGAGTGAGTCGGTAGTCGGCAATTCCAGTTTGTCCCACAACACCTTCCACTTCTGCGGCAGATGTCCCAGTTCTGTTTCAATGTGATGAATCTCTTCCAATAGATGACTGAAGGCATCCGGCACAAACCTTTCTATACAGTCGTACCTGGTAACAGTAAACATCTCCAGATAACAACTGTATACAAATCTAGTTAAATCTTACAAATAGGACAAGAAAAATTAATAGCACATTGACGTGATTCTTAAGTTGCCGCCATCACATAAGATAATCATGACTTGGTTGTGACTACGGGTGAAGATCAGGTTGTTACCGTGATCGTGGAAGATGATCGTGACTTCACCAAGATAGTGCGGGAAATGAACCCACTGAAATGTGAGGTTTTAGAATCGATTACAAAAATTAAGTAAACACTAGTGACAATCAATTTTTCTGTGGCTTTATATTGTTTTTCTTAAGAGGGAGGGAAAAATTTTTTTTGGATCCAGATTTGGATTTAGACTCACCCCAGTGTGACTTGTCTTCGGCTAGACTTGGCTGTTCCGTCAGTCGCCTCCAGCTCTTCCTCCTGTTGGCTATCCAGCTGAACGATCTCTATGTCATAGCTGGGGCCGTACCTCAGCTCCTCCTTCAAGTAGTACTGCCAGATCTCCAGGTTAGCCAAGTGTGACTGTGGCCTCAGAACCTGAATACAGTTTACAATTAGTAAATTTCTTAATTCATCTGTTTGATTAAGACAAGATTGTAAGAGACTAGAGCAAAATGGTATATTTTATCACTAGGGCCTAGAGTGGCTCTTTTCAACCCGAGATCAAGTTTTACGATCGAGGCCAAGCCAAAGTCAGAAAATAAGCGAGGGTTGAAAAGACACTTTTTGCCCAAGTGATGAACTATATTTTTCGTCATATTGCACCATTTGAATAAACAATGTTACAAAACTAAATAGTTTTCAGTTAAAGTAACCTCTCAAAACTACCTCTAACTTGTTTTCAATTTAATTTGATAATGGAAAAAAGCAGCTGTATAGTAAGTGATTCAATCGTTTTGTTCCGTATTCAAGCATCTACGCAACCTAGGTGAATCCAGACTTCATTCATATTTTGTTCTGACCCTTGCCCTGTCACGTGATGTCTGGCAATTCCCCCCATTCCTCATGTACTCTTCAACCCGGCATCATGTTCTCGCCATTTTCCCTAGTTTTGTATTATAATATTCCCCTACTCTATTTGTGGCATATAAATTGAACTTATATTATCGTATGTTTATCTTATGTATTTATTTGTGACACACCTAACAAAAAAGTGAACTGAATAGTTAAAAACTGTATTCAAACTGTTCTTGGTGCAACTACCGGTCGCGTACGCGAAAGCTGGCCAGCAAACATCAAGTGCGTCAACGGTCTACTAGACATCACTTCAGTAAAAAGGAAGGTACCAAATCACATTTCTTCCTATTTAAAAGTTTATTATTTTGTGCTCACAGTGTGTCTCTAAAGCTCATCTTAACATAATATATCTCACATCCCTCATTTTTTATACAGTCCACCATATCGAAGTTTACCCCCCATTCGCTGGTCCTGTCGACCCGGACTACATTTGCCAATTAAAATATAATTGCTACAGTACAATAATTTATTTCTCAAATGAATGTTTATGATCAGTGTCACATCCCTAACTGGTAATATTTTGTCTTGTGAAACATTATTACGAACAATTTTAATGTCCATTCCTGTTTCATACCAGACAATTATTTTCATGTTCAATTTTGTCACTGCCACCTAAATCACGTCAAGTTAGGCCTACCTAGTTTGTCTTGAAATAAATCAAGCGTAGAAAATTTGTAGGATTGAATATTTATTCACATCTCATCCATAAAATCCTTTTAAATAATAAGGTCTCACAATCAATTCAGTCTTATTATTTGGGTTTATAAATAAAACTGCAAAGTTAGTAGTTATTTCCCTGAAATATTCTATCCCATTGTCCGCCATTTTGTAACAACGTTCTGTCCTTTGTGATACACCTTGGTAGTTGGTAGTTCTCAACTTCGCCAACAGATCGCTCTGCGCTACATGGCAACCAATAACCTACAAGATTAGTGAAACGGTGGAACTGAGGACGAACCAATCACCTGTCTGCTATTAAACTGAAAACTCAACTCATCAAAACTCTGTTCATCTACATCAGCTGTTTGTTTAAATATAACCCGATATTGAATTGAAACATATCAACATAACCTGCAAGTTTGTTTATGTTGTTGAAAAATGAAGACATTATTTATTTAATCAAATACTAATTGATAAGGGTCCTGAACTGGAGAAAACTGGTAATTATTGTTATTGCTATACTCTCTTTATTCATTATTGTAAATATTATTGTCAACAGAGATTATTGGTGATAATAACAAATTGATAATTGACTTCACTTTACTATTGAAGTTGAATTGCAAATTGATTTATGCACTTCAGTAGGCCTAGATTTATGAGATCATTATTAATTTAAGATTTTGGGCTATTTTATGAAAACTCATCTATTCTTGTTGTGTGTTATTTAATTTGTTTGTTCATGATGAGATTCACTACCCTACAAAGAAAAGCAAAACTTGTTAAAAACAGGTTTCAGAAAATAAATAAATATTTGTCAAACCAACTTCCTCGAACTGAAGGTCAAGAATTGACTCCTGCTAATATACAGCGTTTACACAATTATAATGAGGAGGTCAGAGATCTATTTACTGACTTTAAAACTTTATTTAATAGAGTTGTGACTGATGACCCTGCTTCTGATTGTGATGAGGAGGAATCATTTTCAATGCATGATGAACTTTCTGACTTGTATGTAGCCCTTATAAGTGACATTAAAGTTCTTTTGCCAGTTGAACCTGTTGTAACACCTACTCCACCTCCAGCTTCTCTGCGCCTGCCTAAATTTGAGTTGCCTAAATTTAGTGGTAACTATGAAGAGTGGGTTAGTTTCTATAATATTTTTGAAGCCTCTGTCAATGCGAATAATTCTGTCTCCCCAGTGAATAAGTTTCAGTATTTGCTTAGTGCCCTGAGTGGTGAGCCCTTAGACTTGGTTAAGAGTCTTAATATTACTCCTGAAAACTATGTGGTAGCCATTCGACTTCTCAAGGATCGCTATGAAAACAAGAGACGTATTGTCACTCAGCTCGTTACAAAAATTCTGGATTTGTCGCCCATTACTAGTGGTTCGCTTAAGAGCTTGCAATCATTTCTCACTGTATATAAGGAAAATACTCAAGCTTTGAAAAACTTAAATCTTGACATTACAACTGAAAACACCCTGTTAGTCTTAACACTTTTAAAGAAGATCCCAGCTGATATTAGAAAATCTTTTGAAGACTCTCGCGCCTTAAACAATGAGATCCCTCTTGTTAATGATTTAATGACCTTTCTTGAAATGGAATTCAAACGTTTAGAAGGTGCTAGTATTTGTCTCAATTCACCATCTACCTCAAAGTATTCCACTGGCCAAAAGTGTCCTACAAACATAACTAGGCCTAATAAGTTTACACGTGAAAGTAAGCCACATTTCACCAACCATACAAAAACTGCTCTTGTCGCCACAACCAACTCTTGTAGATTTTGTCAAGCTGCAGATCACAACATATACAAGTGTCAAAATTTCCTAGCTAGAAGTGTGAGTGAAAGATCTGAGTTTATTCGCAAGAATAGGATTTGTACAAACTGCCTCGGTTATCTTCATAACACTTTCAACTGCCCCTCAAGTAAAGTGTGTCAGATTTGCTCCAAACATCACCATACTCTATTGCATGAGCCCACACGTAGTTCACTTCAGTCACAGTCAAGCTATCAAACTAAGCTGTCTCCTCAAAATAAGACCTACACACCTAATTCATCTTCAAAGAATACAACAACTATTAACTACTAGTCAACTCAATCCAACTAAAACCACAATCCTTCTTGGTACATGTTTAGTTCATGTCTCTTCACAACATGGTCAACATACTGTACTCCGTGCTGTGCTCGACTCCGCTGCCCAACTTACCCTTATATCAGAGAAAGCTATTCAACTCATCAACGCCCCACGTACTCGACTCCATGATGAAATAAAAGGAATCTCTGGTGCAGTTATTAATTCTAGAGGTATCGTACATGTCAACATGTCTGCGATCAATGGAAATCCTTTGGCTAAAAACCATCCTTGTATGGTTTTGAGTAGTATCACATCACCCCTGCCTCAGATACCAGTTTCACACCAGGTTAAGGAATCTTTGAAACATTTTATCCTAGCCGATCCCTGTTTCGATCAGCCTGGAGAGATAGATTTACTTATCGGTGCAGACTTATTTGCCCTAACCCTCACAGGCGAACAGCATAGATTAGGACAAAATTTACCTCAAGCTCTTGGAACCATTTTTGGTTTTGTTGTGATGGGCCTCGCTCCTGTAGCCTCTGTAGCAGGAAACTCATCAAACACATTTCCCATCTCACTCTTGACAACTCATGATTTGGATCTTCATAATTCACTTCAAAAATTCTGGACGCTAGAAGAACCCCCAATACGGATCAAGGCTCAGACTGAGGAAGATACCCTCTGTTTACAACATTTTGAAAACACCCATAGACGTGATGACTCAGGTCGTTACATAATCGAGCTGCCCAAGAAACCAAATCATTCCCCTCTTGGTGAATCTTGTACCAAAGCACAATTGAGACTTAGCTCGATGGAAAGGAAATTCTCTAATCAACCCGAGTTACAAAGGCTCTATTCTGAATTTATGGATGACTACATTGAATCAGGTCATATGACTATTTGTAAAGAACCTCCTACCTCTGAATACTATTATTTGCCTCACCACGGTGTCTTCAAGGAGAATCCCCCGAATTCAAAAATACGTGTTGTTTTTGACGGCAGCGCTAAAACTACTAATGGCATATCATTGAACGACATTCTCATGCCTGGTCCCAAACTTCAAAATGATATCAGTGATGTTTTATTGTATTTTAGATGTCATAAAATTGTATTCACCTGTGACATACGTCAAATGTATCGTCAGATCTTGGTTTCCGATAAGGACAAAAGTTATCAAATGATATACTGGCGCGCTAGTCCAGATGATCCACTCCAAACGTACAAACTCAATACAGTTACATATGGGCTTAATTGTTCCCCTTTTATTGCAATCAAAACCTTGCACCAGCTAGTTTTGGACGAAGGTCAACCATACCCACAAGCTTCTGATATCTTGACCAAGTCTATCTTCTATGATGATATTATAGCTGGAGCTGAAGATCTCGATAAAGCTATGTCAGCTCAAAATGAACTGAAAACATTGCTGTCTAAAGGCGGTTTTGAACTCCGTAAGTGGATCAGTAATGCACCCCAACTCTTGGATCAGATTCCAGTCGAACACAAAGAATCACCAGTGGAGTTGACTGATGGTAGTGAGGCCTTCTACAGTGTATTGGGTTTAAGATGGACCCCAGAGACAGACATGCTCTCATACAAAGTAAAGAATGTTGAAGTAGGCCACTTGCTAACCAAGAGAATGATTCTCTCAACAATCGCTAAACTCTATGATCTCCCAGGATTTCTCACACCTGTAATATTTTGGGCTAAAACACTCATTCAATATCTTTGGACCACAGGTCTAAAATGGGATGATCCAATTCAAGATGAGATAAGAACAAAATGGATT